TGGAGTCAATTCACACGTGTCAGCTGGGCTCAGATCACAATGGCCCAGCCAACTTATGAACTCCCCGCACCACTCCAGCGAGTCCATAAAACAACTGGCAACGCCGTTGGGGAGCACCCTGAGACACCACCCCGTTGCAAAGACCACCAGATGACACAGATGGGGCAAAACCAAACAAAGACGAGACTCCCTTTGTACAGAGAGGGACCCCTTTCAAAAGCCATTCATGCAACAAATTGGGGAAAGCTGGCCATGAAGCACTCCGGGTTTGCTCTTTTATTAGCATGAACCTTACGTCACAGTAAGTGAAATCAGATTTATGGCCTTTGTTACAAAGCAGTTTAATGAAAAGAAGTTAATAATAGTTTGGTTCTGTTACCCAAAATATGATTGCTTTAGAGAAGCACCGATACACATTTCTAAAAACACACACACATACATATATATATATATATATATATATATATATATATATATATATATATATATATATATATATATATATATATATTATATATATATATATCATAAGTAAATTCCTCTAAAGGGTTTAAAAAAGTGATAAAATATATTTGGTTCATTTTTTTGTGTTGAACTGACATTCACAGACGCAGTGATTTCTTACAGACCTACACACCTTTGAGACGCCTTACAGGCTGACGGACTGTGGCTTTAAACAGCATCAAGCTGTTTTATTTTTAAAGTCATCTCTCCAGTTGTGGAGGTTTACTTCCATGTAGGTCAATAAAAAATGTGCACACAAGCTTTTGCTTGTTAAGCCCCTTGCACTTTCTTTTCTCCTCCAGTCTCAGCTGCACTCTCACACTGCTGCAGCAATCTGCATAGAGAGACATTTGTCATCATTAGCCCTGCACTGACAGTTGGCACCCCGCACCTCAGATCTCCAAGACTGGCAATTATGAACCCTTCATCCCTTATTTAGGCAACATCACCTACTTTTGTTGCAAATTTCCCCCCCCCCAAAAAAAAAAAAAAAAAAAACATTTTGTTACTGACTGCGCAAATGTTAACAAAACCCTCCAAATTCTTTAATTTACTTTGTTGCCTTAATAAACTCCCAATGTTGGATCAAATCAGATGCAGGTAAGAAATGCGTCCGATCGACCTGAGAACTGAAATTATTCATCAGGAATAAGTGCTGCAGAGAGGTCTGAATATGAGCATCAAGGGGTCAGTGGGCAGATGATTACAGCGCCCACTTATACAATGGAGACATTTTGAAATTAAGATTAATCACTTTGCAACTGTTTGATTGCTTTCAGCAATGAGAATTGTGAAAAACCTTGAAAAGGAACACAAACTGTAACATTAAATATTATAAAAAGGAAAGTAAATAAATAGAATAATTCTCACAAAACCATCAAGATCATTTTTAACCTTAAAACAAGAAACTTCACACTTTAGATGAAACAACAACAACAGAAAGTCCAGAGCTTAATGTTGTAATAATAGAAAAGTTGAAAGGCAGCAACCTTAACCTCAATGGGATTTTTCCACCCAATGCAGAAGAAGCTGCTTTAAGTGCCAAGTTTTTCTTTTTTTGTGTGATGGCTCCAAATATTCTCTGGATTGTTACATTGACAAACAATACAAAATTGTACTCATGCTAAATTCATGCAAATGCATGCATGTAATCTATCACCAGGCTGACAAGCGTACCATATTGCAGAGAGGAGGGGTGAAGGGCCAAATGAAAATTAGACAATCAATTAAGTTTTAAATGTATTTAATAAAACGGTTCTTTTGTTAATTTCTTTAATGAAAAGTAAAATTATAAAATGTATTTATTTTGCTGAAGCACACACACAAGTTTTAGAAGAGTGGCTATAGAGGTGAATACCAGAGGATCTGAGAGAACTTCCAGCCAAGTGGTGTCAGGAAACTGGCTTCCCGACTTAAACAAATGAGTTTGCAAATACACAACAGCAGAGAAGGAAATAAATGAATGGGCAAAATCTGAAGGGGGTCCCCATTGAGGCTCCAGGCTCAAAAATTAGCTGGCCTCCTACAGAGATACCATATTGCATGGAATAATAATGCTTTATTAATACAATTCTCTCCGACAATCTCATAAACACAATTACAGACAATTGTGTCAAAGGTAGAAATCCCATGAGTGCATTATTTTTCACAGCTTGAATTTCAGTAGTGTCACATCTCTAAATTGCCTACTTTTTAAGTTTGATTCATGCAGAAATATATTTTAGATTTTTTTTACATCCATTTGGACTAATCTTCACATTAGTTTCGTAGCTCTGTTGAATGATCTTAAGTGGCTTGAAAGACCCACAGCAGTTTAATGGAAAAACATGGGATGGACATTATTTGTTCTTCTGTAATAGGATTAATAAAATTACGAGAGATCATCTGTAATGGATATTTTTAAGATTGCTGAGGAGATGACATAATCCAGAGAATTAGTTCAAATTTCTTCCAGCAGAGCATTACTGACATCGCTGTTGGATGCTGTTGTTACAGAGGAAACGAATTAAGGATGTCCTCCAGATAGTCATTTTGATACAATTTTGTCTAATTAATATAGATAAATCCCAAGAGGTCATGGATCATATTGGTTAATTTCAACACTTAATATACAGTATACTCTTTAGCAATGACATTGTTGTACATTACTGCTCAGCAGCAGAAAAATACAAAACTAAAAGTCAAAGTAGTCATCATCAAAAGGTATTTGAGTCATAAGACAAACAGAACTTAGTTCTACTTGAAGAAAATAGGAGAACAGAGAGAAAGGCTGAACAAGTGCAGAGGAATGCTCCAAAAACAAAGAGGCCTTCAAAACAGTGTCACATGGCCAGGAAGTAGAAGTCATTGTATTGATTTACACAATTGTGCGTGCATTTTGCTGGTTCAGAAACAGAAGTGCACTAATATCACAATCCCATTTGTCAAACTGGGGAGCCCCCAAAAGCCTGGCAGGACGGGACACAGAGAAACCAAGACTGCAGCGATGTAATGGTATGAGTAAGAAGCCATGAATGTCCGGAGCCAGACTTGACAACTCGAGTCATGGGACTGTGGAGCAGGTTGAGTTGCACTGGGAACCCTGCAGCCACATGGTTCAGATTAAGAGGCGATAATCTCAATGAAAATCCCCCCCAACCCCTCACCACACTTCTATCACGCATATGGATGGTCAAAGGCTGAGGTATAAATTCAATAGGTGCAACTTGACTCTGAGGTATCTGACTTAGAGCATGATAGTCTGGGAAGTGAAGCCAGTCTGGTTTCAATAAAAACCAAGTACCTGCTGAGCTACACACAGAGGAAAAGACTATTAAAGCCAGAGAGGGGAACCGGATTTTAGCTACCTCTCACTGCATGGAAACCTTCCCTATGTATCCTAAATAAATGCTGCCCATATATGTCAGTAAGAGTTGAAATGTATGACTGTGAAATTTAATTTGTCCTAAATGTGATACAGTTGAAGAAATAAAATGAATTATCACATTACAAAAAAAGCTATAACCTCTGGCATATCACACAATTAGATTTCATACTGCAAATCTGTAATTTCTGCCCGGTAACAGTGTAAAATTACAACTGCACTTGCCAAACAGCTACTAGCAATGTGCTCATGACAGGCTATGATGATAATGGGAGTCACCTATCTATCAAGGTCCTTCCTCACACACCACGCCTCTCCTCAGCCGCATCTGTGTGGGTAGAGCAGAGGCTGAGCAGCAGTGGATTGCCCTCATAATGTCTGCTTGTGTGCAGCTCTGAAGAGGGCAGAGATGGGTGTAAATGCCTTTGTGTTCCTTATCTGATCTATGCAGCAGCATCATCTTTTTGAAGTCCTCTTCAAAGCATGAACAGTACACTGTGAGATGGTGTGTCAGTGCACTGATGAGAGCCAGGGAAGGCATCTCTTCAATTTAGTGTAAGTGCAGATACATGGCGTCCTCATGGTGAATCACTGGGTACTTACTAAACTATTCAGCCATGCAAATGTTAAATGCTCAAATTACTGCTAAACTTGCTTCATTTTTTCAAAACTGCCTAATGATACATTATATAGGCTATATATAAATAATTAAATTTTATTTCAAATAGTTTGCTGAGAAATTATTTGAAATTATTTTTTCTCATGCTACTAAAATCTGATCTTTATTTTTTTTTGTATTTAAATTACAAATTTCCCTTTTAGTAAATAAAATTGTAACCGTGCAAAATACAGTTGCGTGTTAATACAGACACGCTGCTTCTCACCGAACACAAAAAAGAAATCACTCTCATGAATACGCTCTTTAAACAAAATGTGTTTTAAAAACATTCAAAAAAAAAAAGAAAAAAAATTACCATAGATAGTTAGACATTTTGCGGCTTAAAGCCCAAGTTATAAAATCCCTTTCTTCCCAAGGTTGTTCGATAAATTACTAAATCATTAAGAAGAAATAAATATAAACTCCAAAAACACTTTTACTTTTAGTGATTGAAACATTTAAGAGGGAATACAACTTATAGCGAATAATTAATTTAAAAGAAAAAAATGTATTTTTCAGGCCACGTACTTTAGAATAATCTCCCTTATTATATTTAGTCACAATTTCTTCAGTGGAAAATTTTAAATTCGTAAACGGCTTGAAGTGAAAGTTTTTTTTTATGCATTAATAATTTTGTTAGATGTATTAAACAACCTAAGTACATCCACTGTTCGTTGTTTTTTTTTTAATACAGACTTTTGAAAAAAATAAAAGGATGAAGATCGGACTAGTAAAATAAATGAATAAATAAATAATAGTGATATGGATAAATCCAAACGTGTAGCTGTTCGACCGATCCCCGCTTCACAATCAGTAACGTACTGTTCTTCATTTGTATATAGGCTAACAATCCGGGATGAATTTGTTTCCCATAAACTCCTGTGACGCTTTGGAAAGCGATTGGACATCCCGATCTTAACTCCGCCCTCATAATAAAGAGTGTGAGTGCGTCTCCTTGTTGTAAAACACAGCAACGCCAGCCTTCTGCGTCGAGAGGGCACGCTGCACTCAGCGCAATTACGCGGACTCCAAACTGGCACAGCGGTCAGAGCGAAAAGAGACATTTTCCCGCTATTGACCGAAGTGCAAATGGACTTTAAATCACGTCATCCGGATCGTTTTGAGAACTTGTTTTGAGCACTTCAATGCAGTTTACGGCACAACAGCTGTGACTGTTATGTTTATCACGCATGTGCTCTGAGCACATCGCCATTTAATAAACTGATTTTTTTTTCTTTTTAGATTGCTTTCCTTCTTCTCTAAAATTGGCTCCCGTACAAACAGCCGCGTTGGATCCCTCGGCTTACTGCGAGACTCCGGTGTATAACCCGGATCTCTGCCCTAATATGATAGCCGCCCAGGCAAAGTTAGTGTATCACCTCAACAAATACTACAACGAGAAATGTCAATCTCGGAAGGCGGCCATCTCCAAGACCATCCGCGAGGTGTGCAAGGTGGTGTCGGATGTGCTGAAGGAGGTGGAGGTGCAGGAGCCGCGCTTCATCAGCTCCCTCAGCGAGATGGATAACCGCTTCGAGGGACTGGAGGTCATCTCTCCCACCGAGTTTGAGGTCGTCCTCTATCTGAATCAGATGGGAGTATTCAACTTCGTAGATGACGGCTCTCTGCCGGGCTGCGCCGTCCTCAAGCTCAGCGACGGCCGCAAGAGAAGCATGTCTCTGTGGGTCGAGTTCATCACCGCCTCCGGGTACCTCTCTGCGCGCAAGATCCGGTCGAGATTTCAGACGTTGGTGGCCCAGGCTGTGGATAAGTGCAGCTATAGAGATGTTGTGAAAATGGTCGCAGACACGAGCGAGGTGAAGCTGCGCATAAGAGACAGATACGTTGTGCAAATAACGCCCGCTTTCAAGTGCACTGGCATCTGGCCGCGAAGCGCTGCGCACTGGCCTCTGCCGCACATACCCTGGCCGGGACCCAACCGAGTTGCAGAAGTCAAGGCGGAGGGTTTCAATTTGTTATCCAAAGAATGCTACTCGCTGAACGGCAAGCAGAGCTCGGCAGAGAGCGACGCCTGGGTGTTGCAGTTCGCCGAGGCCGAGAACCGGCTCCTCCTGGGCGGATGCAGGAAGAAATGCTTGTCGGTCCTCAAGGCGTTGCGAGACCGTCACCTGGAGCTGCCGGGACAGCCTCTGAACAACTACCACATGAAAACTCTGGTTTCCTACGAGTGTGAGAAACATCCCCGGGAGTCGGACTGGGATGAAAACTGCCTGGGCGATCGCCTGAACGGGATACTATTGCAGCTTATTTCGTGTTTGCAGTGCAGGAGGTGCCCGCATTATTTTCTGCCTAATTTAGACCTGTTTCAAGGAAAACCGCACTCAGCCCTAGAGAACGCGGCCAAACAGACTTGGCGACTGGCAAGAGAAATACTGACCAACCCCAAAAGCTTGGAGAAACTCTGAGGTAACACAAAATAAAAAATATATATATAGATATATGTTGATTTACTTCATTTTAAAAATGGGTTAGAGGTCTAAAGAGCTCATAAACGGACAGAGGAAAATTTGCCAAACAGTTGTTGTGAAATGTGACTGTTCAAATATTTTTGGCCTAGTTTTTTTTCACTACGGTCTTTCTTTTCCAACAGTATCAATTGTAATTATTCCTGTTCATCTTTGGAGGCGTTATCAGACTTTTCAGAAGCAAATTCAAAGTATTGTCAGTTAATCCGGAAGGCCACAGGAGATTTTTATTATTATTATTATTTTTTCGCACCACACGACTGATAAAATCCAACATTTTCCCAAAGGCTTTAGAATACAGCCCCATAACAAAATATGAACAAATAAAAAAAAAAAAAACACACACATCTGTACATTTTATTATACTGTAAATACATTCATAGATTGTGAATCAAGTGATCTGAGATTGTGAATGTTGTTCTGTGACAAGTAAATAGAATCCACCTGTTTAAATCTGAACTTTTTCTTTATCTGCTAGAAACGTTTTTAATTTATTCTTGCATCAGTGGTAGTCTGACTCACCTGTTTCAATGGACATTTTCTATTTTTTTTTATTATTTTTTAAAGAGTTTACATTTTGATGGTAAGCGTGCGACATTTGTTACATCTAAAACATTCCATCGCGTTACTTGAATGATTATTTAAAAGTACTCGAGTTGTTTTTCCTTCATCATTCTTATAGGCCAACGTGATTTAAAAAAAAAAAAGAAATAAGAAAATGATAGCCTATATATATTATATATATATTACAGTTTAATTCGAAAAAAAATGCACTTGAAATACACTGGATTATAACATCTGTGATCTGTTTTTTTTATATTATTATTATTTCTGTCTTTGATCTAATTTAAAGAGATAATAAAACGAGCTGTTTCATATACTTGTGTCCCCCACTTTTTTTAAGAAAATGCCAACTGGGCGGTAGAGCAGAAGGCCTGATGCAAAAGCATAATGAAGGGCGATTAATATTTAACCATTTATTAAAAATAAATATGAGTAGCGTGGGAAAAATTGACAATCTATACAAAAAATAGTAATGTGCGTAAACCCGTGTATGTTTTCTTTAAAATGCAAACCTTTTAAATAAGAAACCATAACTGGCTTAAAATATGCGCTTGAGAAGCTGTCCGAGGAATAACCTAGTAATTACACAAATAGAAAGCGCACGCAAACCAAAAGTCAAAATAATAATAATTGAAAAAAAAAACAACAACACACACACATAAACTCGGATTTCTCTCTTCAAAACAGAATATTGTCAAAACGGCGAATAAATAACCAAGTGCAGCAGGATTTTTGTTTCCTTTGCAGGAGGAACAACAGGCAGCATTCCGCCCGCTCCTTGCAGGTCACTTACCTTCGGGTCGACCCGTTTGAAGGCGGGGTCATCCTCGTCCACCTCAAAGTAGATCTCAGAGGTGGTGATGGACAGAGTTCCGCGGGCGACCAGGACCGGGGCGACAAGCTGGGCCGAGCTGCTCAGGACCACCGGACCTGGGGAGGGCGAAACAGGACGGACACATGGGGACATGTTCTGTTTAGATTATGAAGGGACCTTGACTCCACAAGACGGCGGATTCAGGCCCGTTATCGAGCTGTAGACCAGCTTTAATAATTGTGATGGCGCCTTTTTGTTGGCATTTTGATTGGATTTATATTTACAAAAAACAAAAAAATAAAAAACAACAAAAGTTTAAATAAAAATGAGAAAATATAGATTTGCTGCACGGCGGTGCGGAAACTGTGCAATTCAGCGTCGTTTCAAACCAAACCGGAGCTGTTTTGTTAAAATCTGTTTTTAAGAAATAACTGAAAATAAAATGCTTTTCGAGAAACGTGTTGCCACCGAGTAAAAAAAGTCTCGTTTCAAATTCTTCACGATGGTGTGTTTTTGAAGTGAGAAAATGGAGGCTTTTAATTAAGACGGCAAGTCTTTGACTTTGTCTGCGGAAGGTGAAGCAAAAACAGCACAAGCAAAGTGCTGCAGAATGATTTCAGGAGCAAATGATCACCTATTAGGCCGGATTTTGAACATGGTGGGCTGATAGTGATCGCATTTTCTTACTCCAGTCCCCCCCCCCTTCCTCCTCCGTGTTGTCAGATCAGTGTCGCTGCAGAGCCCCGTTACAGTGATTTGTCTGCTCTCAAGCGAAAGCCTCGAAAAATCTCCTCCCAAAGAGCCACTTTAATGTCTCGTCAATCTTAATCTGCGTTCCTCGGCCAATTATGGGAGATAGGGTTACAGAAATACAAGTGGATTTCGGTTGGAGCTCCCAGAGCGTCTCTTCATCGCTCTTGCAGGCTGCACAGTAAAACCATCCTCCCCTGGATACGTGTATATATTTTTTTTTCCTTCTCAGCATTGCTCGGCTCCATTAACGTTGATCCTATCTGCTGATGCTATCAGAGCAAATATTACACAGTGCTTACAAGCTTCACATATGTAACCAATAACGTCAAGCTCTTTTAGCTGCATTTGGAGCATTATTAACAGGAGATTAAGAATCATTGTCTGACTTAAGTGAAACACAACCCCCTCATTTCTTTGCATTTCCTAATTTTATTTTATTATTATTTTTTATTTGGTTTAACAGCAATAAACGTTGAGGTCTTTAATGTCATCCAAGTCCCCAAAGTATAATGAAAAAAAGAAATAACACTTCTGGGCAAGGCATTGTAATTTGTCCCAAAAGAGCTACACCAAGAGAAACACACTGCAGCCTGAAGCATTAAGTATGTATTGCTCATCGGCAGAAGAGGATTATGAAGTAATCCCCTCAGGGATCCTCATAATTAGGCTATAACATTAAATGTTTACATAAGAATAATAAAATTAAGGACAAGTTACATGGGGTGAAGGATCTATACGGGGCAAAGCCCATAATGGCAAACTGTTGGGGCTTTTTTTATTAAATGGAAAATAAAATTTTTCCAAACAAACTTGGAAAAAAGTCTAATACCAACGAGGTGGGCATTTGGGAGAAGTGTTTAGAGGAAGAGTTTAATCTTAGCTACAATTTGCAGAAGATAATGCAGAGTTTGACTAATGTGTGTGTAAAAGGAAGGTGGGCTACTTGCACAGATTTGAAATGGTTTGCAGAAACATACTTTGCAAATGAAAAAAAAAAAAACAAAAACATTTTGCATACAGATTTAATCTATTAAGAAATGTGGATTTACTTTACTCATTTATAAAAATGTCACCACTCGAGTGATCTTTATTTTGAATGGGGTCTTAAACCAGATACAAAAAAGGCAAAATTAAAGCAAAACAAAATGGTTGTGGCGACTAAGCCACACTTGGTGGTGTGCTAACAAGCTTCCGGTATGCTGGCAGAAGACTCATAACAACAGACTATTCCTTACCGTGAGGAATGGTCTGACCGGAAACTCGTTTTCTCAGTTCTGGATAAATATGTGCAAACAAAGGAAATTCATGTAATGCCAGCTTGAGCCCAGGCAGCGTTTAAAGTGTTTGTGGGGGAGAAAAACTAATCATAGGTTGAGTAACCACAACTGCCTGAGCTCATGAGTGCAAGCGCCGCCCCTTTGGCAGCAGCAGCAGGCACTGACCCAGCGGCTGGCAGGAGGAGGACGGTTGTTGACAAGGATCTAGTCCCAGATCTCTCATTAAGACTGTTCATGCCTGGGATTATATATGCGGGACAAACTCAGATCGTTCATCTGAAAAGCATAATCTCACTGTTGCAGCACACTGAAGTCCCCCTACTGACAAAAACAAGAATTTAACATGCCCTTAGCATAGAAAAGAAATCCCAGCTAATAATCTTAGCTTAGTACGCACGTTATAAACATATCACAACTATCAAACTCAATAATGCTGCGTTTACAAGGTCACATGTAGTTTTCCCTGGAGAAAAGCTGCTCGTTGTGTACTAGTCTCTGCTATGTGCTTTAGATTGGCCGATGAAGGGTTCATCTGACAGACATGAAGCGTTTGGCTGCCTGCTGGCCCTGGGTCAGAGAGGAGGGGTTAGTCTCATCTGTGAGATCTTAAAGGGATTTTGCTGCTCATAAGCGCCCTGCTTCGGTTTAAATTCACACGTCAAAATATTAGCACCACATGGCTTTTAAACATTTTTAATGATCGACGTTTACTCTCTTCCTAACAAATAATGTAAAACCTGGAATGCACATAAATATAATATTTGTTTGGGAATTGCATTTGCAAAACATGTACATGTACAATTCAAAGTTCTACAAAAGAGAAACTCATTAAATTAAAAATATCCAGCAACAGTCTACTAGTCTACAGTCTATTTATCTTAATCTTAGGAAAATACTATTTTTTGCTAATATAAGCAAATAAATGTATATGAGCACAGTTTTTATGTGAATGAAGAATTCTTTGTGCTTTCATTCTGTTGTGAATTTCAGTAACTTTAAAGCAAAAAGCAAAAGTTTATCATTACCTCGCTTAAAGTCAAAGCATGATTTATATGCTTAACTTGCAGAACTGTTGAAGGAAAACACAAGTAGAAAACTGCACAAGTGACTGCCTGTGTAACACAAACTTTCAAATCTAATTTAGAATATATTAACAATAAACTGAGAAGGATCGCAGTTCTGAAGATTAGAGGCGTGTTTTACTGAAGGACATCTTACCTTACAGCTGGTTCATATAAAATCTCAGACGATCCATTCAAAAAAACAAACAAAAAAAAAACTTTGACAAAATAAAGCTTCCAGCTTTAAACATATCTTTAATATGTCACCATGAACTGGAACTCTAATATACACAAATAACAAATAATTGGAAAGAATTTGTTATGTATAAATAACTTATTATTATTTAACTAAGCATAAAATAAGTTTAGCAGTATATTCTAACTTTATAATTAAATATAAGTCATGTTCAATTGTGTCTGTCCGCCATTAAACAGTAATAACATTAGGTTCAGACTGATGTTTAGATAAGCATAAACAACCCTCCTTTCAAATCCACTTCATGACTTTCTCCTCTGAAAAAGTCCAAACAGAAACAGACCACTGTTGGTTTATTATCATTTAGATACTGAATTATGTTTGCTAAGCTTGATCCTTGCAAGAAAGAAAAAAATGATCTTGAGCATTGAAGACCCAATGAGCATAAAGCATATGTAAAAAGTCTGCAAAAATGGTCCAGTGGTAAACTCAAACTTCAAACACTGCACATGAAGGTGCATCTCAGTAAACTGGAATATTTATTCTGATAGGCTCAATTGTGGGATTAAAATACTCTATGAAGACATTTTAAGCAGGTATCTAACACACTTTTCATTAAAGCTAACTATTGTATTAAATGTGTTTATTCGTTATCAGATAACATTTTCAACTAATAAACTAAACGTAGTTGCATTTGCTTTAAAACTGACATTACTATCATTACAATTTGAAAACAGACTGATCTACAGAAATATTGTGTTTCACTTAGTGACTGACTGAAATAAATAATATTTTCAGTAATATTCTAATTTATTGAGATGCACCTGGACAAATAAGAAAACATGATGGTTTCATGACAATCTTCTGTGATGATGTTTCAATGTTGACAACAATGAGCATGCATAGTTAAAACACAACAATGCAATCAATGAATGCAAAGTGATTTTTAAAAAAAAGAAAAGAGGTGCAGTAATGTCTGGGGTATTTAAAATGCTGATGTACCGCCAACGTTGTCCATCTCCTTCTCATGGAGCAGGCTGACGTTATCGTCTTCTCCATCCAGGACCAGTTCTGTCTCTGGGTTCTGACTGGCCAAAGTTGGGCTCCGGAAAACTAACTTGGACTTCACAATCTTTTCTTCCTGTAAGGCTGTAAAAAACCCCAAAAACAAACGAGACATTTTGAAATGTAATGTGCCATCTCCAAACTACTAATATGGTTGGGTTAGAAGTTTGGACTTAACCCTTACCCTAACCCTAACCCCAACTAATGTATAGTTGCTCTTTCATATTGTAGGTAGATAGAATAAGTAAAAGTATGAAATAGAAGTTTCTGCTTTTTATGTGGGAAAATAGACTAGTACCAAACAATAATTTTTTAGCTAATTTTACTTGTCAACATAGGAGATATGGAAAAGCTTTATCTAAACATATTTTCCAAACATTTTCTTTGCTTTCTGAAACTGAACTCCCAAGCAGTGAGAGGATACAGAATTAGATCATCTATATATTTAGATTTGGGCACTGCCATCAATTTAAACCAACCAATTAAGTTACTCCAAAACAAAAGCCAAAAGCAAAATAGAAACACTCATTTTAAGCATCATGGATTCAAATACAAGTATTTGGTAAACCAAGCCTAGTAAAACTTGCTACCCTTACTCATAAAAAAAAACTATTATATCTCAAGCTGATAATTAAATTGTGTTTTATAGCCAAGCATTAATGCATACACCCAGTTCAACTACATATTTTTGTTGCAATGATGTTATTTGTATAAAAAAATGTCTCAAATCAGTACCTGAGAAGATGCTCCATCACACTGTCACCATTTATGTTGGTTGCAAAGTATATATATATATTTAAATTGGGAGAAAATATAAAAAAGGCAATATAACAATATAGTAAAAAGTATTTTAGGGAAAAAACCTTTTTGTATTGTTTGAAAATATGAATAAACCATTTGGTCATAGACAATAAAATAATGTTTTCATATGCTCTGTGTTTTAGTCTTATCACACAGAATAGAGAAAACTAACGCAACTCAACACAATGACCTTGATTTTATTTACATACCACTTTATCTGCATATGAAAGACTGCAAAGGCTATTCATGGGATTCTGCACTGAATATATTTTGAGAGGTTTAACTTGAGAAGTGTGCCAGCTTTTATTTTTAGGTCAACAATGAAAGACAATCTTTATCTTAAAAGACCAAAAGCTGAGTCGGGGGATACATATCACGCTCGGTGTAGATTAGAGATAATATTAGCTGCTTTTGGAGACTTGACAAGAGTGGGACTGAGCAGACAGCTCAATTAGGAGCCTGTTTATAGGAGGACTTCATCATATGGTGATGGTATTAAGTGGAAATCGAAAAGGATGTGTCCTTACACAATGCAAAAACAAAAACCTGCATTGATCATTTTAAATGCGCCCAGCTTGAACATGTGCCTGTCACACGGAGGCTCGAAACACTTCTGTGATTCCCTCCCCTAAAGTCCAGTGTTGGAAATAACCAGTGGAGAAACTTGCGTGCTAAGGGAAGAACACATATCAAGGTAAGGGAGGTGGCTGACATATGTCTGACATGTTTCCTTTCACCATAGTTCTTAATTCGCCTTTCCCTCCCTTAAGGAACATGTACCTTGTCTTGAAGAGGTCACATTTGACTGTTGTCAACACTACTACTGACGGGGGGGAAAAGCCTCGCTTCCTGCTCTGTCTCATATCTGGAGTTCTTTCATCAGATGAGGGGAAGAAGTTGGAGTGTTTCGGAAATGAATTCTGTGCAATGTTACATGGAAAAGCCTGCTAGTGGTCAGAAATCAAAGCAGGAAGAGTGAAACCTAAAACTGGATTTCTGTAAAACATCATTACGCCTCAAGTAAATGAATGAGAATTCAACAGACGGACTGAGGCTCTGACTGGTAGTTCTGGAAGGGGTTTAGAAGACCAAATAAACCGTGGTGATTTCACCATGTAAAATCAACATTAGGTGAGGCATGTGTTTGCAAGAGTCAACATTATCCTCCAACTATCAGAAAGTACTTCCGTACTTAGAGAACGCATGATTACAAATAAAATAAAGTGTCAAAGTAAAACATCTGTTGAGATAAAAAGTCATGAGATTTTAGAAAAACTATTGTACTTAAAAAGGGTTTGGTAAGTGTTACCACTTACACTGCAGTAAGTGATAAATAGTGGAGGATTTAAGGCTTTACAGAAAAATAATAGAAGATGCATTAAAATAATAGTGCAAAGCCATCTGTCAACCAGGACAAAAAATACAAAGCATAAGTTGGTCGGTGACTTTCTCGTGTGACAGCAGTTTTATTTCTTGTTTGCTTTCAAGCTCTTCAGTAACAGTGCCAAGAGAAGTCACCTATAAGCCAGTCTCATGGGTCCTCTTGTTCAATCACTGAGCTGAAACTGCCTCAGAGTGCACTAATTACACTCCATAAAGTGCACTGCAGAGCTTTCATGCCCTCATTGAAGGCTGATGAAGATCTGCCGGCTGTCACCAAAGGAGGCGGTCTTGTAGCACTCATAGCTAGCTGGGGTTCAGCAAGGTCCTTACAGTTCCTTAGAGGGTATGTGGGGACTCTCTCTCAAAAAAGTTTGAGGCAGTAGACACTTTCTTTTTCTTTAGAAATCTTTGATAAATTTAATCCCAGTTAAATGCTTGAATAAGTAAGAGAAAGTAATCAGACAAACTGATTACGAACTAGAACTAAGTAGCTCGAAACAAAAAATACCAAAGAAAGGTTAGAGATGGGAACAGTAAAATGCTGAGGAAGCTTTTTTCAGCATCTGTGAAAAATACTTCAAGGCAATATGTTATTCAGGCAATCTGTAGAAGAGAAAAATAAACTACATTTTTGTTACTAAATCTACAGGTCTTCATTATGGGCTTTCAGCTATAAAACTGGACATACTGCAGTTCAGATCAAACATCATTTCAAATTATATTTTACAAGCTACAACAAACAAAAAAAGAATATGAGAATTTTAAATAAACCAAATTTAACAGAGTGGTTATTTTGACAGAAAAAACAAAAGATGAATTGGTCTCTCTAGAATCAACATAAAAAAAAAAATAAATAAATAAATAAAACACTCACTGACCCACAGGTCAATTAATCTTTTAAAGAAACTCCACAAAATAAAATGGTATCAAGATATGCTCCTGTCAACACTTGCTACAATATTCACAATTTTAAGCTAAATGCAAAAGTAGATCATTTGCCTCTGATTTTCACAACCATTTAGAAAAGTTTTAGCAATATCTTGAAGGTATAAAATCTTCAGAGCACATATCCATCAGTGGGAAAGAGATACTTGGCATTGCTTCCAAAAAGGCAGCATACCAGCTGGAGAAGAGATATAAATGTGAAGCACATAAAAACCCCTGGCTCAGAGGCTCAGTTAAGCAATTGTGGTCAGAAGGTGTGTTTACATGCTGCTTCTATATCAATAGATAGCACATAAGCTCTGTTTAAAATACTAAGTACTATACCACAGAAATAAGTTGACATCATTTTGTTAATTTTAATATATGTTGCAGTTTCTAAAACACAGAAACGCTCCTGTCCCTCCCCTCCGAAGAGTTTTGAGTTTGTAAACTCTACACACCGAAAGCTGAGTGTTGAAAAATAACAACTGTCTAAATATATTTTTAAGTGTATATAAAGTGAGCTTTATAGAATGGATTCGCTACTTTTTCCGGACTCTGTTTCTGATCCAGCACTTCACTCTCGACTCCCTCCAACCCCCCGCTGTCTCGACATTCCACAAGGAGAGAAAAAGTCCTATTCATGGAATCACGAAGGCGATTCCATGTCTCTTCCCTCTGTCTCTTAACCTTTATTTAATCTGCACTGAGGAAAAATAAATGAGGGGGAAAATGACAGTTTCATACTTCCTGTGACACGAGACATTCGTAAATTTTTCGAGACTGTAAAAGTAAGCAAGACAACTTTTGATGTAGAGTGGTTTACACAGTACAGACGCTTCCTCTAGGAGTGATCTTTATCCAATATTGTGGTAAGTGCTTTGTGTGTCAAGTTCGTTGTCACGCAACAGTCTCCATCTCTGCAAAAAAAAAAAAACTAAGGCCAAAAGGTGATAATCCTGCATCTTTACTCAATAAAGATGCAGGATTCAATAAGTATTGAACATGTTAATGTCTTTCTCAGCAAATGCATTTCCAACAGGGCTGCTGACACAAAATGAACCCCACATGTTATATGTTAGCAACAACCCCATTAATTCACACATACAGAGAAATCAAAACAAGTTAGCCTATAAAATTGTGTAATAAAGTGGAAGAGCACAGGGAATAAGCACTAAAAAGACTGTAATTTGTGAAATACTTAGTAGAAAAGCTTCTATTTCTAATGAAAGGTTCAAGTTGTCTACTCTTGTATGGAGAAATGAGTTTCATGCAGTGCTCAAGAGTCATGTTGAGCCACTGCTCCACACAAACTGTCTTCAAACTCTGATGCTTCAGGGAGCCTCTTCTATGTACTTTAGATTTTTGCCAAGAACATTTCAGTAAATTTCTCTATTAATGTTTTATTCAGTTATATGAAGTCTGCCAGTACGATATGCTGAAAAATGTTTCTGCCCCCAAAATTCACTGTTAGTGGTGGTGTTTTCAAACACAGGTGAAGTGACACTTCTCTTTCAAACATGGTCTGCAAAATTACATCTACAGGGTGAAGGATTTCAGTCTCATCTCACCAGACCAGTTGGATTTATTTGTTCTTTATTTCAAATGCTCTGCAACAAACATTAAATGAGTGTTAATCAGTTTTTGTTTTTTTCCCAACAATGAAATCTTGTGGAATGAATGTATTCAAAGGCCTTGTGGTTGAGTGTATTACTTATTGTTCTCATATAAATTCTAAATCTTTTCTACAGCTTTCTGCAAGTAATGTTTGGCTCTGTACTACTACTTTTCAAGTTCCTGTTGTGTCATAAATCATGCAATTCCGAAAATATGTGCTTCACACTTCCAGATTATTGGTGCTGGCTGGAACATTCAGCAGTTTCGAAATGAATTTGCAGCCAATTCCATCAGCATGGTTTGAAAAAAAAAATGGATCCAAAAATCGTAGGAGCCTTTCTAAGATGTTTTTTGTCAAATACATTGGAAATAAAAAAAAACTTTTTCATAGACTATTAATCAGGGATAAATAAACAGATCTGTGTTTTTGGCTTTCTGTACATTTTAGCAGTTCTCTTTCATTTTTTCACTCAGTCTTGAGTCATTTGACACTATTTCTTTTATGGATTAAATAATTTTAATTTATTTTTATGAGTGGATTTCTTCATCGAGCCCTCAAGAAATACATTCACAAAATGCTGACATGTTCATTACTTTTGTTTCTCGCTGCATTTACTTAAAACCTACATTTAAATATCTGAATATGTATGCTGGAAAATACTGCGATGTTATTTGCCACAGTAAAATGCCTTTAATTATTATGTTGGTAAAGGTTAATATTACATCATGAGGCTATGCCTGCTAAAGTAAAAGCCTATAAAGATCGCCGCCTGGTACAATCAGCTTCAAGAGAAGCCGCTCACCTGAAATGAGACAGCAAGGACACCAGGAGGTAAAACACCCCGTTAAACATTTGGATCAATATTAACGTGACTTCCATTTCATGCTTGCCCAATTCCAATCACCTAACAATATAGTCTGATTCTCGGCAGAGGCTGGCTGGACCAAGGCAGGTTATTACAGGCAAAGGCCAGAGACCGAATGTGCTAGCTAAGCTGTCAGCACTTCTAATAGACAATGAGGCAGAGTTTAAGGTAGAGTTCAACCATCAGAGTCTACATCCTTTAAAGTACAGACACACAGTGAACAAACCACCCCCCCAAAACATTCCAACTCTTATGAAACAAAACTTGTTTTCCCACTGCCATTAAAGTTGCTTGAAAGATGTCAGCAAAGTATCAACCACAGGAATAACATTCTGTAGTACTGTGATGAATTTAAGGTAATCTCATACAAAGTCTAAATCCAACGTGTTTTTTTTTGTTTTTTTAAAAAAAACAATACCACTTTAGTTAAAAAAATACTAATTCCATTTTTAAGTAAAAATATATGACTCGGCTGATAAAGCGAGTTCACAAGAATGAATTACTCCAGCTTCTAAATTAGGAAACACAAACACCTTATTTCTTTCAGAAAACGAAGTAATAAAAAGTCTTGCATTCGTCTTTTCAAATACCTCCCTCCTCTGCAGCTGCATAAAGCTTAATTTACAACTGCAATGTTGACTTTGCTGGCTAACTGGGATAAACAAAGGCTTCTGTCAAATACCAGACTATTGCGATCTTTAGTCTGTTGTGTCTGTTCTTTGGTTTCTTTGAGAGCTGCTAAAACAAGAATTTTGAACTTAAAGATTATTAATCAATATGCTAAGATATGCATAAGACATTTAATGTGGATATGACAAAGACAAATGTAGAATGTTTTTTTGTTTAAAAACAACATACTCTGTTTTTCAAGCTTAGATTAAAGCAATTTGACAAAATAAAGTTTATAGCAACTGACTGATGATCAAAGTTCAGGTCAACTGGGTTTGTGTGATTGACATGTACATCAAAAAACTTGACTAAGTCAGGAATACAATGATGCATATTGTTAGTGTAAATTGGAAAAAAAGACACTGACCTAACACATAGCCTTGAGGAGCAGCTTTTGACATACTGGCAAGAGGAACAAAGTCCACCGAGTTGAACATAATACTTAAAATCACTAGTTAGAAAACCAGCTAATGTGCCAGAATGAATGATCCACTTCAAATTTTAAAAAAGTCTACCTTGTTGTCATAATTTCACCTGTATCTTGATCTGTGTTTTTTAACACTGGGCCCATTGCCTGTATGTTCATCTTTGCTTTCTAAAATGAAAAAATAAAAATGAAAATGAAAATCACATTTCCATGTTTAATTTAGCTGTTGTTTCCCACTCATACTCTGTTTTTTTTTTTTAATAACTAAACATTTTGTCTGTTTTCTTTTTATTATAGATATTCTCTCTCATCAGCTTTGCTCATTTGGAATTGTATTACTTGTGATCCTTCATCTGGTTGTCCTGGACATATTCTTACAGTTAAAAATCACAATGCCATATTTGTTGAACAATAAACCCTTGAGACTTCACAGCTGGGTGATCTGCTAGACAGTTATTGTCAATATCATGGCAGTAAAAACCAAAAATTGTAACTGTCAATTGTCTCGGCTCCCCCAAAATCTGATGAAGGTCTCACAAAGATGAAAAAAAAAAGTATTTTTATTTTAACTCCTCATAAAAGCCTTTGCTACACAGCCACATCAAAGTCAGTTAAAATAAGCTTGAAAAACAACTCACCTTTGATAGTGAGCATCAGACTGCAGGCAATCCCTTTCAGCTGACAAGTTTATACATTATTCCGCTCATTAAAACTAGAGCATGCTAGCACGATCTCAAAAAGTCTTTAGTCAGTTACTTTGACAGAAGCAGAAAAATATAAATAATGGATTTTTAAAAAAAAGAATTAACATTGGAGTTCTGTGCCACAGATGAAGGAGTTCAGCAGGCAACTGAACTTCACGAGGTTGCAAAATAAATAGCTAACACAAGCCTAATATTTTTAATGGTTGCATTACAATGAGCTGAAGAAAAAACGTGGTGACGTGCAGGGACTCAAAACCATTTTGAATATAAATTATCATACACACATTCTGATTACAGCAAATGAGAACATATTAATTCTCATTAATATGTTGTGGACGGAAATTCACAAACTCAAATTTACCTCTAAAAATCTGTGTTAAAATATTGATAAATGTTTGAGATTTTTTTCTGATATTATCTGGACAATCTATAAGTATTGGATTGAATTAGGAAGTTCCAGGACAATGTTATTTCTTATGCTTTATATATTTAACAAGTATGTAAATATTTACAGGCATTACAATGTAATGCGTTATTTAATGCATTACATTTTACCCCTCACATCTCTGGTGAATGCCTTTATTTTGAAATTTCTTTTATTTTTCTCAGTGAAAATCAGAACAGCAAAAAGTAGTTTTTTAAGACTATTCTTCAAGGTTTCTCTACAATGGCAGAGAAACCTGGTAACTTGGAAAATCCAAAAACCATTACAAAAATGAACAACAAATCAACAAACTGTAATTACTGCATCTATCTTAAAAATGGGACCACCTGCTTCTTCAACAGCTGCCAGGTGTTCGTCTAGATGGAGCGCATTATATTGAAGAAAAAGTCTAAGGTAACCATAAAAATGAGGCAACTGTTGTCTTAAGTAGCTCAACGAAAAAAGATAGAACACCATCAAGATTCAAAATCCCACAAGGAGTATAATTAAAGGTAACTATAGCCACTGCGTTTGGTGCTTCTAATAATTTTGCGATCAACCCATTAAACTTAAACCCATTAAACATTTACCCTGCTGTTCAGTTACAGGCGGAAGGACTGGAGAATTTCATTTTGACAAGACAGCTATATTGTGAAAGCTTGGGGTGTAAGGTTTTATGCAGAAGTGACTCTAGGCGGTAGGCAAAACAAAACAATGAAAAGTTACAATCAAGGAGATAATGGTAACAGAAGACAGAGATTTTGTTTTATATTTGTTAGTTAGACTTTGCAACCACTACAACTTGGAATCCGATTTATATTTTCCAGAAATAAAAGAAGCACCTACCATATTCTTGTGAGGACTTGCATGCTACATCCAAGTGGGTGGAGCCAAATGGGTTTCGGACAAACCTCCTCCTCCGCCGCAGGTCATCTTCCCAGTAGTCAAGACGCCAGAAGTCATGCAGCTGACTACGAGAGAGACAAAAAGATGGGCAGATTAGACAGAGAGCACACTCCTCAATGATGGCCATCATTTAACATTTAAAAGAAATAAACATCTGGGGGAGAAAATTAAACCAGATATGGTGGACTTTATTAGGGTGAATGCTGCCAAGCTCTCTAGAGGCCTAAGTAATGCTACCTCTGCAAAAGCCAATAGCATAACAGCAGGGAGCACCAGCAAACCTGACATACATAAATCTTAGGCACCCCCATTTACAAATACGGCTTCAAATTACAAGTATAAATGGCACAGCTTGGCTTCTTTTTTACAATGTTTTTTAACAAGTCTTGTAAATCAAAGGTAGGAACCTCAATGCAGACAGCGTGTAGTTTAATGATCAGGGTCTTGGGGCGGTTGAAGCATGAGCCTATAAAACAAACCCTCCCCCCTCTGCATATGTAGAGCCATGATTAAAATAATGTGCTGAAATATTCATTGAAATGATTCCCAGGGCCCTGGAGCAACCCAATTGAAAACTGCATTTTTATTCATTATTAATAACAGGGAATTAAAGCCATAAAGAAAAAAAAAGAAAACAATTTCAGCATGTGGTAGCCATCTTTGTAAATGATTATTCCAACATAAGTGAGGACCTATGGATAATTTTATGGCTTGCAGCTAATGCAAACCATTAAGCATGGGGACAAGCATTAGGGTTTTAAGTACACAGCTTTCCAAATGTGTACTAGCTGATGCTGTTTTTAAGTTTGTGCACTTCACAGAAAATATAGCTGCATTTTCATCTATCTTTTTATGAATATGTGAAGAGATTGGGTACTATCCTGAATCATTTGGTCAGTCTCATTAATAACTGCACATGCCAACACTATAGCAGTTGGAATAAAATTAACAATATCTTTGTTTTACTCATCAAAATAAAGCATGTCTTGTTATATACGTATCTTGTAGGTAATGATTAGGAAACCCAATGCTCAAAAAACACTGTTGAATCAGGTAAAATATGTTTTTAAACTCACAAAGTCATTTGTCAATGTGCGTCAGTTGCTGTAAGACCTTGGCAGGCAGCCTTGTATTTTGTTCGATTTTTGCCCCCTTTCTCAGCCACACAGTTCTGAATCAGTCTAAACAGATTAAAGTGTTAGAGGGGATCACATCACAAAATAGACCCTCCTTGTTCCATGAATATAATATTCACCAGTGCAAGAAATCAAAAGACTCAGGAGAATTAGCTGAGTCCTGACAGCAACAAGGGCTCAGTTTCAGTTAAATATCAATCAAAAGCGGCTATGAGTAGTGAGTGTGTCCAAGCAACTGCGGATGTTGCTTTCACAAAGTATCATGAGCTGGTATATGCAAAGTAACACTGAATGCTTTGAGCTTGTCCCCTGCCAATCTCCCTCAAAGCTTAACTGAGAAGAAGACAGATGTCAGTGGAAAGGAGACACCCACGTAAATGATATTGTAAATGCAAGATTACACAGTGTAAAAAATGTAAATCCACTGTAGGCAACCGGGTGATTATTGTGGAAGTCGAGAGCGCAAATGCCAGTGGGGGATAAATCCCTTCTTTGAAGATTTCCTTATTATAGTATTAACCATTATAAAATGCTTTCAAGTGGTTTGCTTGAGGTTGTTCATTATACTTTAAGTCAGAGTGCCTAAACACAAGATTACAAGAAAAAACATGCTAACATTTAAATAAAAACAGGACTTACATATATTCTATAGCTTAAAGTAGATTTTTTTTGCAACAAATACGACTAAATCCATGGTTTTCAAGCTGTTTCAATTGGTAATATATGTCAAATGAATTGTATGATCAATGGTCTGGACTAAATTAGTTTTGTAGTTGAAGCTGTTTTACAATACAAGTCATATTTATATATCTGAACAAAACATGCACACATTCAGACATCAGTACACAGGAACACAGGGCAACTTTGCAATTCCTAGACAACTGATTCATCATCACAGCCTCTCAACACTTGTAGTACTTGGGTGGCCTATTCAGAAGAAATATTCAGAAGAAATTCATGCTGTTGATAGGTAAATATGAATCAGTTTCTCTAGATGAATATAAAAAGGAAAAAAGTGGATTGCTTCCTCTGTGTTGAGGGTCAGCCTTTGACCCAAGATGAGGACTTCAAATATCATGGGAATGATAGGATGAAGCTATCAATGAGAAAATTGGGCTTTCTTTGCAACAATGGAGGTGCTAACCTCATCTGTTTTGTGGAGTAAAATTTTTGCCAAAGCACAGCCCATCTAAATTCTTGCACTCATACACTGGACCCCGATCTACTTGTCGATCAATATTTGCTGATTGTTTTGAGGAAAATCTGCCTTTGACTGATTATTTTGTAGAGCATATCTGATATAGTCAAAAAAAAAAAAAAACAACTCAGGAAGCTGAGACATGTAGGCACAATGCAACTTGCATTTGTAAAGCAGCAAATCCACTCATTTTAGCTGATGGTGATTGGCAGTACTCCCAACAACAACATAAGGAACACTGTGGTTGTTAGCTTCTATGGGAGTGTTGAGACAATTTCCACTGTGTGTATTAATGCATGTACATTTGGTGTTTGAACTATTAAAATATGTAGTTATTCTAATTTTTAGAGGGGGTCTCAAGTGTTTGCTGATTTCAGATGTTTGTGGAGGGGTGTGGTATCCCATGGGTACTGGTGCTCCGCTGTAATCATGAGATATGGATGGCCAGTAAAACAAGATACTGGGAAAATGTGACAGAAATCTTCTCTGTAGGCCAGAAGCTTGGTGAAGAACTAAAGCTCCAAGTTATAGCTTTGGGTAAATAAGCAGTGCATTGTATGAGCACGTGCCAAGGCACCCCGAATGGCTGCCATGGGAGATTCAAGCAATTTTTAAACATGCATAATTGAGTCAAAGCAACACTCTGGGTATGTGGTTGATAATGAAATTACATTATATGATGCTCCAAAAAGTTGATTTTCCATAATATCTCCCTCAACCTTTTGAGTAAAAATAAAAAGCGGAATTTAGCTACACACTTTAACCAACCATGCAGAGTCAGTGAATTAGAGCATTTTGAAGTATTTTGAAGACTGCTTTATACTTGCTTAGACTAATGGGAATGTAAACCCAGGTGATCATATGCTCCTTGTATCAGTATTTCAATTCTGCTCAATGTTTTTACCAATGCCAAGATCCATACAATACAAAAAAGATTAATGTAGAATTTAGGTAATAAAGAGTCTGTAAAATATAAAATTCCTGTTTACAATTATTAATGCATAGCTAATAGTCTGTTTTCTTTCTGTAGCAAATTGTCCACCCAATGAAATCCTTTCATCAGAGTTGGTTTGACATCCTCATTTCGCACATCGAATGTGTCTGGCCTCATGACAACCATAAAGAATGGCTTTGAGCCGACCCGCTAGAAACTGGCAAAATTTATTAGTCCCATCACCCATCAATCAGCCAAATGGATTTCAAACCGCATTTTAAAAGCTAATTTTCCAACACTGATAACCTACAGGAAACAGAGCACCATTATTTATGAAGGTTTTCAGACTTGCTAAGTGTACCACGATAAATGAGAAGGGAACTATTGTCTTTTACCTATCCTCTTTTAAATGGATATTTAAAGCACATTTTTCCTCCAGCAGGCCTTGCTGAGGAGTGTGAAGTGCCAGATCTAACACTCATCCAGCAGGGTTTTACTGACAATAGAAACAAAACCCATAATTTTAATACATTGATAGCAGCAAGGTCAAAAGGTTTGATATACTTTATGGCAAACTGTGTAATATTGGTAGAAAAAACCCCATTAAAATCAACTCTTGAGGCTCATATCGATTCCACATGAGGTGTTGCAGTTTTAAGTGCTGTAGAACCTATTTAATTCAATTTACTTTATTTAAGTAGTGCCAATTCACAATTTCAATTCAGTCACACATATATTCCAATTGATCCTAGTTATCAAACAGTGCATTAAAGCTATAGTATGTAGCTTTACATTAATTTTTTGTTTTGTTTTAGATGTTTGTTGAAATTGTCTCTATGTTGTGGCAGTATGTTATGGGACAGATAATTAAACAAGCTCCTCTGCCTTCTCCCATTACTCCCAGTGCTAACTCAAAACAGCCAATCAAAGGCAGGAGGAGGGACTTAGCACTGTCAATCACAATGGCGCTGTTCATCTTCCTTCCTCCTTTGCTGCTCCTTTTCTGATTGCAGACCCTGTCGTGAATGCTGAGGCTAGTTAGCATGGATACCGATGACAGTGAATAAATTATTTCAATGTAACGGTAAGTTGTTTCTCCATTAACACATCTAGAAGCGAGTATACAAAGTTGATTGACAGCCTGTTTTGGATTGGTGTTTTTTTCCACCATGTCTAGATGTCTACATGTATTGGGATGCAGCCATTTAATTGTGTGCATTCCTATTTTCATTATTAGCAATTAAACAAGTGCACTTAATGAAGCCAACAGTCAATGGACGTCGGACTAATGAGGGTTAGAAGCTGTAACAAGGCTTGCGGATGAAAAAGATTTTGTTTTGGGGCAAAAAATTGGACTTTGCATCCATCTTATGCCGTTAGCAATTTTGCTAACACTAAAGTTATGCTTTCAAGCCACCTCAGCTTCTTAATGGTGGAGTCATTCCCAGTTAATGACGTTTTAGCTTTGGAGGATGGAAAAAAAGATGTCATCTTATAAAAATTAAAACGCTCAACATGTTTCTAAATCACCAAATTTACTTTTGCTTTTGTTTCTTTTTAAATAAAAAGGACCAAATGACTTTATGACAGAAACACTGAAGGTGCTTATTAGTCATGGTTCCGCTGCAAAGAAGCATCAAACACATGTGTCTGTGTGACAGACCTTATCCTCTGCATCCATCCATACAGCCCAATTGGGTGCAAATAAGAGTAGCTTTGAAACAGCATTTTTATGAAGCAAATGCATTTGAAATTGATTGAAATGCGTATATTTAAACAGATTCAGGCTTAAGAAGTTTGAAGATACTCCATTAATCTGTTACAAACTGAACCGATTGTACAGATATTGTGAAGATCAGTTAGACTATGAAGATGTACCTGTTGTTTCTTGAGGATTCAGGCAATATAAAAACTGAAGGATACAAACACATTTCTATATTAATCGTTGCACCAGTATTTTCTATTTATTTTTGGTAAGTGCTTATAGTTAAATACATGTCTTTTAAGTCACTTAACCATAATGACTCACAAACAGACGGGGTTGGACTGAAGAGGGATCATATTTTCATGGTTCAAGATTTCCTTTTTCATCCAATTTATTCTCTCAAGAGATTTATGTGGAGCGGTAAGGGGGGAGGTCAGGCACATACTGATTCAATAAAACACCATTATACTCTTTTAAAAATCCTGCACTGATGACATGAGTCGGGGGTAATTATAATAAATACCAGTAATCAGTGACAATTCTATTCAAAGACAAAGCAACTGGTTTCTGTCGCACGGCCACACTACTTGGAACACATCCGTTTTTAGTGACATTCTGAGGACAAATAGGCTTTTCTTTCATTTTAAGCTGTCCTAACAGTCTCTCATTGTGAGATAGTGAACTTCAGGGGAATTTGTAGAAGGTGCAAGTTCCACTGCCTCTTAAAACATTTCTTAAATATGGTTTAAGAAATAAATTGGCTGTTGTATATAAATATCTACTGACAAATTTCTGTCTCAACAATTTAGAAGAACTACCGGTCTCTGCAAAAATAACTATTCTTAGAACCAGTTCCTTGATATGATAAACATGGAAACCAGACAGAAGGAAAAAACTGTTTAATAGACCAGTGGATTATTTTGCATTCTCATATAACATTTCTCTATATTGCTGTGATAAAAAAAGGCAACAAAAATGGAATTCATCAAAAGTGGTCACTGGCAACCATATGGTGATGAACTCATATGTTTCAAAGCGACTTGTAAAGTAAAAAAAAAAAAAAAAAAAAAAAAAAAAATATATATATATCTATATATATATATATATATATTATATATATATATATATCTATATATATATATATATATATATATATATATATATAAAAGCACAAAACCCCAATAAATTTCATGTGTCTTTGGGATTCCAAATCATCAGTGGCTGTATGGTCACCATCATGATTTTATTATCGCAGATGGCTGCACATGATACATAAGACTTTCATCCCTTTAATTTTGCTATTTCATATATTTATATCTCTCAACACCACTTCAAACAAAAGAACACCAAGATCCAAATGTTTCTGTTTTTGTTTCTCGACTCTTCTTTTGCAGATTAAGAGATAGAGTGAAGAATTTGCTCTGGGGAAGAAGACAAAAGGAAACACCACAGCGGCAACAAGATTAACTCGAGGTCATCAGGTTTAATGAAGACAGACATGCGAGGTTGAGCGAGGGATGAGGAACCACACTGTAATGTTAGAAAACTCCCCAGGATCACCAGCTTTCCAGAACCAATCTTTTACAGAAAATGTGGCACATTCGAGCAATGCCCAGCTCAATTTCAACACCCATTGAAATTGATGATTATGTGAATGGGCCCCTTTCCAGATATAATTAGCACAGTGTACAAGGTTAAGTGTGGCCCAAGGGCAAAGAAAATGAATATATTGGGAAGCCAGAACAAAGGACTATCATGTTTAAGATAAGGTTCAGTTAAAAAAGAACAAACATTTGTAATTGCAGGGTGGGTTTTAAAGAAGTTGCATATTTTTAAGAAGTGATGGGTGAAGTAGTAGTTCAAACAGAGACAGTTCAGCAATATATTTTACTTTGCTATACCCATGCAAGTGACTGGTATGGGTATAGCATATAATATTAATATAATATTTATAATATTAATATTATAATAGTTTAATTGTTGCTTTGACTGAGATTTTCAATTACATTTCAGTCTGCTTATACTACGTTTTTATTGGGAAAACATGACAACAAAAAGTTGTCAAGTTTTTTTTTTTTTTTGGTTATGGGCAACCTTTCTTTTAGTCGCTGTGGCACAGCTGTCTTAGTGAAGAATTAAGGCTCATCATCCAAGGCCAAACAGTTGACATGGTTGTGGGACATATGTATTCTATAGAAGTGTGTAATGCTGCGCATTTTGATATCGAGCCGATACTGAGTAAATACAGAACCTGCATCACCAATACCAAAACCAATACTTTTTATTGAGATGAATATATCATTAAATTTCTTGCCTGTAAGTGTTTTGTGGTGTGTTCCTTTGAAAATTTTTGCTCAAACCTAGGGCATAATTTGGATAAAGTTTAAAGGTGTTTGCAAAAATACTTTAAGATACTAACATGATTTGTTAGTTTTTTCCTAGACAAAGCAAAAAAAATAAAAATAAAAAATAAAATAAAATCCTAATTTAAAAGTAAATTAAAGAAAAAAAATTGATTTAGAGTTGGAAAAACTACATCAAAGATAATTTTGCTTTAATTTGCTTTCAAATAAGGTGTCTTTTCTTTGTTTATTTAAGAATAAATGCCCAAAATGGGTTCAGATCCAGATGTGAGAAAACATCTGGATCTGGAACATCTTGTCTAGATGTTGTTACTGCTATCATTTTTATCACCAAGTTAAAGTTTGTTTATCTTGTTAGACTCAACCGGAGACCATGACCTTTGTTTTCTGCCCCAAAAGGGACATCAGACCTAAAGCCCTCAGAGGCTTTAAAGCCCTTTAAAGGTCCCCACCCCCCACGCAGTAGGACACTTCAGTTCTATTAGAATTGATAACCCTTCCAGGCAAGACCAAATACTCTGGGCACATAGTGAGTAAAGAGGTTCATTCCATCACAAAGTTATTATCCACGGGCAGATTGTTACCATTCATCACGCGCAAGAGATGAAACTCGCTGTTAGTCAAGGGAAACGGTTGTTTCACTGCCTTGCCACAGATCAATATGTGCTGCCATTTTCCTTTCTCCTTTGCTACAAAAAAGTAATTATACAGAAGAAATGTTGACAATCAATAGACTAGTCAGGTAGGGTTAAGGGCTGCCATGGAGGGTAGCAGAGGCTCCTCTGTCAGCTGTCAGTGATTCTCAGGTGGGACGGAAGAGGTTTGTTTGTTTCAGGTGTGTTTAAAATTTATCTAGTGTTTTGGAAAAGTACTTGAGAATGCCAGAAAATATGTGCTCCATCGAATAAAGTCGCAATTCAATCGACACCTCTTTTATTTTTACAGGGACAGAATTTATAGTAATGCGACTTTAATGTCCTCTGTTGAAAAAGAGGCGGACATTAGCCTTCAGTGTATTCATCAGTCTTGCCTTGACATCTACTTTCACTTCGGATAAGTCTGAACTTTATAATCTGCTGCAAGGGTTCAAAGGTCAACAGCAAAGGGTACCAGGGGGCAGAGGAAATCACTCTCTTGCTGGGAAAAATTCTGACATCCAATTTTCAACTTGATTTATCAGTGTAAAGCTAAAATTGATAGTGTGTCATTACTGAGCAGAGAGCTGTCTTGGAGAGATGTATCAAAGTCTCCTCATTTTGATTTAGCACAGTGGATCAATACAACCCTATACTGTTTCAATTTGAGAAATATTGATTTTTCTATGCTGGCACTATACAAGGGAACATTCATCATCAGGCAAGCATATAGTATGATCAAACAGGCCACCGTAGGGTCTGATCTGCCTTTTCTTCAGTCTAATCGCATGACTGTAGCAGCTGTTTTCAAGGCTTGTACAGATTATTACCTCGTAGCTGCCTGTTGTCGTTTGTGCTGCAGCACACTTTCCTAATGGTGTTTGGAGCAATAAGAATGACACAAAATAAGTGGCTCACAGAGAGGCAACCTGCAAATGTCTGTAGAAAAAGACGAAACAGATTAATCTAATTCTTATCCATCTAATAAGATCAGCTGCAAACACACACTGGTGGATAAGCAACATAAACAAGTCAAAAGTTTTATTCAGCTGCCGTCCTAAGAATAATTTAATTTGTGATAGTCTGTGCTAATGATAAATATTCTTTGGCAAATCTCTAGACAGAATTTAGCAATAAAAAGGTAAAACAGTTTCTGTGTATGAGGATGAAAACATAACCAAGTAAAGGTTCGACACACACACACCCGCACGCACACACACAGTCAGCCATTCACAGAGCCTGGGGGCTTTATATTTTACAAGGGTAGCATAAATGGGAAAGTTAATGTAGCAGTGAATAAGAATAAGCTGCTGAACTGCAACACTGCCTTGAGCTTGTGAGCATATTGCATCATTTTTCTTCACCAGCAGGTTACCATTAAATTTGAATTTGTTGGAAGTTTTGTTGTATCATTTACAATGCACCCATGCTCAATAACCTTTTGTTTCAATGCAAATGCTATGCCTCTGGGTGGGGCTCCATAAATATTTGAACAAGAGCCCCAAATTCAACCCAGCACATTTTTATGGGTTGCTAAAGTTTAGTCAGATTTATTTAAAAAAATGCATTTAGACGATGCAAAAATGTTACACTCAAATTATTAGCATAATAAATGTAATTTTATCTACATTATTCCTTTAGCACCATTTTTAAATAATTTGCAATATTTGAACGCTCTCCTATATATTCAAATGCTAGCAATTAGAATAAATAATGCCAGTATATAGCATTTGAATATGAATAAAAAAATCTACCTGACATCCAGGACAAGATGACACTGTAAAGCTTCTTGGAATGTACAGCTGAAAATCTGAATCACACAACTGTGAGCTGAGCTTCAACGTGAATGAACTAAAACATGTTGTTGCATGGAAACTGGTCAGAAAATGAAACAAAAAGTCAGCTTGCAATTAACATTAGACAGATTTTAGCTTTATCTATGTGACTAGACGGTCAGAACAGAAAAATCTGTCAGTGAACACATGAAACAAATTACATTGACAACAACATTCTACGGTGTAGAATTATTAAAAAACAGATAGGCAATGTTAATAGAAGATGTTAAAAAGTGTCTAAGATAAGATCATTTCATTGTTGCTCTCTGCCATGTCTTACACACAGCGTGACGTTGTGTTAAGCATGTGAAAATTAATAACCACTTCGAATTGTCATCAGTTCTTCAGTGCTGTTCATGTTTTATTTTAAAGTTTTTTCAGATAAACTTTAAATCAGCAAAAATATTCTGATCAGTGCACCCTTAATATATCTGACCTCTTCAACAGGCTTAATTATACAATCTTTGGCGAGGTGGATAGGATCAACCTTAAAGTTTCAATTATAATTAGGTTTTTTCACCACTGTATTTTTGTAGGAAAAACAGAGGTAAGTTTCAGAGCAGAAGAGCCACTTGTTATTTTATCAGGGTTCATATGGGGAAGTCCAGTTGTTTCCACCAGGTGATATGCTTTGTTTCTCAAAATGTCAACAAAAACCTGGACAATGGTACAAAAAAAGAAACCCCACCCCCAAAATTGCTTCCACCCATGTATGTAGGATGACTAGCCAATCAACGGTCCCCTGGGAATTAGGTCACTCCACACTGTAATTGCATTTGCTGACCCAACTGCTAACCCTATCGAATCCTGGGAAAATTATATTAACCAGTCCTCCCACCAATCGAATGAAGATCACTCTAAGCAAGAAACTTTTGATGCTCCTGAAGATTGGACCTAAGATCACACATCAATGGCAGATGTTTAAGACTTAACTTGACCTGCAGGTAAAAACGTACCTCTGGCACGGTATACCCCAGGCCCCATGCTTGTTGGTGAGGATGTTGACAATCTTCTGCTTCAGTTGATTGGCTGTGACATGATCTCTATGCTTAGCAGCACTTATCAGGTGGTCACACATCTTCTCTTCTTCTTTCCTGTCTGCAGCATACTGTGCACAGCTGGACTAATGTACACAAAGAACAAAAGAACAGTGTTAACCTTGTTTGCATGGTGTCCTTTCCAAACAAAAACCATGCCTGACATTGAACTAACACCATTCAAAAAGGTTCCATTTGAATAAAGTCAGAATAATATATTTCTCCTAATAGAGCATTTGTCACGATGAGGAATGTTATGGCTTCATTCACCACACTTGAGTGCATAAAGATATTAGCGGACAGTTGAGAGATGTATTTCTGCTCCCTTAGAGGAGTGTTATAAATCAAAGAGAGCACATGGAGGTAGTTCATTCCCAAAATGTAGACAGATGAGGTTCCCTCCTAGGTAGCTGTGGACGCTGCTATTAGAAAATAAATGTTAATAGTCCCACAAAATATAGTACACTTCCATGTACAAAATACATTGGCAATATGAAAAGTTAATTGGCTTGCTGTATAGGAATCGTGGAAAATATAGAAATAGAGCCATTTTCTAAAGCAAGAATGCTATTAAAATACTACTGAAATAAAAAAGATATAAATATAAAATGAATTTGTATATTAATGTATTGATTTAGGGGCAGTAGAAGGGATCCAGGTGGTTGAAAGTAAACTAGAACAGCTCTTGTTTTCGCTTCTAAAATAAGATTGTCTTACTCTTCCACCCTGAGGGGACTCTTGCTAATATTCACAATCTAATTTGCTAACAGAAGCTGGAAGTTAATTGAATTTCCTGCTTTAAATTTGAATTCTGTCAGACACTATATTTCAACATATTCCTCATAAAGCAAATAACTCAATCGCTGCCTGTCACCCTGCATTACCACGTGACTATGTGACAAATATCAAACATTATTTATCACTTTAAAGCATATGACGCTTCTCCTTGACACCAGCTTAATTGTAAAAATGTCTTATCTGTAACCTGAATCTTCAATCATGGAGAGTGGGTAATAAAGTAATGTCAGCCCCAGATGAAAAGTGTAAGCTGTCTGGAGTTGGCAGACAGGACGGATAGGGCCAGGTACACTTCTTCCCTCCTCCACCGTTCCCTTGACACCACATATCTAGTCGTCTCTTCCAGTTTATCTAGCGGGTCAAGGATCCTCAAGAACTGTATATCAAAAAGCTGCTTGTGGCTGGCTGCTTTTCTAAGATAAGAAACATGTCATCCCTCACATGTACACGCTGTTAACAGAGGTGAATGAAGTGTTTGAGTTTAGGTTTGTAGAGATGCAAAAATACTTGCATTCTGATGTCTAGCAAAGTATTCACACCTATATTCACAACTTTCCCAGCTTTTAATGGTTGAATACACTCTTAACAGTAATCCCTGGAGTTAGTTGGTCACCAGTAATAAAGTATTCTTGCTTGGCTAACGCTATAAAAATTTTAACAATGAAGAGTCAAACCTAAAAACTATTATTGAGATTCTAAAGTTGAACAGTAAAACAGCAATCCCATTACTGTTTTACAGTAATGGGATTTGTTAAGTGCTCATCAGAGAGTGCTCAAAATAAAATTGTATTTTCACAGCATACAAAAAAATCTAATCATTTGAAGTAGATGTAGTTTAGAAAAGAACCATTAATGAAAAGAGTCATGTTTTGGTACAATTACATGAAAATCATTGATGATGTTGGCATTTAACTTGAGATGGAACAAAAGTTGATACCTCAAACTCTGCATGTTTGTGGACGTCCTCAGCTCGCTGTCTGTTCAGGATGAATTCAGCCTCATTGGCAACTCGAACGATGTGGTCCTTCATGGCATGGCACAGCAACCTTTAACATTGAACACCAACAGACACTTTTACAAATGCAATTTATGAGAAAATGTGAGAAATATAGTCAAATGGAACACTTGTGTGAAATTCAAACTCGGTTTACTACAGCGGTTCTGCAAAGGCATCGTTAGTTTGTTAGAGAACATAAGTAAAGAAACTGCATCACGAAGACCAAGAAACATATTTCAAGTCAAAGCAGAAATATACCAAGATGTGACTATCCACCTGAACTGGCAGGCAGAGCAAAGAGAACATTAACTAGAGAAATAAGAAGTCCCATATTCAGTTTGCTATGTCATGCAAAGAATACATAAAACCTGACACAAGGTTTGAAATCAAAACTGAGTTTAAACAAAGCTGAAGATTGTTGTGATGTAAAAGGACAATGAAGGGGTGTGAATATAGCTGCCAAATTGGCCTCTTTTTTCTGGTTGCACTGCAAAAATGAAAGTCAGTGACTGAGCCTTCTGTACCATTAACAAAAGAAGTCACCACTGAAACCTGTTCTGCATAATTTGATCTTTTGAAAGTAAAAAAAAAAAAGCAATATTCAGAGAACCGCCTAGTGCCTGGAAAGCTTAGAAAGCAGAAAGCTAATCTAGATGTCCTTAGGTAACAACTTTTAACATTTAAATTGTACTATCTAAAAAAAACAACTTCAACAAATAAATTCTCTGCAAATATGTTGGATGATTACAACCCATTTCACACACCATTAGGCAAGTTTTGTTTTAATTAAAACAGATCTTGTCCTTCTCTAGAGCCTCATACAGATTTTACTATTGCTTTCTGTCCCCAAGGAGAGTCATTAATCTGGAAACTACAGTCATCAGCTGCTCTCGCCTCTTTAACTGTTGACAAGCACTCATTAACAGACAGGAGTTCACAGTTCAAAGAGAGAAGCTGACAACGTGAAGCTTTGTTTCGAAACCAAGAATAGATGAGAAAGTGAGTTGACAAGTTCCAGTTAGATATCAGTTATCTACCTGGTATTTTTGCTACATGCACAGAAAGAACAATAAAAAAGCAGAAGACAAAAACACCTGAAAAAAGCTGAAAGTGAAGATTTCACAACTAATGTTTCTATGTTTGTTCGTAGCTTTGAAAAGGTAAAGGTATTTCTTTTTGTTAATGTTTGTATTGATTTGTCACTGACTGGAGTGCATTTCAGATCCCTGCATCTTATAAAATATCTGCAGAAAGATAACATAAATTGATTCATTTTCTTTTAGGTACTGATATTTTTCTCTTACTATAAAACTTCCCACAAAAAATTGCTGAAAAAGTTTCAGATCTGACTTTTTCAAATTGACATATTTGAAAAAGATCTAATGAGATTATAAAATGCCCATCTAACCCACCTATTGAATGCATCTTTTCAGAGTTTGATATGGGCAGCTGCGTTACTAAAAATAAAATAAAAAAATCATCTACTTGCGTAACGTGTCTTTGCAAATACAGCAGGAACAACATCAGTGTCAGCAACACCTTGTGAAGCAAACAGATTTACCAGCCGGTTCCTGTAGATCTGTCTAGTTAAGCAGGTTAGGTGGACACAGTCTAGTGTAAGACTGGAAAATTATGCGTCTGTCAGCAGCACCCTGGACAGCGCCGTGTGGCCCCACCAACTGAACTTCTTTGTTCTAGGGCCAGCAGGGGACAGAGAGAAACCTGCTTAGACCGAGCTTATAGCCTGGGCATTCAGGAGGACGGGGCAGATGGGTCAACAGATGGACAAGGAGGCTGAGCTGCCCCTGATCTGCTCAGAAAAACTCTGAGTCTGGCCACACCCAAACACGGAAACAGAGGAGGAAGAAGAAATGAACAAATAGAGGCAGACAACACAAGAGATGCTCTGCAGTGTTATTCGTAATTCAAGTAAAACAGCTTATTTGCCTTTATCTCACTAAGAGATCAGAGATTTAGAGCTAAGCTACACTGCTCCACTTAGCTTAACAACCTCTTTATGTCTGCCAAGAAGAAAATGATAAACTGTACATTTTGATAATAAATGTCAATATAAAACCACTGCTGGGCTGTGTGATTTTGAAATGAATGTTTGAATTACCTTCCTTCATTTATTAGCTCAATGAAAGCGAGGCCAGCATTCTTCTGAATGGAGTTCTGCCACTCCTGAAACAAAAAGAGACAGTCATTCAAACCAGCATAATTACAATAAAGTAAAAGTCTATTATAAAGTCAAATCCTATAATGTTAAAGTAGATTATGAGGTACTATTTTGATCCACTATGTAACTAAATCTTTTTTTGATGCATATTTCAAGTGTAATTTAGATTACATCCCATAGCTTGAAATTCAAGTGGGTAAAGAAAGCATTTAGTTGATATATCCTTCGAGGAAAAAAAGTGATTTCTATAAAAAGCTGAAATTCTGCACCACATGTGAGGCAACGTTTTCTTCCTCTGTGAACAGATCTGTAAACACAGGAGAGATGTAATTATGGGATGAAATTGTATCCTCTCGCTTAAATACAGCCATTTCCTCCGTCCCTTACAGTGACAGATTACTGAGCAGGCTCAGTGAGCCCTGAAGTGTGCTCCTGGAACGGATCCGAGCCGTGGCCTGGCTGGAGTGCCAGCACTTGCCGTCTCACAACAGGCTCTGGAAATGATTAAAAAGCAGTTTGAGAGTGTGCCTTTCACTGTGGGAAACTCAGTTTTCCTGTAACCTTTCTGAGGTGCAAATGAAAGAGAAAACAGAGAAGGCCGCGGTTCACGAAAAGGGAGGGGGCATGCAGAAAATAAAAAGAAAATATTTGAGTTCCCAAAGGTTTTGAGCAAATATGTAATTTAAGAGTATCTAAAGATAAGAAGTTCTATTCATGCTCAGCAATCACACCGAGTAATTTAATTGCCATAAACATTATACAATGAATATTTTATTTGAAAAATGTTGTTCTTTGCTATTTTGTCATGCTTAAATACTTAAGATAATCAAAATACCTATATCCTATATTCGTATAACAAGAGTGGAAAGAAATTACAAAATTTCAAACAATTTTATATATTGAGGGAAAAAAAGAATTAACCACAAACTTGGTCCTGTTTGAAGGTTAGTGCACACCTTTTTAAAACCATGACTTAATTCCTGCTTTTTGAAAAGATGGCAATTAATAGAAACAGCCTTTTTAGGATAATGCAACAGGACCTCAATCTGATTAAGTCCAGTGTTTGTCTAGACCACTTCTAACTAACTCTTACTTTGTTTTCTTTGAGCTGTTAGGTAGTAAGCTTGCTAGTGTGTTGTCCTGTCACATAACATTACACATAACAACATTATGTTTGAGCTTAAAGTCATAAACTCATGGCTGACTGTCCTTTAGCACTTTGTGGTACAGATAAAAAAATCACCATTGCATTCCTGCAGTAATCTGTGGGTGATGATGAGATCATGAGTGAAAATAGTACCAAACCATCCCAGTACCACAAAGATTTGTAACTGTTGATCTTTGTTAATTTTCTGATATGCTGTTAGTTTTTCTCCAGATGTAACACGAGGAACATCTTCCAAAATTTCCGCTTTGTTTTTTGCCTGAGAAGTCTCCTAGGGATGCAAGTTTTGCTGGGGATTTTTTTTTTTTGTTGCCATTTTTGAATGATGAACTCTGACCTTAACAGAGTAAAGTGAGGCTTGCAGTTTCTTCAGATGTTATTCTGAGTTCTATTATGTATTACTAGACTCATAGCCAATGCCCTCTTGAGGTAGTTTTGCCAGGACAGAAATTTCAGGAACGGTTCTCCAGTCCTTAGTGAAAAACGACTCTTACTGTGTTTCATTAAAGTCCCAAAAATGGCTCAGTAGCTCTTTCCAGACTGACAGATATTGCTGAATTAGTTTCTCATCTGTTCTTAAATTCCTTTACATCAGGGCACAAGGTGCTACCTTTTGGGATCTTTTAGCCTAATTCATGCTGTTACACTAGTTCTACTGTATTTATGCAACTTCCTGATTCCACAGGTCTGGTAGTAATTATGGGATGTAATGAGCTGAAATTCAATTCAGATTTCCAAAGAATGTAGTATAGAAAAGGTGATTCATGATTTAAAAACAAGTGATTACAGCTTCCTGCTTTTGCCCTTAGTGAATGAAATCACTTGAAAACTATTTTTTCTACTGATCTATGTCTAAAATTAATGTTGGTGTGCAGTTCTAACCTATTTAAGTGTGGCAAAAGAACAAACCAGCAGAACTGTAAGTGGATCAATTATTCACAGATCTAACATATAACAGATGCAAAACAGTGACAAACTCTTTACTCTGTCTGTACACAGTTAGCAGCCTTCCTTGTGTATATCAGAATAACTGACACTGACATTATTATGTATGGGCAAATTCTTTTGTGAACAGTTGTCGTGACTGACACATTCTGGTTCATGCGAGACTACACAGTCTGACCCCATGATGCTTTAAGTCAGCGATATGGTGCTGACAAACTGCTGAGCATCTGGGCTCCAAATGTTCTCCATGACCTCCTTTCTTCACTTACAGTATCTGCCTAGAAGTAGGCTGTTGTTGATTTAGACAGGGATCATGTATGCCCAGTCGTCCAAGGTTTCCCTCTCACCGCGCTCACGTGACAAAAATAAATACGGAAATCGAGGCAGATGTGACATTCAGGGAGATGCCAGGAAAGCGGCAGCAGGTCAGTGGAGGTAAGGCGTGAGCGAGTCAAATTTGCTATCTTGTCTAAGGAATGCATGTTGACAGCTGAGATAGCACTTCAGAGACTTTCTACTTCTTTTTTTCTCTCTCTTTTACAAGAGAGAAAAATTCACAATAGAGGCTGTCTTTGATTGCAGATATTTGAAAAAAAGTTCTCTGGTGCCCATTTGAAGTGAATCAGGGCTGACATGCTCCCCCTTAAAAGAAAAAGATGCTGCCTTTGCAGAGCCTGACCAGAATGCGGCACCTCTAATTAAACTTACTCTACAAAGAAAATTTAAATCAGAAAATATACTAATAGTAAAAAAAAACTGCCAACAATAAAGAACAGTCATAGTCTGGCTTTACTAGGATATATTTTGCCATTCTTTGGTCTAAGCTTTGAGAAATAACAAAATCGCCTAAAATCCCTAAACTCCCATCCCAGTAAACAGCTTTTAGGTCTTTAGAAGAATCACTCTCCTCCCACTTTCATCTTCCTGAAATTCAGCAGGGCTTTAAGTATTTGTGGTGTTTCAATCCAACCTGTCAGTATGTGGGAGCCTTTGCTTTTATCTGCTCAGCTTTGCTCTGTTATAGTCTCCACATCTGGGGGCCTTCCATCAGTAAATCTCAGTGGCTCCACTCTAGAACCCCCCAAACCCCCATACATGTTTAAGCTGTTACAAAAAACAGAGCTGCTTGACCTTTTCATTCAGCTGCCCAGGCTGAGGAGAGACACACCGTGTCTGCAGACGAGGCCAGCCACACCATGATTGCCATGATTAGTATGCAAAAATAAGAAAAGGCAGATCATTAGCACTAATTTATTCATAAAACTGACAGTCCACAAAACAGAAAAGGACTAAAGGTCAGCTAAATGCCCTCCTGGCTGTCCTAAAACATTAAAGCTGAAATATGTAAGGAATGTGTCAAAGCTGGCATGTCGAGGAAGTGTCAGCCAACCCTCAGACTGCATCAGAAAAACCTGCTGCACTGTTTAAAAATCACTTGAGATGCTCCCAAAGATATTAATTAGGAGCCTTTTTCTAATCCTTTTGAGTCAATACATGCTATCTGACGATGATAAGGGTTAAAATTATGAAATTTTGTGCAACTGGTGAATGTTTGGAAGTAAAAGATTTTTTACTCTATCAAAAGCTGCAATCTAGTAATACAAATATTTGTCCAAGTCTGTTTAGTTTCTTACACATGAGGTGCCTAAATGTGAGAAAAGGATTATCTAGTGCTTTCAATGATTTTCATAGCCTTTTATGGTCTTCATCAGATTGCCTTTTTTATGTAGGTCATCCAAGTCACTCATGCAGGTCATCTGGAATATGTTTCTACCCAAAGTAAAAATGTTCTGATTGCTCCCCCTACCTGTGAAAAGACCTTTGTGAAGAACAAAGGCCAGTCAAGCCTTGCTAATTCTCTTTTTCTGAATTTTTATCTCACTTTTAGAAATTTGGACTATTTCTTACTCATTTAACCTAATTTTTGTTGCATTAGGTTAGTTATCTAACAAATATATTTTTATTTACTACTCTTGTTTCGTTTTATGCCTTTGTTGAGTTAACCATTTGACTATATATTGTTTCCTCTTTGTGATCTTAGCTGTACCACTTCTTAGGATTTTCTGTCCTTCTTAATTTTTATGTATATCTCTATTATCCCTGCGTCATTACCACAGCTGTATTTACTTAGTGAAACATGGACTCTGTTTCTCCACATGCCAAGCCCTCTTCTGTTTCACTTTTTGTGCTAATTTTCTTGTTTGAGACTCTTGGCACATACATAATCACAAGCTGATAAACTGGAGTCAGTGTCTTACCAAATCACCCTTCGAAATGTAGAAAAACAGTGTGTTTAACCAGCTAGCTTTCCCCTGAGTCACAGCTTAAAGAAGCTAAAAAAAAAAAAAAAAAACTGCCATTACAGCATTATTATTTTTCAATCATATTAGTTGCTAAGATAAGTAGATTGATTATGAACAGAGGAGAGTTAGGAGGTAATACCTCATCCCTAGTTGAAAGGCTGTAGACACCCAGCTATACAGTCCAGTTTCAAGGTCTCATGGTCTGATCAATATCTCAGCCTAGGTTTCATCCCCAGAGCCCCTAATGGCAGGAACCTCTGGAGCCTCAGTAATGCTATCTGTTTAAAAGGGGGGATGGACTCAGGCCCTTAACAGCATGCTGACGCTTTCATCTGCAATAAATCCTAGAGCTGGAAAGACAGCTCACCATAGATACTTCACAGACCAAGAAACATCACAAAAAGTAGCCCTTCAAAAACTATCACAAGAGCAACAATATTTCAGTTCTGGCTGCCCCATCTATGCACTGTTGGTTTTTTTCTTTTTTTCAGGAAAGCTCCTGAATAATGGCCTCCATATAACATAGGTTGAGCTCCCTGCTGCACAGAGCCTTGGATTTTGGATGCCTCGAAGAGAGCACAGTGGCGATCTACCTCCTCCAGTCACAAGGATCCACAGAGAGGCACCAAGTAATGGCTTCCTTATGGGCTCCTGATGCAAGACTGATGGGCTGACAAAAGGTATGTTAAATATCTCCTGTTGTAACTGCTACATCAGGGCTCTGACCTTCTCTAAAACATGGGCTTAACAAGGGATTCAGAGGGTCAGCTCAGAGGTGATCAGTCACTTGCAGGGACATGAGGTGGGGCTCATTTTCTTAAAGGAAGGTTTGGGATTAGTGCTCCCGGGTGTAGCGAGAAAGTCATTGGGTTGTCAGAAAGCTGTATGTCTCTGATTGGCTTGGAGAAAGCAAACTAAAATGATATGCACGGGATAGCTTAAACTCCAAGATAAATAAGACAACTCGCACTCCAAGGGAAAAAGAGCGAGAAGAAAAAAAGGCTTTCAAGGGATGATGGGGGAATATATATATTTATTTACCTGAGAACAAAGAAGCATGACGAGCTCCACTACTGAGGTGCTTGACTTCATACATACGAGACCTATCAAGACAGCAGATGAAAAGAATAGTTATGAACCAGGAATGTAGGTAGACATGTTTTAAACAGAGAATCTGTAAGGATCAATATTTACTACATTAGTTAAGACAGAAGATGGTGTCTTAAAGATAAACAATGCAGCACAGACGTTAAAATTTCACCTGGATTCACCACTGGATCTGGCTTCAAACTCTTAGCTGTGTTTCCAATTTGCTATTAAACTATTTAAGCAACATCTGTAACAGATAAGCATTCTTCACACAACCACATCTACATTTACACATTCCACACGCTCACAGCAGACATTCACAGCTTCTTCCCCAGCCTCCGTCCTGCAGACGGTGAGCCACCGAAGCAGACAACTCTAATGAAACATGGACAGGTGTGAAAAGCTCATTTGTAGAAACGGTGCCTGCAACTGGTTTTATATTCTGCGCCTTTCTGCTGCACCTGGAGAGAATCATGAGAGGTGCAATCAGCAGTGAAAGTAACTCTCAAGGACTAATTAAAGATGAGGCAGACTAAAACTCAATATCCTACCCGTGCTTTGGTTCAAAAGATGGGGGTGGGTGATAAAAGAGACGACAAAGCTTTGCAAAAGTGTCCATATCCCTTGAACATTTTCACAGTTTGTGAAAATTGGTAACAGAGTCTGTTACCAATTTTCTGTAAAAAGTAGAACAGAATTTTCAAATGGAAAGAAAGTGATGAATGGTTCTAAAACACCTTTTGCAAAAAAAAAAAAAGAAATAAATAGCATTTTATTTCAATCCCCTTCACTGCCATGCTCTAAATAAAAATCCATTGTAACCAATAACCATAACAAGCCACTTCATTAATAATATATTTCCCATGAAAGCCTCACATGTTTATGCAAGAATGTTATGGAGGAAAAAGCATCATGAAGACTAAGCAAAACATCAGACAGGTCAGAGAAAAGGTTGTGAACAAGTTTAAAGCAGGGTTACATAATATAACATAATATTAGGTTCAGTCCATCTTCCAAAAATGGAAAGAGTATGGCACAACTGCAAACCTACCAGGACATGGCCACCCACGTAAACCGACAGACTGGGCAGAGAGAGCATTAACCAGAAAACAAGCCAAGAAGCCTGTGGCGGCTCTAAAGGAGCCAAGGAGACCCACATCTCAAGTGGGCGAATCTGTCGACACGACAACTGAAAGAAGAAAGCCGTTACTGAAAGAAAGCCATAAAAAGTCCTGTTTGCAATTTTGCACCAGTAATGCAGGGAAGACAGCAAACAGAAAATAAGGTTGAGACTAAAACATTTTTGGCATTTTTGGCCTACATGCTAAATTGTATGTGTAACTTATTTTGCATAAACCTGAGACTTGGATTGAAATTTATGTTCCAGAACAACAAAAGTCACTAGAATCACAGCAAGAACTACAATGGAAGGATTTTGATCAAAGTATTTTCATGTGCTGGAGTGGTCCAGTCAAAGTTCAGAGGTGGATACAATTGAGGATCTGTGCCAAGTGTTGAACATTGCTGTTACAAACCCTCACCTTCAATCTGATTGAGTCCTGGTTAACATACATGAGCATATTTTGAGTCTCTAGATGTGGAAAAAAATTGTAGACATATACCCAAAATTACTTGCAGCTGCAATTACAGTTAAAATCGGTCCTAAAAAGAACTTAGTTCAGTTGGGCTAAACACAGACATATCCCACGCTAACAAGTTGTATTTCTTTCTTTCCATTTCACAGTTATAGAATGTTTTCTGTTAGTATTTCACCCATTATCCAAACATATTGTCTTTTGTTGTTGTAACGCGGTAAATTGTGAAATACAAAATCAAGATATGAATACATTTGCAAGGCACTCCATTCTTAGTTTCAGTTTGGCAATTACAAAATATTTAGGAACTGTTTGGACTTCATTATGGTTAAATTGAAACAGTGCAAGGAAACAAATCTGATAAAAAAAATAATCTAGCTTCCAAAAAAGGACATTAAAGTTTAAACTACAAGTAAATTTGAATATGCAAAAGGGCTAATCTTTGTCGGCAAAATTGACAATAAAGTAGAGGAAAAAAGAGAAAGTAGCACTTTAAAACATTGAAAACTCATTTTGAAATTTATTGCAGTTGAAGATGCAAAATTAACATGAAGTTAAAGTTTCTACATCTACAAACAACTGTTTTTCATACAAAAACATAGCAAAATAAAAATGTATTGATCATTTAGAGGTGTCTTTTTCTTGTTCTGTTTAACAGCGGAAACTACTCAAAGGAACATATTGTAAGTACTCTAAGAGGAAGTGACCCTTCTCTTGTACATGGAGTGCCACGTTTGACCCCTTGTTATAGCAGTGACATGCGAGCCATAAGTCAGTCCGGTCTGACAAGGGAGTCAGGTGGCCGACTGACCCTGGCCTTGTGCTGGTAGACAAACTAAATGCATTCTATTTAAACACTCCCTGCCAGTCCTTTCCTGTAAACAGCGCAGGGTTGAGGCACGGGTGAATGTGGCATTGTGGGGTGATGTGGCGGCAGGCTGGGCCACTCAAGGGACAGCGAGAAGCAGGCGGCAGGCATCACAACAGCAGCAGTGTTCGTGCACAGCCCTTACCCACCAACTCCAAGTGTGAAGCTCTTAGTGCACTCAACATAATTGCTGCAGTGACCACGCATCTGAAAAGGGGGTGAAGGAACAGGGTGAGGGAACGGGGCACAGAGGGCACAGGAGGGCTTGACCCAAGGCAATCAAAAGAGTGATGGATGGGCGGTAATTACTGGTAAATGGAGCGCCTTTGCACTGCAGCACAGTATTTCAACTGTGTGCCTGGGAAGGTCCAGGAAGAAAAGTAGAGAGAGAAACAGAAAGTACAAAATCAGCATGAGCACAAACAGACCGCAGCGAATTCACTCTAAGGTAGCTCAACACAGTTAAGCATTCTATATACATCTAAGTGTAAGTTAAGAATCTGTGTACTTATTATTTCAGATAAAGTTGTTCTAATCCAGAACAGAAAGTGCTTTTCAGAGACTCAGACAGGGTTAAACATGTCTGGTGAAGAGCGCAGAGGACCCAGCTGTCTATCTACGACCTTGTTTGTTGGGTTTACAGTCTGCAGCCCGAGATCAGCCTTGGTTTGTCAGCTTGGTCAGTCTGCTGACAGACTGTGAGTGAAAGGGTAACAGACATATTCACACTTGTCAAAGCTTTGCTACCTGAATTTTCTTTCCTCCCTCTTGACATTGAGCAAGAAGCCTCAGCCAAACGTCAATCCAAGACATCTTCTCAACATGTTTGCGGTGCAACCATGTTGTAACAGAGTAAAACATCTCAGTGCAATATTTGAAATTAAGTTTGGTTTGATTTTCAGAGTCAACAACAAACTGAAAAAAAATAAAATAGATTTTTTTTAAATCTAGAAATTACATTTATTTTTAATTTATAGTCTATATAAAGAACACATGTTTTGTCAAAGGAATGTTAAAAACATGAAGGGAGCACATTGTTTCAGTTGGCTTCACTCCACTTGTTCTGCTGAGAGTACGAGTAAGTTTACTTCTACGAGAAAACAGCTTGAAACTTAGATAGAATCAAAAATTATTTTGGCTTGTAAGTTAAACGGCAAAAAAAGTCCATAAATATAATTTGCACTGTGCACACCCAGGCAAACATTTGCAGACTGAGTGTCGCACATGTGCATGCCGACTGAAGTGCCATAGTGATCTTGTGAATCCAAGCCAAAGCCTGGGGAGCAGTGTGTAAGCTTTCTCTCATATAAGTTTATGAGGTTAGGCACAAAAAGTTCTGACATGATTTTCAAGCTAAAGCTGCTGTCACATGGCATAGATGTGTTTTTTTCTGTGAAATTTTGCAGTGAGCAACTGAAACTGAAGGTCAGGGACAATTAACATTGTTGGGATACTTTCAAATCCGTAAGCATTACGCACACAAAAAGCAAAATATTTTATTCATAATATTTACAGTTTATTAAATGAGTTGCCAGAAAATATATGAGACAAGTTTTCAATGTTTGGATGTAGCACAAAGCAACACAGTACCACAAACATCCCCAACCTGTTGCTGCATCCTGGTCAGCTGGCTGAAAGGAAGTCCATACATACAAATTCTGCTGCTAGAAAAATTTTCCACATGTGTAACACACAGTGACAGCAGTGTGAAATCTATCACTCATTGACATAAAGATGTTAAGCAGCCAACTGCAACCTGGTTACTCAAGCAGATAGCGCAGCTTATTATCCATCTAATATCAACTCCCAGTCTGTGTTCAAAAGGTGCATTTTTATTAACAGTAAGCACTGCAAAACTATTATCATGCATAGCTTTTCAAAAATTTATAATTTTACATAAAAACAGGATTTTTTGTCTTTTTTTTATTTAAAAAAATTCTAATTTTTATTTTTTAGTGCCAACATTAAGTTTATACCTACAATTTTTTATTAAATTTTGACCATTAAAAATATAACAATAACAATCCCTGACTGCTAACCCCAATTTTCTTGCAGTAAATGATAAGAAAATTCTACAAAAGCCCAAACAAAAAAATACTCCTGGATTTATATGGTTGTAAAAATAAACCAGTTTCATTTTTACAACTGCATCCAGGGAGTGACAAAGAAAACCAAACATTCATAGGAGATGAAATGTTAGGAACTCCTGCTTGTGTGCAAAAACTGACTTTCTTGTCCAAGACTTCTGCTGAGGGTGCACACATCGATGGAGCAGCCAGTCAAACTAATACTGTACAACAGGAGGCTGACAGAGACATGAAAGCAGGCAGAATTTAAAATACAACCATACCTTCGATTAGTAACTCTTGTCCATGGCTGCCCAGCAGAGTCCGTGACAGAAAGGGTGCAAAGTCCACAAAGATTTCTCTCAACAAGGGAGCCACTTTCTCCAATGCTCTCTCTAATTTTGTAGTGATGCTGTAAAATGAACACCAAAATACATCAAAAGAGTAGGGTTAAACTGAAACAAAATGAAGATAATGTAACATCATATCAAGCTATAGTCAGAAAGAAATGATTAAATTGGCAAACAAGCACAATGCTGCCAGCAGTTAGTCAGCTTTCCAGGGTTGTGGAGGAGGCAAATATCACGAGTGTGGTTGCCATCAACAGAAATGTCAATAACAAGTTGTCTGAACATATTTAAGCAGCTAGCTGATTTTTTTTTAGAGAGACATGTGGCCAGGGCTACAAGGGAGATCACAGTAATTCAGGGCTGGAGAAGAAGAGCCGTACAGTAGTCACTGCATGAGTCCGCCTGACGTTATCTGAACACCTTCAGAAAATCAGCAATATGGAGTCATGCAGCTATTCAACTCAGACTGAATACAGAAAGAGATGCGAGTCGAGCCTCTGCTTATCTGTGTGCTCTTAGGTGTACACACAAAGATGAAAAAAGGCAACCTTAAGAGAGCTGTAGCTTGTTTTCTTTCCTAAGACGGGCAAAAAGCAGATAGACAGAGAGAGACAGCAAGGCTTGGTGTAGGATTTGGATGGATGTGTAGTGTAATCTGCCCCACAGCCAGCTGAGAAGACACAGCATAGGCATAACACATTGGCATAAAACGGAGGATGCAAGCTGAAGGTTTAGGTGACTCGCACAGATGGGCCTGCTTCTCCGTAGGCTGCCTGTAATCCTGTCAGAGAGCTAAAGGGTTTCGGCTCAGAAGGTGTCAGTCCTTTAGGTAGTGGATTATGGTCTATTTCACAAAAGATAAAGATGGAAAGAGAAGATGCAACCCTTGTAAGATAAAATTATTAATCAAGAAATAAAGAATATATTGCATACTACAAAATAAAAGAGCATATTAGAAAAACCATATATAAGAATTTTATTTTTTTAACTTATTTGTTTTGTGGAGCACATATTTTAGCATAGGCGCTTTACTCTCCTCTCAATCTGCAGCAGAAAAATAGTATGAGTGATATTAGTTACTGCAGCCATGGAAGACAAATTTTTACTCCTCAAGCACAACACTTGGACAACGACACACTGTGGAGAAAGATCTTGTTTTGTATGTTTGAATGTATGGAGGTGAGACAAGGTCCCAACCAGATATATGTGCAAAGCTATGGACATGTCAGGCTTGATAAACATAAATGGGGATTTATAAATACATAAAATCACACAATTAGGATAAAATCATATTTATAAAAACATGCATTACATACACCCAACTTTGTAGTCACTGATGTCGTCCATTAGTGACACAAACTGAGTTAGCAACACAGAACGCTAAGAAGGTCAAAAAGACAAGTTGAACCTCATATTTTCGACTGTGTCTTCAGGCATGGGGGCCACGGTTTGCACGGCAGGGAGATTTTTACTCGTTGCGCCATTGACAAAACTGGTGGAAGACGATGCAGAGGCGGAGGCTGCCTCAGCGGCGCCTGCAGGGGAACAAAAGAGTAGTCTGCATTTATGAAGAGCAGAAGTATTCCTCGCTATGTTCAACGAAAATAAATTGAATAGGTTCTAGATGTCTGGTTTCAGATGTCCCATCTCAAAAGTGAAGCGGACATGGACGAACGGATGGATGTTTTAAATGTGAACTTTTTAATTTTAAATGTTAAACTTTTAACATTCTAATACTGTAAAGCAGAAAACACAAAACCTATATTTAAATATATATATATATATATATATATATATTGCTCCAATAAAATCACATTTTGGCACCCTGTAGACTTCAGCTCGATTTGCAAAAGTTCAAATTTCAACAGTTAAAATCATCATTTTCCCTCTTTTCTGAAGCCAAGTCAAAATGTGTTGAAGATTCAATATGTAAAAATAATATATTTACTAAAACTATTTCCTCACCTAAATGACCTTGAATTAAAGCAGTGATTATCAGGACACTTATTCAAATGTGAAGCATCACATTTATACGAAAGCAGATGGTCACCTTTAAACTTTTCTCACTAAATGGCAAAGCTCACGAGGTCTGGGTGTAAATGTGCGGTTTTAGCTAAAAGAAAGCCCATTTTTATTTGGATACATTTCTCACATTCCTGAGCCAGGGGCTCAAAAGGGAGAGGGGTGCTTTCTTTGAAAAATGAGCACACTGAACTTGTGGGGAAGCTCTGAATGTTTAGGGTGTTAAAAAGATTTTTTTGAGACTAGCAGACAACATAAGCTCTAAGGTGAAACCAGTTCACCAGAGAAGAGGGCCAGGAGAATCAGCATGACAGCAAAAGAGGCAGGTAATGAAATCAGGCAGGGGTACATTTTACATTTCATATATGTGTGTAAATTCATTCTCACTTTTAGAAAGGCTTCAGTTTACAGTAAATTACAAAAAGACTCAATCTGGGCATGAGGAGGTACAGTAATGTGTCAAGAATGGTATTTTTGAAGTTGGTTGTGGACAGTGGAGGATGATAGGGAACAGAAAGCAAAGAGAGCCATCTAGTGGTTTTAGAAAGCAAGGACAGGGTCAAGAGATCAAAATGGCCAGTTTTGTTTCTATTCTTATTGTGGCCTAAAGAGAACAAAAAACAGAAGGGTAATCAGGATGAAAAGCACACCTAAAGTGACAATCATCTAAAATTAACTATTAAATATGGAATGTAGATTAATGAAATTTTGTATGTGTACTTCAAGCCCCTTTTGTTATGCCCACCGGTGGTGTTGATCATGCTTTTAGGGGTTGCAGAGGCAGCGGCAAAGATGTTCGGGGTGCTGCAGCTCGAAAGCCCAGGGGAGGTGCTGGTGCTGCTGGACCCCAGTGTGTTGACCGCAAAGCTGCCAGGGGAGGTTTTCTTCACAGGAACCACCACACTCCTACAGGAAACACAAGGAACGTGTGCAATTCACACAAAAAGAGTGTGGACATTAAATAAATATTTCACGTAGAATGAAACTTGCAGGTTTAATCTCTGCTGATTGAAAACATAAAACACCTAATATAGTACAGGAGAGAGAGACAGGCAAAACTCAAACTGTAAAACACAAGTGGAATATTCATATGGTTTAACTTTTGGCACCCATTAAATAAATAAAAAAAAATAAAAATAAAAAGAGCTGAATTTATGAGAAACATGTTTTTCTGGAAAAAAAAAACTACTTAACTAAATGAATATACATAAAAATTCAAACTAATTTCAACTTGACTTTCTAAACATTTCTGTGCTCTGTCGTGTTTAATTCAGTTTTGTTTTTTTTTTTAGGTTTTTATTTACTGTGAGGCGCTTTGTATGAACAGTGCCCTTTTCATGCAAATAAAATAAAAACCTAATTACTAAACAACTTAGGACGTAGGTCCTGTACTCTTTGAAAATGACTTAAATTTCATAACTTTTGTTCCAAAAAAGTTCATATTTTACATAAAATAGGAATAAATAAATAATTATGTTTAGGTGATGTACAAAACAAAAGAAAGTAAATTTGTTTCTCATGTCTTACTACTTTTCGAGTCAGACAGCCTAAGCATGGCCCCTCATTAGGCAAAGCATCTGAAAAGTAAACATCCTGACTTGTAACCGCATCTTTTATCTTGTAGCACTTAAAAAAATACATGCGCTTATACACAAGAGACATAAGTAAATACATGTAAAGATCTGATTTTGAGCAACTCTCTTTCCTCTACATCTGCTTTTTGCTACCAGCCGTGACAGTAAAAGAAGAAAGAAAAACATTCAAGAAACTCCAAAAGAGCAACCGTGAGAACATTCCTAAACCAAAAAGCAGGGAAACCCTAAATGCATCTGCATATTTCTTGTAGTGTCATTGTACGTTATTAGATTTAGAATTAAATATATTTTGTTTTACAGAAAATGGCAACAAAAACAAAAAATAATTCCAAGACTATGGATTCATCCCCATCCAAGGAAAGTAAATGGAAAAACAAAACAAAAAGAAAAATAAGTAATTAAGATGTGTCTTGATTTTTAATATGTTAAACTTGAAACGTTCCCATCTAAAAGCTTTCTAAAAAGAGGTTTGTGGTTTTGTGGTCAATCTCAGCAAATTTTCACTATAAATTTGAATTTGCTCTCACTGTTGTTTCTTAAAATACCCAAAAAAAATTTGTGTATTTTCAAAAATAAAAAAATGGTGAGATTGAATGGTGTATGTTTCTGAATTAAAATATAATTTATTTCCAGACTTTTACACACATTTTCCAGATGTACCAATAAAGAAGGTATTTACCAAATGAGTTGCTTCACAGAGGTGGCACATTTTAGCATGCACAACAATCTTTGCTCTAAAAATAATTCATCTTACTTGTAAATTAAATTAGTTTATTTTTAGTTTTCACAGTTAAGGCCTTAGGAAATTTAATTATCTTTACCTCAATTATCTACACAGTTACAACTTGTGAGGGTCTAAAGGTTTTCTTTTTTTAATTTAATACACAAAAACACTAAGGAAATGAATTATGGTTTCCTTTCTATATATAGAAGGTACTACCCTATGCATCACACACTGCTAAAAATGGAAAAGGACAGATCATTTATTTAAAAAAATAAAAAATTTGAAAAAATGTGGCAGAAAGCATGTGGAGATCAAAATAAAACTTGCACATGACCTTTCAAAAGAAAACAGGCAGCCCAGTAACTCAAAGTACTGTTTGCATGCAGTCTTTTTCTTGCCAAGGACTTAAAAAAGAAGAAAAAAGGGGGGGTAGAGTGACTTTGGGTCTGCTGCAGCTCCCTGACAGTGAAGAGAAGCTTGTCCTTATCAGGTCTGCAGTTGGCCTTTCAGTTTGTGAAGGTGCCAGATAATGTCTCGTTCAATATCCTGCAGTTACTCTGGGTGACAAAGGCCAGGCCTTTGCACTGTCACAAGCTAAGCCTGTTGTCATCTGAAGCAAATCCCCAGATATCCTCCGTCTGCAAAACAACACACACTTTTGTCGTCTTTTGTGGCTGTTTTATATCCACACTCCATCTCCCAGATCACGAGCAAGAAGCCCGCTGAGCTAGATGCAAACCATTTATGGGTGGTTTATTACCACTTGCCCATATCTTCCTCTTCTACACCACAAATTTTGCCCCAATTTGTTAAAGCATTGATATTTTATTTATCAAAGTATTTTTTTTTTTGTAGATGAGCTACAAAAACTGTATATACAGCGAACATATTTGGCTGCCCAGTGGACAGCCAAATATGTATTTTATACAGATGACAGCAGTTAAGCAAAGTATTTGAAACTTGGATCAAAATCCACAGAATAATAAAGAAGAAATATTCAAGAAGTGCTTGGGAGCTTACTAAAATATTTATACCATCAGGGATAAGGCTGTGCTCTGAAGAACACTCATGACAAGTGTTAGTTATTTAGTACAGCTATCTACAGTTATACTCTGTTAAATTGACAGATTTCAGACCAACACCAGCATGTTATTAATTGTAGAAACCATGAGTAAATTTATTATTGCTTCCCAAAGTCATCGGAGAAGCACGCCTTTCTTTCTGCCTGGCTGAGATGTTGGATTAGATCAGCAGGATGTTGCTAAAACATAGACCTCTTTTCATGAATAATTTATAAGTCTAGTGCTCATGAATCATGTATAGATTATCTAGTACATATTTTATTAATAGGATTGTCTTAATTGAGTTGCAGAGAATAAAGCAAGGATTAATCTCAGGATGAATATTAATGAAGTCCATGGCAAATGAAAGTGTAACCAACAAAATATTTCCTTTATAAATCCCTGAGAAGATTCCTATCTAAAGGGCTTTATTAAGAAATGTTGAGAAAATGAAAAGCACTGTGTTTACAGTGCTTTACAAAAATATTCACATCTAGCACTCTGTTTCACATTTTGTCACGGTAGGACAAGTACCAAGTGACTGTGTTGAGCCTAGTGCAAACAACAGACCATGAGGGTCGATCTCAGTGAATATTTAATTTAAAAAGAAACTTAGCAATGAAAAAGATGTCCAACTAAACATAGGAAGCCCATAAAATAAAGGAAACCTATAAGGCAAAAAAGGGAGGGAACTGATGAGAAAGGAGTAAAAACGGGGTCCATATGAATCTAATTAGTACCAATAAGTAGGAAACTAACTGAGGTAAAAATCTTAAAATAATTCAGTAATAGTTGCACAAAGGGAAACCATTGCCAGATAAGGAATGCCTAAACATTAGATAGCAATACAATACCAAAAGTGACAAAAGTCAAATAGTATTAGTATTAGTTTAAGAACCACAACCAACAGGTCAGTGATTAAGTTGTGGAGAGGTTTTAAACAATGTCAGATTATCCAACAATATTCCAAGCTTTGAACATTATCAAGAACTAGCTGCATCCAAAAAACAGTTTCAGGCACTACTGCAAATCTGCCAGTCATCCAACAAAACTGACACGCTGCAAAACATTAATGAGAGAAGCAGCCAAAAGGCTTATGGTAATTCTGGAGAAAATACAGAGGAGGGAGAATCTGTTCAACTATTAGTCATGCCCTCCACAAATCTGGTCACTAAGGAGGAGGGGCAAGAAAGAAAAAAAAAAGACATTTTTGAAAGAAAGAAAGAAACAAACAGAGAAAAAAAAAACAAAGAAAGAAGCTCTAAGAAGTCCAGTTTAAAAGTCTGTCAGAAGTTCCTTATGGGCCATGCCAAAAATGTGAAAGATTCTCTGAGATGAGGCCAGAATAGACTTTTGGACTGTTATGAACAAAAATATATGTCATCCCCACAGAGGAGCAAAGAGGAGGCATCATTATGCTGTAGGGATACCTTTCTTCACAAACAAAAACATCGTTATTTTCTTCTACTTCAATAATGCACTACTTTGTGTTGGTCTGTCATATAAAAACAACAAATTAAATTTGAAATGAGAATCTGTACAAAGAGCATGACATTTCACTCGTACACTATATATATAAATATATATATTCTCATGCATTATTAAAGGACCAACAGTATTTCTAATCTGGAAGGTTGGGAGACAAAAGGAAGGAAGCAGAGGATTACTGAGGTATGTCTCTACTGTATTTCTTGCAGGTCAAGTGGAAGTCTGGTTGCTGTGAGGTTTAAACCTCTCCTCTATATGACAGACGGCCCCCATGCACTCCATTTTAAGGCATTTTTTTCCCTCTTTTTTTTGATATTGTCACTCTCAATCTAATTTTTCCGTGACAGACAAATGAAAGATCTTTCCATGGTTGGCAGCTCATTTCACTGGCAGGTGGCACACAATTAGACACAGCAAATAGAAGCAGGAGGGGGGAGTGACATGAAAAGCATTAGACAAAGTTGTAAATGTGGTCAGGAGGTTTTGTGTGAAAGCATTTCAAAAATAATACACTTTGGTGCGGTGACTAATTTGAGGCTGCCAGCTTCCATTATGGATGTGAGCTGTGAGGACGATGGCCGGCCATGGCGTGTTCTGTGGCCACTTCTGTTCAATCTGTCATCAACACCCTGGAGACCCCTGTCCTGTCAGCTGTCCTTTCTCCACATACTCCATGTTTCCCCCTCCATTCATCAGGATCACCAAGCCCAAGCTCAACAACAGAATACATTAGGGACAAAGAATTGTCCATTGTTGCTCTCATTTCAGAACGTGTTTTGTTCACCCTTCAAGGGTGTTTATTTGCTAAATTTGTCATAAACAATGTTAAATCAGTGGCAGAAATGGAACATTTGTGCAAAAGCAGCTGAAGAAAACAGCCAGCAGGAATCTGGGATCAGGGGGAGCTCAAGCTTGAAATCCCTGCAGCAGCAGGTTTGTAAACAGTCAGATCCAGACAGATTACTGTGCGGTTCAATCTAATCCAGGAATGTAAATAAACTAAAACACCACGACAGTACTTGAGAGACCATTTCAAACACAAAAAAATTCCTCGTGAAGAGAAAGAGCACAAAACAAGTGGGCTCGAAATAAATAATGTGCTCCAGTCATCTTGGAAACCATTACTGCCATCTTGCATACCTGAGATAATCCTGATGGATTAAGATAACAATTTTATGGTTACTTGAGAGACCACATGCATTCAGGTTCATCAACAAACCACAAATCTCTTTTTGATTTTCATGTTTCCCAGATTGTCACTAACTAATGAAAAGCATGATGCTTATGCTTTAAACCAGTGATTTCCAATTAGTCCTGCATGTTTTTTTTTGTTGGTTTTTCCCCCATGGTTCGAAAAACTTACTCAGAAATACTTCATCATCAGGCCTCAATAGAACTTGATGATATGCTGAAGAGGTAATTCTGTCATTTGATACAGCAGTGCTGGAGCAGGGGCACATCTAAAGCTTGTGACAATTTGGTATTTATAGCAAATTCTATAATTATTCTATCTTTGTCAAAGATCAGTTTAGATCTCAAAAACATGATCAAATCCCCTTTTTTCTTTGCCCTTTCTCCTGCCAGATGCTAATGAATAAAGGCCATTAGAAACCTTTTTAAAAAAGTGAATTCTAACCATACACCAAGTAAAACCGTCACATAAACATGACAATTATCACTCAAAAAAAAGTTTTGAAGTAGCTAATAACTGGTGCAAAACAGTGGGTACAAAACAATGCTTGAATTTAAATGTAAAATCCTAAGTATTAGATCAGAGTTCCAAAACAGAGTGACGAGTGGGAGAATATACATGTTTAATCCAGGTTGTGACCTTCTTACTTTGAAATCAATATATAAAAAAAGAAAAAAGATACATTTGTAATAATGATCCATGGCAGTCATTTTCAGGTAGTTACATATTTGTAGCCAACTCAACATCTCACCTGTCAAAGGACTGAAACTGTACCGGCAGCACAGCCTGGGCCTTTGCAGCACAGTCTGGGAAGGACACTGGCTCAAGTCCAGCCTCCACACCCTCCAACGGGGCGGCAACCAAGCTCTTCAAAATCTCCTTGACATTAATACCTTTCTTGGACTGACTAATGCTGATGACGGAGGAGGACGACTTGAGCACCTCGACATTAGAGGGCTCAGACAGAATCTCTTGGGACTTCTTCACCTCAGAGGAAAGTGTAGAAATGAGCTCATTCACAGCACAAACTCCTCCCACTTTGTGATCCAGGCCAGACCCATTAAGGATGCTGGCTACCTGCTCATCCCCAATCCCAGAGTCTGTGTGGGGTAAAGAGGTTTCTATCTGAAGGTCTTCAGATGGCAAAAAAATCTCCTTACTGCTTGTGAATGACAGTGGTGTTTCTGTAGAAGATAGACACAAATTAGGGAGTTTCAGGCACTGACATGTATACATAAAATAAATAACAGCCACAAAATGTGCCATTGATGCATACAGTGTACAATTTAATGTTAACAAGAAGTGTATTGCAGAAGTGTTGGTGCCTGTTGAACTTTTTTTTCACAGATGTTGAAGCATAACAGCAAATTTTAAATGCTTTCTTTTTAGGTTTCATTTTCTGAAATTCATTTTATTTCTAAAATAAATAGTACGGGTTTGCACCCTTTAACTTGATAGCCTAAATGGAATCATCTGCATTAGGCGTCAAATGTGCAAATATTTACCTCGGCTGGTTTAAATTAAAACATTTTTATAACATTAGAAGGGTCCAGATGAAATCAAGATTTAAATTCAAATTTGAATCTGTGGCAAAATCTGAGAATTAATGTCTACCGTATTGATGAATGATTTTTGTGCTCTTTTGTGTTTCTGTGAAAAAAAGATAAAAAGCAATGTCTTAATAATTAGAACTTATCAAGATAATAGTCAAATTTAACTAATGAGAACTGCAAACCTCCGAATCTGATCAAATCCTAGTTCTACTTATTAATGATACTGACTTTGGTTCTTCGAGACCCTCCCTAAAAATAAAAACATTAAAAAATGCTGTTTACCCTTGAAATGCATTACTACGTGTAACTAATGTATCAAAGCAGCCCATTTGATAAAGATAATTTGATCACTTTTCAACCAGTATGTGGGATTATTGGTCTGAATACAATGGCAAGCGTATTGCTAAAAATACTGTAGCAAATACTTTTTATTGTCACTACGATGATAATTGTAATAAATGCAATAAGACATTGTTATAAAGATTTTGGTCCTTATTGTCCATCAGCAGTTTACAGATGTCCTCAATTCAATTTCACTGAGCTTGAGCTATTTTGTAAAGGACTCAAATGGCAGAGTTTAGATGAGCATGGTGACTTGAAACATACATCAAAAGCCCTCCTACTGTTACTGCAGTGAATGGTAGTGGTTGGATGCAAATGCATATCACAGCTTTCATATCCTTATCTTTGAATTCATAACCACATAATAACTTTGTGTTGGTCTGTATTCTAAATTCCTAATGAAACACATTGCAGTCTGTGGTTGCAATGTGGAAAAGATCAACCGGCATTCATACTTTTGCAAGACACTGTGTTTAATAAAATGGTGAAAGATGAATTCAGTTCCATCTAAATTATTAACAGAAAGAGTGCATATGAGGGATAGCTTTAGATTCAAAGCCAAAGAGCAAATATTGCATATGTAGAGTAAGCCACATGCCGAGGGAGGCTCTAAAGAAGCTTCGATTTTCCCTTGAGATTAACTTGACTTTCTTTCTCCCTCAGTGTTAATAAAACATGATTCATTTTTTCTGCATATATATATATATATATATATATATATATATATATATGTTTTTTTTTGTTTCTTATTAGTATGGGAAACTAATAGATAACATCTTAATACATACCGAAACAAAAAGAACATAAGGTAAAGCTAAAAGTTTATCTAGTTCTCCAATTATTTTTGAGGAGTTCCAGAAGCTCCTTGTCGTTTTGATTGTAGTTTATCCTGACCCAGCGGTTGCTAAAATGCAAGGGCAAATATATTAATATTCTTCACATGCCCCCTAACGCGGTCAGCAGGGCCTGATTTAGCCTGCAAGTCGACTAGCTTCCTGGTCCATCAGACAATCGTCTGCCACATGCCGTCTGGAAAATTCCCCTATTTTCTGGTGAAATTTATGAAGGCGGCAGTGTGCCTTTCTCCTCCCAGCAACCTCTATGATCCCATTCTCCTCTGGTGGATTGGTTGCCTAATGGGCACTGACAGATGGGGCTGAAAATAGCAAGCCTGTCTCCACTGCCCCAAAAACCCACAGCTTTTTCATCTCTTAACTTCTCACTGCTTATCTTCTTTGCGTGGTCTCAGCTCTTTAAATTACACCTACATATTCCCTTTGGCCGCTCTCCCCTACTTCTATTTTCTTTTATTCACTTCACCTTTTATCTCAATGAAAGTTGATAAGGTGTGTTCACTCGTACATTTCACAAAACCAATTTCCACTGCTGCAGACATTGTGTTAAACCTTTGAGGGCAGCCAATGATTTCCTTTCATGTGACTTAATGTATGATTTATGACGCCAGGCACTTTCCTCCTTTTATTTTAGAGTGGATGTTGATGCCTATTCAAGTTTCTAACTTCAGACTTCAGCACAAGTCTATTTGCTTCCACACTGAATTGTGTGCAGTGCAATTAGCAGAACTCATGAATAAATCATATTGAGCTGGTGGAACACAGGCAGGGGTATCCCTGTTGTTATAGTGAATGAGCATGCAGCTCCTGCAAGCTGGCAACAGAACAAGAGAAAACACTCTACTTAGCATTTTGTTAATCAGGCACAGTCACTTCAAACTAAGATTAGATGAGCAGAAGAATGGATGCAACAAAAGGGGCGTAGCACCTTTGCTGGTCGGTGAATTGATCTCCTGGCGTACACTGCGGCCTAACTGACAACTCATCTTCCCAGGCTCACACTGAGGCTCAAGGATGTCACGGTATTTGGAAACCATGAGGACAGAGATGAAGTACACCACAGCCAAAGCCAAGAACTGGGCTTGTTTACTGTCATCCTGTGGGAAGAAATCACAATAGTTATGTAGCTTTCTATTCAGATGGCTGGGTTTTCTTACAAACACAAAAGTACATAAAAATACAATGCCACAACTTTCCAAAAATAGGTTTAACTAAAAACATCTATCTTTGCAGATAAGTTATTCGACATACTAACAAAATATGCCTATTGCTTTATAGTAAGTAAGACTTATTGCACTTAAAACTCAAGTTTGCCACAATGTGAAAGTATTTTCCAAGAAATCCGTTAGTGACAGAAACCAGACAATATTGTGCTTCATTAACCTTGACTGGTCCCCAACCCAGGTCCTTAGGGCTCACTCTACTGCATGTTTCAGCCGTTTCCCCACTGAAGCACAGTTGATTCAAATGATTGCATTACCTCCTTGGCATGCCTTCAATTGCTGCAGAAGCCTGTTAATCACCCATTCATTTAAGCCAGATGTGTAGCAGTAGGGAAACACCTAACACATGCAGGACAGTGGACCCAATGCACAAAGGTCAGGGAGCACTGGTGTATGGTATCAGTAAGTGAAGTCAGGAAAAGCATAAAAGGTGTAAGCTATTTAATAAGAGCAATTTTGTCTAAACCAAGAAGTTACTGTGGTTTATTTCAGCCATGAACAAGTGAGAAAAAGCAGTTGCAATTTTGCCAAGTCATAAACTTTGTCACAATAGCCAAGTCTTCAGAACACACTTTTTTTTAGAAGTGAGCAGCAACAAATTTAGCAACTTTTTTAGTTTTTTGGGGGGAGGGGGGCTGGCCATCAGCAGATGTTTGCCTCATATTGTCTACATAATTACCATTCATGGCAATACAACTATAAAAACATTATCAGGAATCCAACAGTTCCTACAAAGAAATTAGATTATGCTAAACTGAAAGCTTTATCAGGTCAAATCTTTGCAAAAAACAGAAACCAATAAGGTGTCACAAAACTGATTGACACATTTATAAATTGTGACAAACATTTACCTGTCTTCTGAAAAGGGTCAAACCAAAGGAATCCAACTCCAATCCTTAAGGGGCAGTAACATCTATGTTTAAGATGTGGTTTCTTGAACATATTAGCAGACCTTGTCAAGTGCCTGCTAATAACCCATTTATCTGATTTAGGTGGGTTGGACTAAAACACGCAGGATGTTGGCTCTTGAGGACTTACTTTGAACACCATTATGATAGTTTGATCAGGCTCACCACATCACGAAACACAACAGCTCGCAGTCTGTTGATGTCCACATCCTGCAGCAGCCGATCAGGATCTTTGATTGGAGACAGGTTAGTAGGGCCAGTTTCCCCGGATGTCTAAAAAAGAAATTATTTGGGAAAAAAACAAAAAGAAAGAAAAAAAAATGTATTTTTTGGAAACATAAAAAAGCAAAAAATCTGGTAAATTTTGGAAATGATCGTGAAACATTTAACTAGCTCAAATAACAGAATTTAGATTGGCAATGAAAATTTTCATTATATCGTACCTTGCAGGTCACAGCATTCTGCAAGATTTCCTGAGTCCTGTTGTTGTGCCTCTGTCTAAACTCCAGACAGTTCCTAACAGCCACACAACAGACTGTACACAAACGACACACCAAGCAGGGTCCAATTTCAGAATCAAATGAAAATTAAATGTTGATAACATGCATGACCTCTTTAAACCTAATCAGTTATCTCTGATGACTATTTGTTCCAGGCTGACGGGAAGGGGAGCAGGAGGAAAATCAGCAGCCAGTCTGATTTCACACTAAAGCAGTGATGAGAAATTTTATGTTCGGAAAAAGGACACTGAAGCCTGAAGGCTATTTGCCATCCCCTAAACTGCAAGTTGGGGACCGCAACAATCAACCAAATGCGAACTTATAAACCCACAGGCACAAACACAAGGATGAAGATGAGACTTTATACAGACAAAAAAACAGCTGACTCGAGAATGATTTAATTTACTTGTTTCTGAGTACAATTCACTATTGCTTGATTACATTCACTGAAAAACAGATATACAGAAAGGCAGAGGAAACCTCAGATTCCCACATTTAACAGAAACACAAAAGGCATTTGGGACGAGAACACGACTGCACTGCAGATAAGTCTCTGCTCTCTGGGAATTCAAAAATAAAAACTGCAAAGAAACCCTCTGCATTCTACAGTTTACTACACAATTACCACAGGATCCTTAAATTAATTAGCTCTGCTGATCAAACAGGGGATTTAAAGGGATTAGAGGAATTAATATTATGTGAAGCGAACACTATTGTATCTTCAAACTCAATTCAATTTCTGTTGTACATGCATGAATTAATGATACTGTAATTTTCCATCCCCTTCTTTGCACTGACATTCAGTCAGCAGGAAACCGTCTCAAGCAAACAGAACCTACCCAGTCGGAGGCACTGGCGCATCAAACCACCAGAGGACATGTTCTTCTCAGCCTCGATCTCGCTGAAGTTCAAGGAGCTCGAAAACACCAAAACGTCCACCATAACCATGAGACGAGACAAGAAAGTAATGGCAGTCTCTGAGGACATGCCCTGCGTCGCCTCAATGTTCTCCAACTCAGTCTTGAATGATTCAACAAGAGAGTTAAATGTAAAACATTTAGTTGTCAAGTTTTCAATTGAACTAGTAGTCTTTAACAAAAGCAAAGCTGTAAGTATAAAAATATTTAGTACTGAAATAGAGTGGCTTGTCAATGCATGTCATGGCAAATTAGAAACTACATAGTTCATTACCATTGTTATGGTGATAGATGGGCTCTCTGACAAAGCGGACATAATATTCCAAATAAGACGAACCAGTGGGAATTTAAGAGCCTTTCCCCCCAAAAAAAATTAATAGGGTGCAACATTAAAAGAAAGTATTTTAAATGGCATAAGTACTGACCTTGACAGTCTAGTTGAGTGCCAAAAAAGATAAAGAAAGAAATATTAAAATCCATTTTGCCATAAAACATATCTTTGCTATTTATGAAATGGGATTGAAATGGGATTGCAAATAAAACAAAAATGACAAGGTCCTTGAAAGATAAAAGTTACTGAAGTGAACAAGAGTATTTACAACAAATTCAAAATCAGGATGATCACAAGATGATCACAGAACAACTACCTCTGGACATACTGGTGAATTTCAATAGATTGCCATGAAAACTTTCATTCAGGAATTCAAAAGGTGAAACTTATTTATTGCATACACAAAGAATAATATATATGTAATGTTATTTTTAAATTAATTTTGATCATGATGACAGTTGATAAAAAACCTAAATTTAGTTGTTTAGAAAATTTGTTAGCCAAAACAGAAAAAGAGACAAATCTAATACAAAAGAAGTGAAGTGGCATATACCATAATGAAGACGCTGACTTGACAGTTGTTCACCCTTCACAAGGAGGGTAAGCAACAGAAATTCATTGTTAAAGAAGTTGACTGCTCCCAAAGTGTTCTATCCAGACATATTAATGGAAAGTATAGCAGAAGAAAAAAGATTGATTGAAAAAGATGTACCAGCAACAGTGATAAGGGAGCTTTGAGTAAATTGGAAACGACTTGATTTATAAGTTTGGGGCAGATTCCAGAGACAAGGACTTGAACTAACGTCAGCTCTTCAAAAGCCACAGCCTTGGAGAGATATCAGGATAAGATTAAACTATTCCTGAACCTGAGGCAACTTTAACCAATGAAGAGGACTCTTTGAGTTTAAGAGAAAAAGACTGGGCTGTTGCTCAGTGGTGGAAAAGCACTTAAATTCAAAGTCCCAAATATTTTACATATGTCACGATGTGTAATCTGAATAAAAAACACATTTTTAAACTGAAAAAGTACCACTGCATGCACATGCATATGTTATTACTATTAATACAAGACAAATATAGAGCAAAGTGGTTGCACTCAAGATCCACTAGATGGCAATATTTCCTTTCCCTTGAGTGGGATACAGATGCACTTACAGAGGGAGAGGTGGCCGCAGAAAGAAGGGGCAAAATCCCTCCACAGGCGATGATTATGTTGTCTACCATTTGGGAGATGAGATGGATGGTGTTGTGGACAAAAATTATGTTTTCATTGCTATTAACAAAGTCCATGACAGATTTGGTGCAGTGGCTGCAGAGAGACATGGGGACAGGGTTAAAGTCATAACAGTTTTTTGTTTTGTTTTTTTGGGGAGGGGAGTTGTTTGCATTTACAGTATTTAGCCTGAGCCATTCTTATCCGATCAGCAATTGCTACGCAGAAACTCCCCTCCAAAAAATTACAGGACTGCCCCTTTGATTTAAACTCCCTCTACAATTACTCCAGTTCACATAATACATTTAACACACCTTCTCCAGGCATGGACATCACTCTCCAGAGCAAATAGCAGGTCAGTGAGCAGTCTCTGGTGCATGGGTGACCATTTGAACTCTGGAATGCGGAACATTGTAGTGCGGGGACCAGGGCTGAACTGATGTCGCTGTTCCTCTGTTATGGGGACGGCCCTAAAGCCAAGGTCCGCTCGTATGTCCTTTTCCAGCTGAGAGACTGGGCGTCCATGCACACCCTGATGGAAGAGCAATTTATCACCAAAACAAATACAGCCTGGAAGGCACATGCAGTGTGATGCTTGTAGAATGTGGAGGATAGATGGCAATCCAATAGCTCTGATCATGACCACAATCATAAAATAAAGAGCAATTGTCAGACCATTCACCATGAAAAACAAACCTGACGGTTTAAAGTATTTAGTTATGTGACATCTTTTTGCTTGCTGGTGCAAAAAAAGTGTATTATATACTCAATGAGACTTCTGACATAAGATGAATGAGTCAGCAAGATGCAGCATAAAAATCAGAAACAATGAATTCAACATAAGCAATTTTGTAACAGAGAGAGAAAAATGGCCTTAAAAGTGAAAGCTGCGCGTTGCTCACCCACAGTCAGTGACCCAATCTAGAGAAAGAGCTTAACCTCTAAAAAAAGCACAGAGGGAAAAAAGAGCAGATCCCAAGCAACTGTTGTAGAATAACGTGTTGTCTCTTCCTCCCTTATATTGCCTCAGTTAACTATTCCAGCAACCCAGATTCCTGAGTCTCAAAGGGATGATGCCTTATGTGCACCAGGCCTTCCTGTCCCCATTACATCCACAGTGCAGAGAAAATGATCTCTGTGGCTCTGTTGATACAGAACAGTGCACTTGGGGCCAAACAGTAACAACCTCCTTTTCACCTTCCTCTTTGATGCAAGGGCTGCCCTGTTATTTTTTAAAGTCATTCTTTGTTTCCCCATGTTTAAGAAGTTGTCTGTCTTATTTGATCACTTGTTGCAAATCCACAAAAAGGTAAATGAATTATTGGCTATGTCTACATTTTTCTTTGCAAACAAGTACTTTATAAACTAAGAAATGCCTCAAGATTTAGCTTTCCTCTGAATCACTGAACTGTGGTTATAATACGACTTTTTTTTTAGAATTGCTTCACATCTGTGTTACATAAACTCAACAACCCTTTGACATTCCAGCCCAGTACAATTTGACTACATTCTATATTTTTTTCTTCATGTCTTGTTCTTTACTTAGAGAAATTAAAACCTGTTTCAGTATACAACTTCAGTTGTATACTGAATTAAGATCTAGGGATTGGGAAAACAACTCCATGTCTTTAGACTTGTTCGTCTGATCATGCGGCTCTCTTGTTGGTGTTTGGTATTGTCTGTCTTTTAAAACATTCTTTTCAAATAGTATAATGTGTTAAAAATGAATCAATTATTTCTTAGGATCAATTAAACACAACCATATGACAAACATCTTCTTAGTTTGATGCCAGAGTCGCCATGCTTCCTCTCAAAAACGACCTATACACAAATAGGACTTGCTTTCATAAGTCTAATTAATGTTTCCCTATTTGCCCTGTGAAAGTGTTCATTAGTAAGCTGTAATTTTATGGAGCTAAAACGGTCTCACAATTCACAAATGCACCTATCAAGATTCACAAATGCACAGAATGAGATCCAGAAATACACATGAGGATATTCAAAAATCCACAGAACAAGATTCACACTTGTATTTTTGATGGAAACACAAATATATCTCAATTTACTAGCTGCTTCTGGCCCGTGACTTGCACTGCATTTGTGAGTGATTTTTGAGACTCCTGATGTCTGAATCCAAGAATGTCTTTTATATGAATGGTCCATCTGATTGGATGATCAGCAACCAATCAGATAGCTTCTTTGTTTCAGCCAATCATATGAACAGGCCACTCTCTGCTTCGCTGTCACGGTTGCTGGGCAACATGAGTAAGGCTGAAATGGGGACAGGGACATTAGACCCTCATGAACCGCTCCTGCCTGTTGGAAATGGATTTTGTCCGGTTCAAAATAAAATAAAATACAATTTAAACTATGCGATTGTTACCTGTTGGAATGTGATCGCTGCAAACTCTGGCATTGTTAGTTTTCACACCAGATATGGTTTTTGGACCTGGTTGAGAACCAGAAGTTCAAAAATTGAGACTTAAAAGCCACATTTCAGAATATAGTTTCTCAGGCCTTTGCCCAGGCTATGGGCATTGAAGAAACTTTTGGTGAACAGAAATATTTAACATGCTTTTTTGAACGCATGTTATATCGGTGACATCTCCCTCAGATGTCACCATCTTTGTCTCCCTCAGATGAAGACGGTGACATCTCCCTCCCACCGAGTTGCTCAAGGCAGGGTTGGGATTCACTTCTTTGGTGAATCCTGTTATGAGGTTTGTCCAGGAACTGATAACAATGAAGCTTAACCTTGAAGAGCTGAGCAAATCATTCGAGGGAGAGAGAAAAGACATAATACAGCTTTTTGTAAAGTCGTTAATGTGTACAGGAATCATGGAGTCTAAGACATGTCGCTGTCTTAGCTTAGAGAGACACATGAACGCATTGTTGACCAAATCTGGGCCGAAATTGAGGGACAGCGATATGAAATCCAGCAGAAATGAATTCCTGCTGTCAGTGATATCACTGAAACTTTGGACTGTTCTGCTGCATAGACGCTGTCTTTAATGGAGGACAAAGTGTCGACAATGTCATTGTCTCGTCTCTAGAAAGTCACCGGAAAAGGCACCAGAAAAAGAGAGGCAGCTTTGTTACAAGGCTTTTTTCTAGTGGTGGTAATATTATGAGATGCTATTTCACTAAATGAGGGTCAATAGTGTCTTGCTCATCTGTGCCTCTGTCAGCGGCCTCATGTCACCTCTCTGTGCTTCTGTCCATTCCAGCCTCAAGAAGCCTCCCCGTGCCACATTTGATTCCAGGGACAAGGTATCTTAGCCCTCCGGTAGCAGAAAAAAATCATATGTTTTTTGAATAACAACAAAATTTGTTATCAATCTGTTGCTAAGAAATGAGCACGTTTTCTGGTCTGCAAGTGCCACGAAATAAATGTTTACTTTTGCGAAACTTACCAAATGTAAATTTCTTGTGTCTAAGTAGATAATCAGTATTTCAAAAGAAATTATGTTTTATAAACAATAATTAATTTGGTGTTTTTTTTTTTTTTTTCAGGTAATGAACTGCTACGAAGTATAAATCAGGTTTTTGTATTTGCGCTAAATGTCTGTTTTAAAATAAAAAAAAATTTTCACTTTCTGAAAAATTCACCATCTGACTATTCTAGTTAAGATGTATAAGACAAGTAGCATTTCAAAAGAGTAAAAGAAACTTATGTTTTTTTTAACAATAACAGTATTGGTTGTTAATCTGTTGCAAAGAGACCACAGCATTTTCAGTTACTTTTGTAAAATTAAGTCACTTAAAAATTCATTACTTCTGACGCACATTGATGCTCAGGCATTTCCTACATCTGCTGAGATTTTCTTTCTTTTTGTGGAGAATGCAAATTCTACCCCTATTAGTACATTATTTGCAGTACTTGGTAATATTCAGCTTCTATTATTTTTGAATAAATCTGTACATTAATGTTTTTTGTGCGACTTAAATACAGGACAAGACTAACCTGTGTTGTGGCTGTTGTCTGAATCTTTTTCATCTCCTTGTCTTTGCCATCATCTGATCTTGCAGTCTCGGAGGCGTTGCTCCTCGTCTCTACTGCACCATTCGTCTTATCAGCCAGCAATTCCCCTTCAAATTCTGTTGTACCATCAGAGGTCTGCGGGATTTTGGAAAAGCCTTCAGGTTCTGAGTTCATGTTTTCAAGCACTTTTTTGAGTTCAAACTCCTCGTTTACTAAGATGCTGGGTAAGGAGCTGCCTGTCATGTGAGCCAGAAGGCCAATTTCATCCCTGGATCCAGCGTGATCAGGAAGCTCTGAACTCGGCAGGACCAGAGGCTCGGCTAGGTTCAGATCCGGTAGGAGATTGTCCTCAGTGCTGCCCGTCACCTTGCCAAACAGGAAATTGTTACTGTGAGGGATGTCATCCTTCTCATCATCCAGTGTAATGAGAGGGGCAGCATTCTGGTCATTCATGCTGCCCTTTGGCATCAACATACTGCTGACATTATTGTCGAGCTTCCTCACAACGGCACAGTAAACATTATCCAACAGAGAATCCACCTCAACCAGAGGCCCGTTCTCAGGCACTCCCACTGTCTCAGAAGACAGCTCTGTGTCATCCATCTTCACCTCTGTAGCTTCCACCTTTTCAGCTTTGATGTCCACAAGAAGGTCATGAACTGCAACTCTGACCCCATCTAATGTATTCTCAGATCCCCCGAAGTCTCCCTCAGACCCCTTCCCTTCAGTCAGCAGGTTGCGCGAATCGGCACTCTCATAGTCTGCCTCGCTGTCGGGGGTCTGGGAATGATCATCAATTTCTCCGATCTCAATCACACCTTTGATGTTTGAGGTCTGAGCAGAGAGACCACAGATGGTGCTGACTAAACCTTTCTTCCCTTTCTTTATGTTCTCCTCCTCCTGACGTTGGTACTCTTCATACATCTTGGCTAAATATTCTTTGTGCGCCTCATATGTCACCTGTAGAGAAAATGTAATGAAATACATATGGGATATACTGTGATCCTCTGAATATCATTTAAACAATTGGCAGATTACTTAAAAGGTCTGCCTCAGCAGCAGAGGTCAGTGGATCTCTCTTTTCTGCTGCACTCACCTTAGAATGGGCTATAGAGAGAGTGTCCACCCACACACGCCATCCTCCCCATTCATACTTGATGGCATGATAAAGAAGAATACGGAATATGTTGTACATCATCTCAGTCATTTTCTGTTCTTCTGAGTTTTTGGGGTTAATGTAGCCGAGAGAAAACATCCAGTCTTGCCATACAGAGCACTGCAACAGACATCTGTAAAATTGAAACAGTGAAAACAAATCTGCTTTATGTAAACTGGATAAAACATTGACAAATTTATGCCTAGTAAAAATTAGGTAATACTTTATAAAAGAGTCTTCTGCCATTTGACATACCAAACAAACTTGTCAGCTTCTGTGTGTTAAGAGTCTTCTTGCCTTAACCTGATATTTGACTATTTAAATTAGATAGATTAATGTAGCCCTATGAACTTCACACCTTCAACGTCCTGGTGTAAGGTTTTGTGAGGTTGAAGTGTGATTCCTTGTTTCCTTCAGTAACTGAACATCATTTGGCATTTTAGATTAACAAAACTGGTTTCATAATGAAATTTGTTCATTTGAATTTTGTTTAATAGATTCCTTTGAATCTATTTCCTTTTTCATGGAACAACATTTTTGCTACATATAAAAGCTGAGCGTCAGCTTTTGTTCATACCTCAGTAGTTATAAACGTTGAATATATTTAATAGACAAATTACATAAAAGTTTGACAACCAATTAAAAAACTAGTACCAAAAACGAAAACATGTCTTGTCATATTCTCCCTTCATATCTGTCATGACTACAGATACTTTCTTCTCTTACAAGATAATTCTATATAGGTTTCATGGATTCTCTTCCTTTTCTCCTGGATTCATTCATTGATCTTTCAGATATTTAATAAAGCAAGTGAGAAAAATGTGGTCTAAGTCTACTTGCCGTCTGTTGTCTCGACTGCTGCTGAAGAGTTTGATCATATCTGAAAGGAAGAGTCGCCGAACCTCCATCAGTTCTGTGCCTGGGGTGGAGCTCTTCAGTAGATTTGCTACAACCTTGAGAATCACTGAAAAGAAATACATTTACAAAAAAAAAAATACACACTTTGTTAATTCCAGCAATCAATTACTGTGGAAGGCAGAGCAACTTGACATTAAGCAGGCCTTACTTGGATTCTGAATCTTGACAGTGGAGTCAGGCTCAGGATGAGGTTTGTGAACTACCTGTGTGCACACCTGCTCTGTCAAAATCTGGGATGGGGAGCAGTGAAAAGATTTCCATCACACTCACAAAGTTCATAATAATTGAGCATTTATGGGAAAAACAAACAATGCAGTTACCTCATAAAGGGTGTTGTAAGTTGTAACAGACACAGTGTTGGTGTGCAGCATAAGCCTCTCGCCCAGAAGAGTAAAAAGGCTGTGTGTGTGCATGATTTCCACCTTCCTTCTGGTAATACACACACACACACACACACACACACACACACACACACACAGAACGGTGAAGTGGTGTGTTTGGAACTTCGTAAGCCACTCAAATCAGTGAGTGCCATCAGCTTGCCTCCCTATGCTCTCCACAGGGAGCCAGGCTCTAGAGACAAGTGTCAGGAAAACCGCCTGCTGTCATAAATTGGGTGAATTTTGTCGGAGGTGTATAGGATAAAGAAGTTAGCCTGTCACCAGCAGTGGCTCAAGATACCGAGGCATACTACAGGTGAATAGGTTCAACAGTGACAAACTGAATAAGAAATGCTGTCAGCCAGAGCTTCTTTGTTAAACTGTTTTTTTCTCCTTTCTTTCACGTTATAAAGCTTGGAAATTGGGCACTTAGAAAAAGAGCATCTTTTCTTTCAGCTGCATAAATATGGAGATTTGAAATGAGAGCAGACTGATGATGTATTGCCTACTGAACTGTAAAGCACAAATGTTAAAAGAATGAGGAGAAAAATACAAACTTTGCTTTCATGACACACTGTAGACAATGTCAAGATTTTTCTGACAGAATATATTTCCACTGAACTGGATGAAGGTAATTTAGTTACAAACAACTGGAGACTTTGTTCTAAAATTTAATGTAAAAAAATTGTATTGATTCCAATGTCTGTATTTGCAGAGAAGAAAAAAAGAAACATAAATTTGACCAAAATTTAAGACTGTAATTTTTGGTTTTTACATGACTTCCAAAAACCAAGTGGCATAGAGATACAAACTGTACATTTTAAAATGACTTCTCAACCAAGAGCAAACACTGATCATTGGTACCCAAACAGTATGATTTGCACATTTGTCTGCAAAAACAACCTGAAAATAAAATACTGTGGGAAAGAGCTGAGATTTACAAGGTTTTATTTCTGCCTGCAGTAGCATAACTTGGCCTTATGCCTAACCTTATTTCCCATTCGGCGTTACCACTCCCTGGCACTCCACTGCTGTGAGCACAGCATCACCGTTTATCCTCTCTGCTCACCCTGCAACCTGCATTTAAACTGTAAGTTGTCCATCCAAAAGAGTTTCTTATTATCTTTCTTGACATGATGTACTAACATTTTAGTGTTTTTGTTTCCTTTTTAACCACATCTTGAGCCTCTTTCTATCACACTAATTAATGAATAAAGGCATGATGCAAAGACAGGAGACAAACAGGTTCAACTCATGTCCACAAATAAATGGTCAAATTATTCTAAAAGAATCCACTTATGCACATTAAAAAATAATTTATATATATATTCTAATTGCATCTAGTACGGCAGTACGATAAATTCAAGTTGAGTTTATAATGTCAGTTGAAATAAGGTAAGCAAACCTCACAGATTTTAGTTTATCTCCTTGACTTACTCCTTTTAAGCAAAGATGTCGGCTGAATGTTGCAATCTTTGAGTGCAAGAATCAGACTTTTATTTTTTCAAAATTAGATACGAATCTTATTTTTTTCCACCTTCTTAATATTGTTCAGTGTTGCAATCACTGAGCTTGCGAAAGTATCAATAAAACAATTTGTTATTGGGTTAAAATTAGGTTGCTAATTTTAACCTAATTAAAATGACTAATTGTAATTAGGTTAAAATTGCTTTAACCTAATACATAATTTCCTTTTGTACTGCCATGTCCTGCAATACAAAAACCGTAAAAATTATTTAAAAGTTGTTGTGGTATTGTCAGATGAAAATCTACTTTATCTACAAAATTTGATCTCAGTTACGGAAAAAGCAATTAAATAAAAATCAAGTTTTTTTTTTAAATAGTCGGAAAGGATTTTAAGAGTACTGACTTTGTGTCATTAATAAAATCAAGTTTATGTTGGCAGGAGAGATTAGGACAGGAGAAAAAGACATTATACATCAAGGCTATGGCCTCCGGGGTCTTTATTGATGCTACAGTCCACACTATGATGAGTTCAGCATTATTTACCACTAAATCAGATAAGTCTGAGATCTGATCTAATATTTGAAATACAAAACTAAAGCAAGAAAAACTTATTGTGGCAAAAAAATTTAGATTAGTAAACCTCAAGATTAGATATTCAAAGAAAGTGCAATAAATAACTGGCCTGGGAGTAATCAATAAGCCTGAAAGAAAGATCATTGCTACTCCTCCTCCTCGTTAGCAACTATTTTGTAGAATCTGAAGCTATTCAGAAAAGTGGAGCACCCCATTTTGCAAAACTGGCATCAAGTCAAATTTTCACTGGAGTTTTTCCCGTTGAATAAAATTTTAAGGTCAACTTTAAGGTACACAACTTTCTAATCTACCCTTGCATACATTTGATGAAAGCAAGGTTATAAACACTACCGTATAACAATTTCAATTCATTTAAATTATTTATCGGAAGAGAAACAAAATATCCCATTGCTGATCTAAATCATAGCAAATGGAATTGGTTACTTACTTGTGTCCCAAATGCTTCAGAAAATATCCAAGTACTTTGAGGGATTGTACACGAATATTTTCACTCTTAGAGGCCAAGAGCTTGTAGACTACCCTGGAATAGACACATGATGCAAATTAACCAAGAAGCATGGTCTTCAGAGAATTAACTGTAGTCCCATTGATGAAGAGGCACTTCACTGGCTGGCTGACAGCCTCTTTCTTTTGGAACAAATTTGCATATGTGGAGGTCTGGATAAAATCAGTAATATTTCCTTTTGAAGAAACCAAAGTCATTTTAATCTATGCATCTGCAACTTCACAGCTAACATGAGGCAAATTTGATCATTTAATATTGCAATCCCATTGTTTTATGTACTTTTATATCCCGCTCATTATTTTTGATTCATTTATTGAACAGACACTAATGTTGTGCAGTGAGGTATGTTGATTTTTGTCATAAAATCACCATTTGTGCCTTAATCGTATGTTTTCCTTACCGTATTCCATTTCTCTGGTCAAAAGCAGGGATCATGGAAGCTGGATGCTCAGACATGAGAGCTACCACCAACTGCAACACATCATGCAGGTTTTCATCCTGTAGGAACACCATTATAGGAACACAGAAGAGACAGAAACAGTAAAGAAAACAGGAGTCAAAGAGTGGAAAAGCAGTTTGAGAAGTTTTTTTTATTTTAATGTAAATGCATTGTCCCTCTTTCCTGCACTTGTGAATTTTCCCACAACATATTCCCAGTATACATGTAGTGTTGCAGAAGCAACATAAGTAGCTAAATAAATTTCTTAGGCATCCAGTTCAGTTGGAAGATAGAATCATAATTGTCACCAGTCAGATAATGAAACAAACTCCAAAAATATCTTGCTTTTTGTGGCCTGCACTTCATCATCTGGTACTCTGGAAAGATCTCTACCTCATGGCTCTAGCTCCAGAGGTAGGTTGCAGTTTTCATGTTCTGGGCAAGCAAATGCTTTCTTAATCCCCTTATCATTAGAGGTACTGGGGATTAAGAAAGCCTAATCTGTAGAGGTCCAGAAAAATAAGAAAATTGCAGTTTTACAACAAGTAGTTTCAGACTCCCTACCCCACATCAGCTACTGGAGAACAGTTGGACTTGTGCATTGCAGACCAAAATTGAGTTGCTAGTAAAACAAACTGCTGATAGAAGAAAAATTCTGAGGAAGATTTGTGACAATGCAGCAAAGGGCAGGAGAGTGGCATAACATTGCTGAGTGAATTCCCTTGGAGGATAGAAAGAGACGTGTACCTCCTGCATTGTTAGCAAATAGTTGAGAATGCTCTGCAATTCATCCTCCTTCACACCCCGATCCTAAAAGAAAACAAAATAATAACACACTGAATCAATCCGAAGGGGAGAAAGCATGAAAGACATGTACACTAATAATCTGACACAAGCGTTTCAGGTGCTGATTATTTTTGTTTTTTCAGACGTTTTTCATAAAGGAAATTTCCATGTCATGAATTCTCACTAAGATTTGACTGAGTTTTCCAGATGTTTTTTATTCTCCAGTGAAACAGAGAATTAAATGTATTGTAGTAGAACAAATATCCAAACCAGATTGTTTATGCTGGAACAATCTGTCTGGATGATTATGTCAACCCAAACACCAGCAGACACTTTTAAGGGTCCAGTTTTTAACAATTCTAGACCGTTACCTTTGGATTAGCTCATAAGACTGCACTGTATAGCTTGTGCATACAATTTTGTTGAGTGAATCTGGATTTTCCACTTAGAATCCCAACCTTCCCAGACTTTACTGACATTCACAATGAGAGCGTTAATGTAGCTTTGAGGACTGTCTATCAGTGACCTTTCCTATTCTGCTAGCTGGACTCCGGTGTACACAGGCAGCTCTTGTGTAACAGAGGCAGTTGTGCTTTACACTACTCATTAAATTTTTGAACCAGCAACTTCCCTTGTAAGTTCTGTCTCCACACAATTAACTGAAATCACATTACAATCAGCACGTCAACAGGAGAATACCACTTAAAGAGATCTGGTTGGTCAAGTGTATTGAAAACTGAGGCTGCATGGGTTGATTCAAATATAGCGTCAAAAACAAAACTAATCGTTGAGCCTTCTTTTTAAGTTACATAAATCTATTGGGACAAAAAATCATGTTGGAGTTAATACATGCTAAAACAGTACAAAGAGCAAAAACCTCACTCATACTGGAATCCAGACATATATTGTATTTTTACATAATATTTAAATTTAAAATATACATAAAAAGATCCCCTTTTCAGCACAGCTAACTTCTTAAGGAGCTCAACAGTAGACCATTTCAAAGGATAAAGACAGAATCTCTAGATTTTCTCAGTGCAGGCGTGTGGGGAATTTGATGTATGAAGACAGGTGGGATATACCTTCAGAATGAGTTGTTTGAGGAAGAGAAGCATGAACGCCCGCAGAGAGATTACCTCTTTCTGGGTTGGCCTAGGCCCATCTGTGGTTTAAAAAAAGAAAAAGAAAGAATGAAAAAAGGATAAGAAAGAAAAGCAGATATCTTTCTTCTGATGTCAATTTTTAAGTCTAGGTTCTGAGTTTTCTTTGAGCATGTGAGAAAATTGACAAACTGAATGCTCTAAAACCTTGGGTGATTAAGCTTAGGATTTCAACAGCAACATATGTAGGTTTTTTTTTCATAGTTCTATTTTGATAAAAGAGAGGAATTTGTAAATTTGCAATGAATACAATAAGCTGGAAAGGAAAGGTCATCTGCAATATTACTTCCAAATGTGTCCATCATTTCCTGCTGCGTCTAAACTCAGACAGTCTCCCAAGTAACCTTGGCCACAACATGGGGTCCAGCCTGCCAGTCTAAGGTCACCTTATTCACAAATTGCCATCAAACCGGAAAACAACACATTATAACAGCACTGAATTCCTCTGACAACTGTAATTTATTTCTCATCCCCTTATATCCACCAAAACTAACAATATCTGATCAAATTTGTTACATCTTGTGAAAATTGAGATCTGTTTGGCACAAGATTCAAATTTTTTTCTATCAGATTTCATTTAAAATTCCCTGGTTTTTAGCCAGGCCTGTTTTTATGTACACAGAGTTAATAAGCTGCAGCTACAGCCAGATCAATAAAACCCACGAGTATTCATTAGGACATAACAGAAATCACAATACATAGAGTGCACTGACCTTGTTGTGCTAGCAGAACCCCTGCTGTTACATTAAAGGTTTGTCAAAGTTTCAGTTGTGTTAACCCATTTGTTGTTTATCCCGTGCAAAAAGCAAAGCACCAGGACAGAGAAAATCCTCTGCCACCACGGTGCTATTACATAGCACCAGCTGGGTTAAATACTATAACAAGAGGAAGTTCAGAGAAAATTGGTCACTTTGCCCAATGTTCCCCCCTCTTCTTCCCTGCACTGATAAACTCCAACCTCTTCCTTGGCTGAACACATGTTTATTTGAAATGGGAACTGATATAATGGCAGCAGACACCTGACCATCCTGCTACTTCAGCCAGTCAATGTAATCAATGATGAGGCTCCCTGAGGAAGGTGGAGGAAGGTAAGTGCCTCTGCATCCAGACACTGATTAATAGCTGGAGAGAGGCAACTCCACCAAAGGGATAGAGCCGAACATAAAAAGGGATGATAAGAACATTATTACCACAGCCACCACCTCTAAGTTATTCACAACCAATTATGTTCACCAACCCTGCATGGCCCTTGTTTCTCATTCATAGACTGCTTTAATTCCTGCATCCCAAAGGCACAAGAAGAATGAGTTTATTGAAAAACAATTTATGTCCATGTGATTATTGCTGGAATTTTATTGCAGCTTATGAATGATAATAAAGTCAAGACAATAACATGCATCCGTTATAGTTGTACAAAACTTTCCACATAAAAAGGATTTATTGCAGATTAACTCCCTGTGTCCTTGGTAACTGAAATCCTCGTTTGTACATTTGAAGCAGCATTAGCAGGTATTCGGCTGGGGTGTAACGGTACATGCATTTTGTTGACAGTTGTGGATATGAGCTTTTTAGTCATATTGTGATAATATACAGAAAAAAACCAGTGTTATTTTAAATCTGCTCACATCCAGGCCATTTATGAGAGGAATTTTACATTCTGGCATTCAACTTTTAAACATTAGCATATAAAGTGACAAAACAAAAAATAAAATCAAAGAGAACAGATAATTCTGAGACTAAACATCCACCATTTTAACTACAGTCTGATATTTGGGAACATTCTGGTTCCTAGTGAACTATAGTGATGGTGGACAAAGAAAGATGTATCAAATAGAGGCTTTAATTTTTTTTGCCTCATTAACAGTCACTAAGAATTCAGGTGAGACCTAAGGCATAATAAGCACTGTACCGCTCTTGTCGGCAATGGACTGCCACACTTTATTGAAAACACCATTTTTAAAACACATCCTGTATGTAACAGAGACATTATGCAGTTCTCATGAGCAAATTCTTGGTTCAAACATTGACGTTCAAGAGTCTGTGTGTCCTAAAAGTCAACCATCTGGAAAATAGGGCCTAACAAACCCTGCAAAGGTCTGGTCACTAGCCTGGCTATTTCCTTCCTGTGCAATTCTGCTGGATTCTAATCTCACTTCACAGCACAATAAGGCATTCCCTTATTGTTCCCGGTAGAACTTCAACCTGGCTAATCAGCGAACAGAAGGACAAGTTGTGAATAACGATGTCATTTTTCTACTCTGTTGTAGAATTATAGTCTGTCATTAGTTTTGGCAGTGGCAGAGAAGGAGGTGAACAGAACCGTTTTGTTCTTCTTTCACCACACAAGCTTGCCTATTTAGACTCTGCAATGGACCACAGAACATGACACAATGAAAGGTTTTATTTTCTGAAGAGAAATAGTTAATCTTTCCAATGATGGTGTTTTTTTTAATTCTGCACAGTGAAGGAGGCTCCACCACGATCTAAGAACCCAAAACGTCTAAAGTTCATTATCTCTGTTAATGATCTGTCCTTTAAATGAAAGACAAAACAAGCTTGAACTGGATGTGCTGACTGGCCAAAAAGCTTTTCTGCCCACCTCATTACACACCATTTGGTAAAAATGAAGCCAGCACAAAGACTCAATAGATAAGAGAGGAAAAAGCTAATATGTTGGCTGTGGATTCAAGTCTCAGGCTAAGAGAAACTGAACATCTGCCCAACAGCTGGGACAGATTTGGTACCATAACCGAATAATACATGGCTTTAATATGAGAGCACTCTATTAAGACCTGCAAAAACCACAAGAAACTAAAAAGAGGATTTGCCTTGAGATAAAGAACATGTAGCTAGTGAGATCTGTGTTAAATGTTCTCTCTGTGTCCCATAACTCAACACTTCATTATCTACTTGGTTCTCTTTTTTTTTTTTAACTTTTGTGTTTGTTTGGTCATTTCTCTGTTCAGAAGGACAGAGAGAAAAAGTGAGCTGCTCAGGCAAGGAAAGACAAATGAATCCAGGCAGCCTGAGACTAATGTACACCATGAATGTGATCCATTTTAAGATGCATCCCCAGCTGTAGTTCCTTTCGCCTTCCTTTAAAATCAAGAGGTGTAATTTGTCTTCTATTCAAAGGTCTTCATTTGGAGAAGAGAAAAGGGAGCTTAATGGACATTTGTGATTAAAAAATGGGTAGCATAAATTGGGATGGGCAAATGTTTACATGTCTTTGCAATTAAAAAGAACATCAAACAAATAAGTGTTGACAACTTTTAATTCAATAGTGACATACTTACTTTCAAGGTGAGAAGCTCTTAGTTTTATTTCAATGTATGCACATTGGTGAGAAAATGCCCTCACTGATGTATTCAATCATGTTTACAAATATAATAAACCCTGGACCATTACTCATGGATCAAGACAATCCAGAGGTCTTGCTCTATCTCTAGGCTTGACACAAATGACTGATTTTCACTCATAATATTTAATAATCGTCAAAGCAAAAAAACTGCAACATAATATTGGAACGTGATACTGGAAAAGACGAGCAATTTCTTTTTTTAAAGCATACAACCTTCTATTGACTTATGCACATGTTTTTAATGCACACACTGATAAAGTACAATCTTCTGAATAACGCATCTTGTTCAGTTTTTCTATAAAGCATTAGTTTTATTCTATTTTACAAACCATTCTTGGATATCATACAGCACAAGTGACTTGTGCATCAGTCATGCACAAGTAAATGAACTAAAGAGTGGAGCTGAATAATTCCCCTCGATCACCTCTGATCTCAGATACAAATTCTGAAAAAAACACATTACCATGTATTTTTTTTCAACATGACAATATTTGCTGTTATTAAATTGGGTGAAGATTAGGAGGATATACTGATGCATAAATGCTAGTGGTCTTGCAATTATTTTGTGTTGTGTTGAATTAAAACTTTGGTAAAAATGAAGCCATTTTTACCAAAAAATGGCTTCATTTTTTGGTAAAAAAAATGAAATAGTACTTCAATTTTGAGAAAGAAAAATCTCAACCTGTCAAAATTGAAAAACTGAAAATCTGTTTCAGAAAATAAAAGCTTGGTTGATGCATCTCCACACTGAAAACAATTCAGTATGTTAAACATCTGAGATGAGAAGTAAAGATGAAGGCCCAGTGGAATCCATCAGTCAAAATAAAATCTGATAAACTAAGCATAGAAATAAGACAACTATCAGAAGGCTATTCATTATGATAGTATTCTAACAAATCAGAAGAAGAATGAAGTTCATAAAAGAATCTGCAATATTCTCCGAGTACTTACACTCTGGGATTCATTTATCTCCCTGCAGTATTAATACAAATGAAAATTACCTGTAGGAACAATTCAAGCAGAGGCACAGAAAAAAAAATCTCTTTTGGATTAACTGACCTTTGATTGTGTGAAGAGTATTACATCAATGCTGTCAAGCTCCAACCTTCAGCACGTAAATTTTATTGGGCCTTGGTGCAGCATAAAGTGGGGTCTCGAAACCAATATAAAACAGCCCCTATATTAGAAAGTGGGTAGTTTCTGAAAAGAATAATGGATAGCAAAAAGGAAATGACAGTTCAAGGACACTTTCTTTTCCTTTACAGCCCGCTTGGTGATGTGCTGTTTCACAGACTCAGTGTGCCAGTCAGTAGACTGGCCACGTTTCATAGACTTAACACCCACAGCAAGCACCTTACTGGGATGACAATAGATGATATAGTGTGTCTGTCTAAACTCTCGGCCACAGTCCCAAAAGCTGACAGACAAACCTTTCTGTATGGAGACGAGTCATTTAAAAAGTGGTGGAACTGCTTCAATTTCTATCGTCACTTTGATAACAGGCTTCGAACTGCATACAATACTAGTTATTGGTTTCATCCCGAGATGAGAAGCCTACAACAATCCATATAAAATCAAATTATGGTTATTGCAAAAAAAAAAAAAAAGAAAGAGGAACTCAACATCCAGATGAATAAAAATGAAATATGCTCACCTAATCCCTTTGGAGTGATGCCACTGCTGCCTGTGGGATTGGAGGCCCAGTAGTAGTATTTCAGCATATGCATGAGCTGAAGGACTGTACCAACCCGACGGATTGTGTTGTAGATGGTAGCTGTGCCAATGAATTCAGCAGAAAGGTATGTATATAATGAAAGCTGAACCTGGAATAAGAAAAACATATATATTTATTCATATTAGCAATAGCACAGTGAAATTGTTGTTAAAGGCACATAACAGCTTCATCAACTAGACAAAGAGTGGAAATTAACAGGTGGAAAAAAAACCCAAAGTGGAAGCAGAGCTAAAAGATAAACCTGAAGTCAAAGTGCATAGTGAGTCTAAAACATAGATCTTTAAATGGATGTGGAAAAGTATGTGTCAATTCATGTTTTTGATGAGAACAGTCAGTCAAATTTATTGTCATCAATGTCGTGGGTGCTTTTGCAGTCTTGGTTTTTATGCACCCAATTTTTTCAGACATTTCCTATCTGCTTTGACAACTGATAATTTAGAGCACTTTTCTGTTATGTATTGCTGTCTACTGCAATAGAATGTAGTTATGCAATTCTGAAAACGAGATTTTCCTTGCTCAGAAAAATATGACAACAATATGACATCATTTGAAACCATTGCTGGTTTCAAATGATTTCACCTATAGGAAAAATACTCCAAAGAAACACCATATCTAGGTTAGTTCCTAAACTCCCTTATGAGTGGTAGAGTACACAAACTTTAGCTATTTTATATGCTGTGTGACATTTTAAAACACAAACTTTAGAAAGGTGCCCTTACAAAAAGGAAGAACACTGATTATTCTTTTTTTGAACAAAGCTTCTTTGTAATAAATGTTACAATAAACTTCTCCATCAACTCTCCTGAATGCCATCTCCAAAGGTTTCCACATCCTTCCTATAGACAGCCTTATTGCAGTTAAGAACCACATGGAGTTGAGATTTTATGGACTGGTGCCAGCAGAACCATCTGCAGATTAATTTCATGGCTGTTTAGCTTTTGTACATTTGACATAACTGTGCAATATATGCTATCTTTTATTTCTGTTATTATTACAAATTTGGAGTTGTAACTGTGTGCTTCCCATTTGCCTGTCACTTTGCTTCTGATACACTGTGTTCCCCAACTGTGGGTGGATGATATTCTACTCCATTCAATGTTCAGGCTGAATGGCTGGGATTAAAATAGCTATCTTAGTTAATACAAAAAGACGATTTTCTGAAAAAAAATAAACTGGGAAATAAAAGAAACAAAATGCAGTGAATTTTCAGCCAGGAAAAAAAACTCTCCCATTACAAACATTCACCTTCAGTCCAGGGTCCATCCAAAAAGCCCTTTCTCTTTATCTTGGCCATTTTCAGAGCAGATTCAACCCACTTTTTGTCTGATTTGGCCCTGGTTCTTATACTGGAAATGAGGAAAAAAAAAAACTACCCCAGAAAATTATTCTAAAAGATTCCTGCAGTGGTAATTCACCTTTACATAAACAGAAAGAAATGCAGTCATAAAATACAATTTATTCACAAGGTAATGTCAGGAGTCCCCTGCTTTAATGCAAGTCACACAGCTTACAGCATGCTATAAGTTGGTAGCAGAAAGGGACAGGTAAATGAATTTTACCACTTTGGCCACCTAGGAGAGTGCACCAGAGCAGTTGGCCTCAGAAATGCTCAAAGTGCTCCAACTCCTTTCATTACCAAGCTGTTTCTCTCATTTTCCATCCATCCTTTCTGATCATTACATTTTGAAGTGTCACTGGCATGCCTCTGGGCAGTTTGGTATTTCTTTTACACTTCTATCTATATTTTTGTGTGCTTCCTACCAATAATAATAAAAAAAAAACCACATTTGCCACACACACTCTACTTCTTTAGTACGTTTGATTGCCTTTTACGGGTAATTATTTAAATGTAGGATTGGAAAAAACTCCAAAACGTTTAAAAAAAATTATTTGAGACCAGTTAAACTGGAGCATAACTGCAACATTTCAATGTTCTATGCAATTTTAAAATGTGTTGCACAGGAACAAAGCACTTTAAAGTGTGCAATTTAGGACACACCACCATTCTGAGAGAAATGTACATAACTTGTAATTGGAAGAAAACAAACAAACAAAAAACCTTCTTCCTCATGCCGCAAATTGCCTTAAAACCTTTTGTTGTGTTAGTTGTGAACTTGGTTTAATAGCTTTCATTTATATTCTGAGAACAAGCTACGATTAGTTTTTACTTGTTCTTTTGTCCCTTCATTCATTCACATTTGCAGACATATTTCACCACTAGTTTTATCTGCTACCATTGAAAGCTCACCTTTATTGTCACAAAGAAAATGTCTACTTGACATCTCACTTCCACAAAAGAAACAGGATGTGAAAGAATTTGTCTTCACATTTTTACAAAGTGGTGACAAACAGTCGAGTTTGAATCTCTGGTTGCTCATCTTGTCATTTCCAGTAGCTCACCTTGGCTGGGGTATAGATCCAAATGGCTGCATTAAACAGGATGTGATCACACAGCTGTTTCAGCAGAGGCGCTCCATGTGGCAGGCCGTCGAGATACTTTGCAAAGGAAAGGAACTGCTCTAAAACAGCCCTGCTGATGTGTGCACGAGAAGACTGAAAAAACAGAGCCACAAAATAAAAAACACATTCATGATGGCATTTTAATATGCTCACTGAATTTTGAAAATATATTTAGTTGTAAATTAACATTTTAATAAACTCGACCTATAAGACTATCATAGTTGACCTGGAAACAAATTAAATTCGTAATATGCGATATAATTTCTAAACTTCCACATTCTGAATTTTCTCTCTAATGCACTGATAACAGCTAACCCATTTACTGAAAGAAAAGGCACACGAAGGTTTTAAAATGTCAGTTTCAGAACTTCTTAAATTTTCCATCATACCATTTTCACAATTTAAAGTTGTTTTCAAAAGGTGGCAAAGAAAATGTCAGAGTGACCAGAGTTTTCTCCAGCTGTGTTGAGCAAAGCACACAGCTTGGTACCACTCAGCAAAACTGTGTTGCCCTCTCACCTTGCTCCACAGGTGAGGGGGCAACAGATCTGCCCCCCTCACCTGTTGCTGCACACTACTAATCACCTGGCTGTAAGAAGGTTTTTCCCTTTCTTACAAGAAAGACAAATTCTCTTAAAAGACTGACAAACAATTTTTTTTTCTTGGACTCTTGTTTATCATACTGTGAAACTCCCAGAAACACTCACACATGGTAGAACGTAAAATTTATCAATGATTTTGGGGTAAATACTGGAGATTTCTTGGTCACGATATAAATAAAAAAATCTCTTCTCAAGTCTTAAATACTGCAGTTTCAATTCATCATTATAACATTGGTGAGAAATCGATCCACTCACTTAGTTTATCTCACTATTATATAATAAAACAAAATAAGGATATAATGGACACTTTTACAGGAAATTCTGCATGTGACAAGTGCCATTACAACACATGCCTGGTGGTTATTGTCATTCCAGGTGGGGACTATGTGAAAGGAGGGAAGAAAGAAAAATGAAGGCCAAAGGAGAAGGGAAGTTGTGGCATAAACAGATCATGAACAGATGGTGCGATATGTGAAAGTGTGAAACCTGGCAGCAGGAGGGAAGGAAGAAAAAAACGGCAGCTCTCAGGTGCCGACTATGCCTGGCTGTTAGTTTACAGCATCTGAAGCCAGCAGACAGGCGAGTCACTGAGTGACAAAGTGGAGTCATATCTCAGTGCTCTGAAAGAGACAGCACTCTGGGGATGCTGGCTGCTAGATCTGAATCACAAAATGGGTAAATAAAGACTGATGCAGAAAGTGGGGGACATGTTCCTCTGTTCGGTTCAAAGAAACGTACAGGACTTTGCCACAGGCAATGGAAGATTAGACTACTGACAGGGCTTTGAGAGTACAGACAAAACACTGTGCACCTTGATAGAACAAGACGTAGACAAGACACAGCGTACCTGGACAATGAAAGATAGCAAATAGGGTGTTCACTGGAAAAGCCGGAGACTGTTGGACTACATGAAATCGCATATCGTTCAAACATTTTAATGAAAGCAAATATGCAAAAAGAGATTTTTAAAGCTGATGCAAGGCTTTTTAAATTGGAACTTGATCTGAATTCATGAGAAACAGAGGACCTCAATAAATAAGGAATGTAATGTAAAGGTTACAGTAATTCAACTCAAAAAGTGAAACTTGTATATTTTTAAAGCGATTCATGTTTTCCAATATTTGTTAATTTCGGCTTATTCTTCAACTGTTTAAATCAAGTTTTCTTTTTGATCTACATAAGAATCTATAACGTACATATCTTTAATAAAAAGAGTAATAATTTAATAATATGTTTAGAAGTATTCAAACCTTTTGCTGTTACACAGAGATACAAAATAAATCTTTTAAGTTTACTTCCTTATTACTTAGTGACTTGCTTTGTAACTGCTAGGTGAACATGATTTTCTCAGAAAATTTTACATTACAAAATATTTTCAATAAACATGGACTTCCAAGCAGAAAGGAAGTCCATGCGATGAAAGCACTTGTTACTTGGTCATGGCTGCTTTTGGATGAATTGCTACATCAATGTATTTAAGAAGAAGATGATCAAAATTTGGATCTCTTACTAATGCAATCAAGCATTGCATCAAGATTGCAATTACTGCTTCACAATAGTTGCAATCAAGATAGTGGCTGTTTGTATAGTATGTGCACACTTTTCTACCACACTTTTTCCTTCCACTTAACTTTACAGTGCTTTGTTTAGATGTTGCAGCTTTTTTGTTTTACTCCCCCTTGTGAGAGTCAAAGGCTGTTCAGGAGGCAACTGCAAAATCAACAGACTGATACATTACTGTGTGGCTTATCTAAAAATTTAATTGGTCCAATATCCGAATTTCATGAGGACCATCATTTAGAATTTTAATCAGCTGTAAATCTTAATAACCAAAATTAAAAGTAATTCAAACATTGAAATTCCTCTATTTGTTAAAGTCTGCCCAAAAGTTCCACTTTTTCAATTGAATGGTTGAGATAAATTCACTTTTCATTACCATTTTAATTTAATGATATAGACACTTAATGGGTTTGACGGTGAAACTTTGATGAGATTGGCTCCATACCTTCTCTAGCAAGTATCCAATCACTAAAAAGCCTTTTCCTCCCAGCATCTGCTCCTGCATGGTCACAGAACTCTTCAACAGCTCAACCAAAAAGGCTAGGAGAGTGGCACTGCAAAAAAAAAAAAAAAAAAAAAAAGAGAAGAAAAGCTAAAAACTCATCAGCTTTCACAAGACTTCTTAGCAGGAATAAAATCCAACAGTCATATAGAAAATTAGATTGTTGTGGTAGTTCCATTGGCATTGTTGTAGTGGTAAAAATAGCAAAAAGATAATAAATTAACTCTTGCAGCATGAGAAGACAGTGCAGCCAAGGGAAAACAACAAGGTCATTTTCAGAGGATGTCAGCAATCAGCTGGGGAATTAAGCCCAGCCTTTTATCCCTCTTAAATTCAGAAAAGAAAGTTGGGGTTTTATTAAGTCCTCTAGAGACCACGGGGTGATCTTTGAGGTGAACTCTAACAGATTGTGTATGTGTTCATATGGGAGAGGGGGTTCAAAGGACCAAGGCATCGCCATGAAGAAAATGTTTCTTTGTTGTACAGCTTTTCTGCTGAAGCCTTTTGGCTGAAAGACAGTGGTGCTCGAAGACACTTCTTAATCGGCTTTCCCGCACGTCCTCCAATGGTTTCCACTCCAGCTCAACAAAAACAAGGCCACAATCACCCCTGCACAGTCTTGGCCATATAGTGTGCACACAGTATGCATACTCATCCAGTCTGAAGTATATTTCATATGTTGGTGCATAGTCAGCTCGAAGTCCCTTTTTCTCCATTAATTCACCTTTGCTATTACAAAGTAAAGTAAAAATAGAAATGTGTGGCAATCAACTTTGTGCTTCCTTGGTTCAGGTAATTAACAAGTAACCATCTTTCTTCTAGTGTGGTCTTCCAGTGTTTTCACTCCTGCTTTGCATTCAGGTTGGCAAGAAGAAGTATCAAAGAAAATTATTATTAAAAGGATATTTTAAAAATCACTATCTGTGCAAGGTTTTGGGAACAGAAAAACACTCAGGCCAAATAGGAAGTTAATTGCTGAAAAAGCTTTGAACTCCAATGCCCAGCAGGCTTTAGAGGAACTAAGTCTTAAAGCAACGACAAAGTGCCGTGTTTGGTAGGGGTGCACACTGTGAGCCAAAGAGGAATGCACGCTGGCAAGAGGAGAAGAGGGACGAAGAGCAGAGAGGAGTGGAGTCTTAGGAGGCAGAGAGCTTTGGGGATCAGGGATTTGTGCTCCTATGTGGCCACTCCTGCATCCATCCATGTCATTAAACTGTTGCAGTATTAAAGCAGAGCTAAGAATCCAAACTGCACACAACCGCAAAGCTTTGGGAAGACAAGCTCAGGATAAGAGGAATGAGAGTAGAGATAATGAAAAATGGACTACAGCTTTATAAACACTATTACAGGATTCAAACTAATAAAACTTCTTTAACAGATTACTTGCTCAATTGCCTCGGTTTATAGGTACTGAGAGCAATATTTGCTGTGTGCTATGCATTATATGACTTCTCTTTTTCATACGTCCAAGCACAAAAATGTACTGATTAGATATAGGAAAGGTTACTTTTTTGATGAAAACAAAGACTTTCAACATTAATGCAACATCTTCCCAGCATGAAATCAAGAACTTCTTAAATTCCAAATGTACACTGATCAAGGACAACAGTATACGAATGATCACATCAGACATTAATAGTGATTACAAGTTTTTGCAACCCAGTTGCAAACCAGTCAGGAAGCCCTTACTGGTCAGAATTTGAAACCGAAATGGGGCTCAACATCTACTGCATTGCAATAAGTCTAACATCTGCGTAATGCTGTCTTAGAGGGACATATTTCAATATTTTTCTTGCAAATCAAAATGCATGAGATACTCCTAGTCCTACATTTTAGCGATTTAATAATTTAAATGCAAATAAATTATTGCAACTATTTTCCTTTGTAAAGACCACAAAATGAGCCATTCAAACTCATACATCTGAACAAACTATACATAAAAGAACGCTGGATCCATAGAGTGAAACCTAGGCCCATTAGCAGATCCAAACAGAGAGTTTTGTCACCTACCATAGCGTCATGTATTTAACATATACTGCAGCAAACAAGGCTGTGCTCTGCATGGTAGAACATGTTAACCTACCAGACTGTAGTTTCCACCTGGCTGTCCTTCGACTGATGAAAGTCCAACTGAGCAAAAAGTGGAAAGAGTACCTGGATACCACCAACAGAGTGGATGGCACTGTGGATGGAGTGTGTAACTGTGGCTTTCACATCCTGTGAGGATAAAAGTAAAACAGAAATAGAAACATATGGTACAATATCTGCAAATAGACAAAGTCAGAATTTAAAAAATGAAAACAAGGTTCATGTTGACTGAATAAAAAAAAATAAACACATGAATTCATTATTGTCTCTGGCGGTGTGTACAGATTAAGAGTAATGCATTTGACCTGAAGCATAAGGGCGTGCGGTGAGTGCACAAAGATAGAGGCGTTTTCACGAGGTGAGGACTCCAGGCAAAGCTGTGCGTCAGTGGCCTTGGCGTTATAGGTGAAGGCGATAGAGCCTGCCAATTTGCCGTCGTACAACACCTGCTTGTGATGCTCTGCTAAGTGGATATCACTCTCTGACTTGAACTTAAATGTACTCTGCAAAAGAAAAAGAAAAAAAACTAGAGCAAATCAGGAAATTAGGAGATAAAAGGAAACACAGCACAAAATGCAAAGTTATTTTCTGCACAAGCCCCTTATCGCTTTCTCTGTGGTGCTATCTTAATTATAACTTGATGAAAAAAATTACTTGAGAATGAACTGATTAAAGTTGCACGAAAAAGGCAACATTTTGAAAATGCAATTTCTACACTGATCAGAACTGTCTTTTTTAATTTTTATCAATCCTTATTAGTGTAATCAGGCACAAAATACAACACAATTTACCATTTCAGTGATGCAAACCATTCTTGGCACAATTAACTGGAAAGCAGCAACATAGCGTAATGAAGCTGTGGTGCAACATTTCTTGACTTCACCTTAATGTCATTATCTTCTGCAAAAAAGTTGAATGTAATCTCACCTGTGTATCTTCTAAAAACACATTACACTGATTACATTAACATGTATTTTACAAAAACAAAGTACTTTTTGCTCTTTTATGTTGCTTAATTTTGGCTCTATTTCCCATTTTTTTCCCCCGGAGCAGCATCACTTGGTGCTCTGCAACTTCTACAACAGAGTAATGATGAGGAGGAACACAGCCTGACCAAATGGATTAAGGTTCCTTTGAAATTGATAAATGATCGTTTACTTGAGTAGACAATTTATGACAAACTTTTCTTGAATTATATCCAACAAAGCACTGTCATTGTGAATGCTCCTGTGCTCACTCTGAAGTGGCTACCAACTGAACATGTGAGTATTTTTCACTCTCTTAGTACTGAATGTGTCATTTAGGGTTTAAATATATTTGTGCAAAAGAAGTCAATTAAGAATTATCGGATATAATTGAAAACACAATCAAATTATACCTGGCAATATGCAATTAAGTTCTGAATTTTTGTAATTTCCCAATTAGAGGGAAAACTACAAAAGTTAAATTAAGTATTTTGATTTTTTTTTAGAGAAAAATACCTTTTTTCTAAAGTAAATTAACCATCAGACTTCTGGTTAATTTATGATGCCACTTTTAAATGTCCCTACCTTACAAATGGGGGATTTTTTTTTTTCTTTTTATATTTCAGATATGCCCATTGCCATATTACCTTCTGCTGTCTCAAGACACCTCATGAAAGCACCAGTCCAACTAGTTAATGGTTCAATAGCAGATTTAAAATAATTAACATAACAAATTGCTTATCAATGACCGAGTAGTCTTAATTTACTCAATCAATTATTTGTTGACAGATGAGCTAAAATAATTTGTCAAAGCTGTGAGAATAGACTATGCTTAACACTTAAATCAATTCCTCTAATCAGTAGAGCTGAATTATTAATGAATGCGAGAAATGTTTTCCATCTTTCTTAGAATTATGGGCAGCAAGCATGTGCTGATATAGAGATAAAGCTCTGCGGCAAGGAAACAACCATATGGTCCCAGAAGATTTGCAGAAAAAGCTTGTCAGAGCATCCTGCACCTACCTAAAATGTATCAAAATCTGTTATTTTTAGTTGAAGTTAGAACATAACGAGGGCTACTCGCTGAGACTGTTAGTACTTCTATAGAGGTAAATTTTCCCATAATTCTAACCTGGGAAAATGGCACTTTGATTTGGCATTAACTATACAAAGTAAACACAAAAACTAATGACCTGTCATGTTGCACTAATACGAAGAAACACCTCTGCATATTTTGGGATCACCCTGTATAAAACAGAAGTAGGCACTTAACCAAGAACAATTGCAGTGACTAGTTATTACCTCTGAAGTCGGAGCGTGGATCTGAAAACCTAATTTAAGAATGCCCGAGAGTCAAATCTGAAAACCAGTGGGAGATCCTAAATGGGCATGTTCAGAGACAAACTAAATTCTTAGCCTTTTATGCATGCTAAATGAATCTGCTTTTCAAAATTGGTTGAACACTTCTATGCGTTCATACAATTTAATGAAACATGAATCACGAGAAATGCAAATAACAGTTTGATTCTGCAGCTGTGTTCAGTGACAAGTTAATTAGTCTTAGAAATAAAAACTAACCAGTTACTATCAAAAGACTTCAAAATAATTCATATGCTATTTGTACTATTTCAAACAAAGTTGTTCATTTAATGTGTATTAATGTGAAACATCTGCTTGCATTAATGTAGCAATGGATGCCATCACCTAGCTCTACATCCCTGCATGTATTTCTCCAGAACATCAGAAACAGTAAGGATGAACTACAACTTCTGCTACACCACTTCTTACTTTGTTTCTAAAAAATATACATATTCTCCTCATTTGCTATGATCAAGTCCACACAGCAGCTGTTATGCATCTCATCATGTAGTCTCTAACATCCTTGGGTAGTTTTTTACTCATGGAGCCCAAGTGGCCAAAAATAACAAGCTCCAGTGCCTCCAATTCTGTGCAGGCACTGCTGCAGTGTGAAAATAAAGATCGCATGGGTTTTGACGATAAAACCTTGTGCCATGACAGCATCATTCCAGACCAGCCAGTCATTTAAAAGAAATAGGGCATAGTTCTCCCTTTTGCTCTGAGAGCAAAAGGGCATCCCTGAGCAAAGGCGAGCACTTGAAAAGGTTCAGAACCCGAGTGTTTTCTGTGGTCTGAGTGTAACAAGAACTTTTAAAAAATGTATGCTTTCAGAACTGCAATGTATATTCAAAAAGACATCATTACCAGTCCCAGTGTAGGTAGTTTACTGAACTTCCTAATTAGGAATAAGACAATACAATTACTCCCACACCAGCAAAAACTAGGTCAATACTTGCAGATGTAAAGTGTTTTAGGCTTTTTAGATGCAAGTAGATTCAGCCTCCCACAGAACTATTAGAGACGCATCAGATCAGTATCATAATCACTTAACAGTGAAGCAAATTGAAATGTAAACATCCAACATCGAAACTAAAGCAAAAATAAACAAGATTCAGCTTCCAGAACAGGAACTCCCGCAAAGGATAGTAAACCTGATCAATCAGATTCATTTAAAGATTTTTTTTTTTTTCTGTATCGACTATTCTTTGTAACTTCTGGTGTCTTGGCTGATTACACCTTCTGATCCAAAGTCTACACTGACACTGCATTTCATTTTCCTGAAAAGGGAAACAAGTCGGTCTCTTCTAGGGCACTTTGTGGTGCATGCTGCAGAGCAGCGCTGGCACAAATTCAAAGGGCTAATCTGCCTATTGTAGCCCACATATGGCAACAGAGATAGAGGGTAAGGACAGAAATAACCAAGTGCATCATTTGAAAACATGTAAAGTCATGGCTTAATTGCTTTGACGAGTCCAATCAATGATTAATACTTAGTGTGCAGTAAATCTGCCAGTGGAAACTTATGATGGATTGAGAACTTACAAGTGAAGGTTTATTTTAAAGTGTTATTTATTTTTATTGTACCATGTAAATCAGCAGTGTCAAACTCTTTAGGATATATTAAAAATCTAAATGTTCTTTAAGGGTCGGTTGTGCCAGAATATATTGATAAAACCCATTAAATTGTTAATAAATTAAGAAACAACTGTTTCTAAATTAAATATAGAACAACTTTTCACACAAGTTTTGTGGCGCTGATTTAGAAATATTTGTAATAAATTTTCATGATATTCACAATAATGTATGAGGATTAATGTGACATCCAATAAGGCTGAGGCAGCAGTCAATTATACCCAATGTTTTTGACCCAGTTTGAGAAAACTTTGCAGAAAAATCAGAAGAAATGTGGGAATTTGTTAATTTTGTGTGAATTTTGCAGATTTGTGAAAAACTGGAGGGATTTATTGATGTAATTTGGAGTCTAGAGGGCCACATAAAATGCTATGGCGGCTAGATTTGGCCCCGGGGCCTCGAGTTTGATGTGTGATGTATATCACACATCAAAGTCCCAAAATGACGAAAACAAAATAAAATTCACCTAATTTCTTAGCAGCTGTTTATGAAAAAATACACTAAGAAAACTGAAGCAACATATCGTAAGAAATATTTTCAAGCATGCTTTTGTCAATTTTAGTTCATACATTCTCAACATTTTCTTGTTAAATTATAAGTACATTTCTCAGGATGTTCTACATCCTTGGAACAAATGCAAAAAAACACCCGGAAATGCGCGTAATAAAATGCACAGAAGTCTTCCAGGTAAAAATCAAATTTAGCAAGCGGAATTTGTAGATTATTTTGTGTACAGGTTTTTGAGCTTCATGGCCACAAATCATAACATGCAAGAAAATGGTGGCCCACTGAAGCAATAATCTATATGTTCAGAAAAGCTAGAGAAGTTACAGTTGCATTCAAAGCACTGTAAAAGCAAGGGAAAGCATGTCAAAGATCAAACACAAATAAGGTAAGCAGAGATTTGAGGGAAAAAAAAAAAAAAAACCTCCCACATCAGTGTAGAGGTTTCATTCCAAAGACTGAGCCAAACTGCAATTTACAGCAATAAATGTGTGCTGTAATCTCCTGCATTAACGCATATCCCTGCAGCTCTTAATTAAAACAGGAAGGGCTCCTGACAGCTGGACAACTTCCTAATTATAGCAACCCACTAGAATAGATTTATTATATTCTCCATTACTTATCAGAGCTCCATCACTTACAGGTAATTTTCTTTATGAAAAGAAAATTTGCAGAATTGGAAAGAAAATTACCTGAAATAGGAATTTCCTGATTTTTTTTCATAAAGGATTTACATTAAAGTCATCTATGCGAACTTCGTATTGATTTAACAAATAAATGTAACATTTTAACATTAATACAAAAGAAAAATTTAGTGCAGGTTTCTTCATTCAAGAAGCCGTTTGAAATAGACTAGGTGAAAAAGGATGATCCCATTAATGAAAGGAAAGCCTACATACCTATAATCCAATTTTGTAAAGCTATAGAATGAGTTAAAGAACACTGTTTTTACAAAAGAGTCTATTTTTGCTTTTGTAACAAGATGGAAATTTCAGCATCAAAAAAATCCCCTCTGATATAAATTGTGAGACATTATGCGTTTGGTTTTGCAGTACCTTTCATTGACTTTTTGTCACAGAGTGCAAGTATTGAGTTTAAAGAACCACAATTCTCCAAATATCAGGGGTAAAAATGAGAGTGTAAAGAGAAGAAATAAACTGAACAATCTTGGCAGACATTTAAAAACAAATAAAACAACATTGAATTAAATATTAAAGAAGCTAAAACTGTCATAGTGTGAAAAATATTTGCAGCTCCTTTAATGGCAAGTCAAAGTTTCTCTATTCACATTCATGATTTGATGATTTTTAGTCCCTTTACTGAGTTCCTGCAGCTTTCCCCCTGCATGCCATGCTATTATTCCCAAGGAATAGGTAATTTATGCAGCCGTTTATCTGGCAGGAAAAGCAGGACATAAGGCAAGGAACTATGGGGCAGCGCTTCTCATTGATTACACAAATAGATGGATGATTCAGACTGCTTATATGTAATCTAATTTAGTCACCCACAAGCACATACCTTATAGCCTGGTCCTAGCTGATGAATTGCAAAAATCTGTGCCGGATTGAGAGCTTCACTGAATACGTAGACAGCTCCTAGCTGCCCACAGAACACTCTGTTTGCATCGGCTGTTTCTGAAGACCCGAGGAAGCACTTATCATAGCTCTGAAAGAAGAAAATGTAAAGGAAAGTGCATTTTGGAATGGATTATTACATCAAGACAGAAAATTGTAGCAATTTAGAAAAAAAAATGGCAAACACATTAATGATCACAGCAAAGTGTAAAATATGTAGACTATTTTTACAATTAGGATTTGTGTCTATCATATAGCCAATTTCTTTGTTTCATCTTAAAATGTGTAACCAGCAAAGCTTACAACATTCCATCAAAATGAAACCACTGAAACTAGTTTTTATTTTCTGTAGAAATAAATGAAAGGCAACACAAATTGTATGTAGATACAAGTGCAAAGACTGCAATTAAAAAGTATAAGTGCAACAAATTTAGAAATACAGGTGAAATACAAATTAGTCCAGATGTCAAAAAGCTCTTCATGAATCAGCATATATACAAGTCAACTTCAGATTTGTGGAATATACAAATACTTAAAGCCTAGAACACATGGTATATATAGTAAGATGTCTTGAAAAGTATAAAAAATTTGAACAGAAAATCTTGAATTTAGTCTTCCATTACTGGATTTAAATAGCTTTATTTTCTGCTACCAACACATTAAAAATATGCTTCACGGAATAATTATGTCTAATTGATTTTTTTTTCCCATTCAAATGACAAATATCTTCACTACAAAACAACAATCTGCAATGAGTGGAGCAAAATAGTTCTTGAACTGAAAAATGCGAATGCATACCAATAGTTTAAAACGCACATTTCAAAACATTTCATTCCTTCTTTTGCAAAAAATAATACATTTTTAAACCAGTCTGACAAAAAAAATGTGCGTTACTGCAGGTTCTTTGGGGCATTCGTGTTTAAAAATCCATCATCAACATTAAAATCTTCCTAATTACATAACTAAATGGAAAGTAGACCATGTCGTCTTGCTAAGGGACTTAAAATGAGCTTTTCATAATGAGAATGACTGGAAATGCAAAACGAAAGTTCCTGTCAACCATGTGTTAAAATGTGTTAGGAGTACTTACATCATTTGTGTTGACGTGCCATGCCATGTCCCCATAAGAAACGAGCTGTCCGTTTACATAGCATCTGATTTCACTGTTCCTCCAGCGGCTGTAGATGTGAACTATGCTGATCATATACCACTGGAGGTGAAGAGTGAGTCAGATTGAAAGGAAATGAGCTCCAGAGGTGTTCTTTTTCAAAAACCACATCAATCTTTCTCATTTTTCTTTTCACATTTAAAATAAAACAGCAAAGAGGGATCCTTAGACTTCATCTTTAGGAAAGAAACTACAGAGTGACTCTGAATCTTGATTTCTTTAGGCTGGAGCCACTATTTTAGTTTTGCATAGAGTTCTACTGTATATTAAATTGCTGTCATCAAGGAAATGTCAGTATGCAGAATATTGCAATTACAAAAGACTGCTTGGATGTCAAGGGATGTTTGTTAATGCTCTGAAGGCAAATGGCCAGTTGAACGGACTTTGACTGACATCACGAAACAAACATGCTGAAGATTTCAGATGAAAAATGTTTGACTTTTAAGCGGCAAGGAATTTGTGCTGAAGAAAAATGAGGAAAAGTGAGAAAAATGTGGATTAATCACACATTTCAATTTTGAAAATTGTTATTGCAATGTTCAACAATATGTTGCCTTCTTCCTCACAAACCACAAAACTCTAATTAAAAATAAATAAATAAATACTCTGGATGCTCAGAATGTGAAGAATATTTATTTGTCTTGAAAAAACATTAAAAATTCAATAAATCTATGAACTTCACAATTTAGGTGTGAATGAAAACAAAGTTCAGTAGATATTGATTTTGAAAAATTGTATTTTAATACTTAGGGATTGTTTGCTTCTTCACTCTAAAAGACTTTGTACTACTTCCTAAGGAAAACGAAAATGTACTACCTTTCTGCATTAGAAGTGAATAGATGGTAAAAACATGCAACTCTTTTGTCATCCAGAGTCAATTATTTATTAGTTCGACTGAAGAAAGGAGCTCTCTAAGCATAAAGGGAAAATTGTGTCAAAGAAGATTCATGGTTGAGCAGAAAAGTGAAGGCTGTCTGGAGAGCATTTAGAAACGCATTTATTCACTAATGTCTGAATCCAAAAATCAATTAAAAAGTTAATTAATGCACTTTGTCTTTGAACGGCTTCAACAATACAATACAGACATGGTGTCTCCTGGAATGACGCAAACGGCTTTCCTCAAGTGTTATGTGAAGCCTCTAATTGTTTCACATGTGTCAGGTGAGTTTTTCTGCTCCACAGGGACAGCAACACTGCCGAAACACACCGAAATAAATTAGGTTTGATTCTCTAATCCACATTTGCATGTGTAAGACTCCGGAGTTTTAAACAATTCAGGTGATAAAGAAACTGTTTTTTTTTTTTTTTTTAAATGACAGATTGAGGATGAGTGATAATGAATTTAGCAAAAACTGTTGGGTTGAAACAACCAACAAAATATCCTTAAAATGCTGGGGAGGTTTTTTTTTTTCCCTCTTTTCTTTTTTACCTAATTAAAATTTAATTTGAAGTCCCCAAATGTTTACTCCTACTGCTATTAGATTTGTTAATACAAAATACAGTTGTGGCAAATATTTTGACATTCCTGATAATGAGGTGAATGAAGCATTTAAATAAATGTGTTTTATTGCAAAGCCATAATGTCGAAGTGGAGAATTTCACCATAAAGAAAGTGTCCCTCAAGAACAAATGGTGTCATTGTAACAAAGTACCTTCTGTTTTTACAGAATAAATAGGCTTACAGTATCACAGATACTACGATAGTTATCACTGGGCACAAAGTGCTGTTCCAACTATTCATTCTGTTTCATGTCAAACCAAACAGAGGGATTTGTTGCCAAAAAGTTTCATTCTAGTTTCCTCTGATAAAAGAACTCATTTGCAATTAATATCTCAGGAGGGTTTTATCATTTTTATACATTTTGTTCAGTCATTCTTTGTCTTTATTTTGTTTTTTTGACAAATGAGCAGATAAATAAGACAGATAGATATACATTAGATATATTAGGACATAAAACATTTTCATTGTCATCTCTTCCAAACTTGGTGGGCATGTACTTAGTACCGTGGAAGATTTAGATGTAGTAGTTTAGTTTATTTTTGCTCAAGATGTCTTAGGATTCTCCCAAAACATGCAATAGTAGACAAGGATATAATTTTTTTGGGGGGAGAGGGAAATTTGTTTGATAAATTGCATCTTAGAAATGATGCCTAAGTTTTTCTTTACAAATGACAACAGATAGTTTTGTATGGTAATGTTGATGGTTTTGATTGTTGTGATTAGATTCAACTGATTGAAGTTATGGGTATAAATAGATCTGGACTTAACTGGTAATACTGACCGATTGTAGTGGGCAGTCTGTGAAAGCAAGAATCTACTGTTTGTTGCTGCCCTATAACATTGAGCTTATCTCAACTTATCTCCTCCAGTGTTCTGCTTACAATGTTTCTGCAATTATGTTTCCTCTAAATTGTGTTTAGAGGAAACATAATTATGGGATCTTTTCCAGGCTATTTGCTAAATGAAATAAGCCCCAGTATCGTATAAAATTTATACCAAAAACAAACATTAAGAAGAAATTAGAAGATCCCAGATACAGATTCAAGAAATAAAGCATAAATTACAAAAGACTATTGTTACATGTGCTGAAAAGTGTAAATGTCAATAACTCTGGCACCAATTATCAGTTGAAAACGGTGTTTATTATTTGCTAACAAATAAATGCACCCAAATTGAAGGTTGAATTATTTTAAAATTTTTCATTGTGAAACTGTGCTACTGCAATGAAGAATGTATTTATTTCAAAGTTAAAACTAAAATAAGCATCAAAACAAACATACCTTCCTGGGCTGAAAGTCATACTTCACACAGTGCTGGAAGCCTTTGCCTTTGGACTTCAACGATGTGACAATCAAACAATTTCCGACAAAATGCGCAGAATAGCCAATGCCTTTGTTGGTGCGAAAGCTGCAAGAAAACATTTAAAAACTTATTTTATGCTCAAAAATAATTTTAATCCAGTTTAACCCATTTGAAATCTAAGAAAAAGTTTAGACAAATGTATTTAAGTTACACCTTTTGTCATTTACTGTGTTCTTTTTGTCAAAATGTGCATTATGGTGCAGTTACGTTTTGAGACTCAGTAGACTGTTGTCTGAAATCAAGCACACAACAACAATTGAAAGCTGGTATTAGAACCATTTTAAAATGGAAGAATTTATAATTATAAATTCTTATATTATAATTATAATATTATTATAATTATTTTAAAATGTGACTGTGTGTCACTTCCTGGAGTAAAATTGTGAATTTCTTTCGTACTTTGAAGTATGCATAAAAATGCCAGGTTTTATTATACAGTGTTAAGTATAAACATAAACAGGTAATTCAAAGAAAAAGCCATTTAAAAAAAGAAACTTAAAGGCAATTCCTAAGCTTTTTAAGTAGAACTGATTTAAAACTAAAAACAAATGTCAGAAAAGACAAATTAAACTAAGATGTATTCAAATGTTGCATGCATCTGAATTATGTGATAATAATTATGGTTGTAGGAATATTTTGTCTAATCTTTTCAATCAGACATCACCAGATCATTTGACTGGAAATACAAACTGCATATAAAAACAAACAGTGCACAGGCCTCTCTGTGCAGATACAAACAGATTCCTTTTGCACATCTTTTATTCTGCTGACAGATGCTAAATTTACTTTTACAGTCTTAAGGCCTAAAGCTATTATGCTAGGCTCAAATACACATTGTAATGGTTCAAGAAACAAAGAGACCCATCACCAAAGGCATGTAAACATAGCCGTGTTTCGTACATAAAGACATATGGATCTACACACCTTTCTATCACAGAACTCTGAAACTCTGCTGGAGAAGCTTGGTCCGCCTCTAAAGAAGCAATTATTTTTTTGGTTATTTACAAGCCTGCTGCTGAGCTGCGAGGCACTCAGAGCAATGCATAAACAGGATTAGCTTGGCAGATCTAACTCTTTTGTGACTGTTAGTGTAGAATAGAAGGCACATATGAAAATCTTTGCTTGTGCAATGCTCCATGTCTTTTTCCCTTTTTGATTTGCAACATCAGAAAAACAGAGATCTACTAAGGCAAAGAGTTTATTTCGGTAAAACACTTAGATCCCCAAAAGCTGACGACAGCCAAGAGGTGATAAAGACCAAAGGGACTATTATCTCTGCCTAATCAGTCTTCCCTGTCAGACAGTTGAATCTTTCCACCTTTGTCCACTCTGATTCTCTTACTTGCCATCATAAATTACACTCTTTGACTTTAATGAAAATCTCTTCTACAAACAAAGAGAACAAGCCAGACAGTGCAGCAATTTTGGATCATTGATTTTTACAATAATTACCTAAATCTTCAGCAGAAGCTGTTATAGGAGCGTTTTGTGGTAATTATTCACATCTAAATGATTACCTCCGCAGTGTCTCTTAGCCCTCAGTAATCCAGCTGCAGTACTTAATTTCTACATCAGAATTTGTGGCAATATCTGGAAAAAAACAAGGCTATTTTCCTAAAGACGTTATAAAAATGTTGTATAAAAATGTGCGTGCGATAAATAATGTCTAAACTATTTCAACCTTGAAATACAACTTTCAGTCATAAACTGCTTAGATTAGACAATCAGTGTTAGTCACAAAGCATCAGACAAAACAAGGCTTTGTCAATAAAGCAACTGTTAGCTTCATAAGCCTCTGCAGGAAGAAATTCAACAGCAAAATTATTCAGGTGAAATAAAAAGAACAAGTGTGTGTTGGTGTGCTCTTACCAGTAGAGATATGGTTTGTCCTTGTCTACATTGATATTATTCAAAGGATCCATTCTGAACCAAGTGTTGAATGTAAACCCGCTCTGATAAGGCCACTTAGCAATGGGAGGTAAAGCAATTGCCTAGAAGAAACATGATAAAAAACATCATGAAGTAGCCAGGAAAGCTATTTAAAGTCCTTTGGTGTTCCTCCATACCAAGCTATTCAGAATATATATTTTGCAACAGTAACACTCTAGAATGACTTGGGTAAATATAAATAAGCCTCTGCAGGAAAAAATACAAAAGTATTGAGGTGCTTTAAAATATAACAAAGTGTCAAATGTCAAAGCCAGGTGTAAAAAAATAAATAAAACGGTATAATGGTAAGGACACATTGTTCAAATATATATATATATATATTTATCTTTTTTTTTCTGGGAAATAACTTGTCAATTTGAAAAATACAGAATAGCCTCTCCAGTGCTGTGGGGATGTTTTAATCAAATCATTCAGATGTTTAATGTAACTCAAATTCAATTGCAAAACATTAATCCCAGAGGGAAATTATATAAATGAATACATACTGCAGCCAAGTTTTAGTCTGTTAAAAATAATTGCAGCACTGAAGCTTGACTAAAATAACTTTGCCATTAATGTTTAAGATTTTCAGGAGTGTCTTAACACAGATTCTTAATATTTTAATCTACTTCTTTATTGGGTCAAACAAAAAAGCAAAATGCAAGAGAAATAAAGTATCTAATATTCAATCTTCTCACAGTTTATCTGATAGTTCCATTGGTGCCATATTTAGCTTCTTATCATTGAGGCACATAATATTTCTGCACGCCCTAAGTTGACAAAATACTTTTCACAAATATTTTTCAAAAGACGACATGTAATAAAATTATATAATAATGATGCTCACTGCTGCGCTGCGGCCAGGAAAGTTGAAGAAGATGTCCGGACCATGTCTCTGTGGCATCTGATTTAACACCGACAGCATTTTGATTGCATGCTTTGGCTGAATGTGTGTCAAAAGAGAGAATTATAATTTTTATTGTGACAGATTATACTAGACGACAGGAAACAAGATAGATTCATCAAGCCATCACTTACCCAAAGGCCACCTTCTCCTCGGAGCATGCTGAAGAGCAACTTCAGTTCTTTCACTGTGATGCTGTAGCTGGCCAATACACCCAACATATCCACGAGTAAGTCTGCCAAAAAAACATTGCAAGCAGACACAAACAAAAGGAAAATCATCAAAAATGCAGTTGAATTTTATACATACAACTAATCCACCTTGATCAGGAGATCCTCAAGAGGATGTGCTAATGCTGCTTGTTCTCAGACATGGCTCCTCTGTAATTCGCTCTTAGGCTTTGTCAGTGAAATTAAATTAAATAAAACACAAAACCTGTCAGTGAAAATCACACACAGTGCCCGTATCAATGTGTTAAACTCCCTACTTAAAAGTTAAAGTAACATTGCAGGGGAAGGCTAGTTTTATTTCAGATCTTAAACACATTTCAGCTAACACAAAAAAAGTAATTTCCATTAATTTCACAGTGGATCAAGAAAGTATTCACAGCTCTTCCCTTTTTCCACATTTTGATAAGTTTCAGTCTTATACCCAATTGTATTAAATTAGTCTTTTATACACACAAATACCCCATTATGATGACAATTTTGGGGGAAATGTTTGCAAATTTATTATAAACAGAAAACCAATAAATCACCTGCTGCTCCACATTTAGCAGCAATTACTGCCTCACGACTTTTTGAATATGATGCCACAAGTTTAGCACATATATCTTTAGGCATTGTTCTTTGCAGTACTTCTCCAGCTCCATAAAGTTGGATGGAAGACATCTGTGCAGCATCATTTTCAGATCTCTCCAGAGATATTCAGTCAGATTCAAGGCTGGACTCTGGCTTGGTGCCGTAGGACATTTAGAGTGGTTCTGAAGCCACCCCTTTGAGATCTTGGCCATGGATAATGACGTTGGGTCATTTTTATGCCCCATTCTGAGGTCAGGAGAGGTCTGGAGCAGTTTTTTTGTCCTGCACATAGCAGCATTCATCTTTCCCTCCATCCTGACTAATCTATTCCTGCTGACATCACCTAAGCATGATGCTGCCACTGCCATGTTTCACCTCAGGGATGGTATTGACCTGGTGATGAGCTGTGTCTGGTTTCTTCCAAACAAGATGCCTGGAATTCCAACCAGAGTTATTCATCACCTGCATGATTAAAGCCCTTCTCCCCTGTTGCTACATTAAGATGTCTGGCCAGGTCTGGGAAGAGTCTAGCTGCTTCCAAACGTTATTTATTTACCAATGGAGGAGGCCACTGACCTCACTGGGACATATGAAGCAGCAGAAATATTTCTCCTTCAAGACAGTCTCCAAGGTCCACAGACAATTCCTTTGATTTCATGCTTGGTGAATGACCTTTGACCTGAACGGTCAACTGTATATAGACAGGTGTATGTCCTTTCAAATTGAGTTCAATCAACTAAATTTAAAACATTAGCCAGTTGAAACATCTCAAAGATGATCACTGGAAACAACTCAATTCTGAGATTTATTGTAAATGACTGAGTGCACTGAACTGGGGACAGGGAGAGCCAGTAAAAAGACACACAAAAGGTCTTTCATGCGAGTAAAACTTTTGTTTTTCCAAGATTATGAAAACTTTATTTTTCCATTGTCAAAGAAAGCAAGTATTTTCTGGCTGTCAAGAGGTTTGTAAATACATTATTGTACACACATAAACACACTTTCATCCTGGTAAAGTGTGGATGTTTATTTGTGGAAATGCTAAGACAATCCTATCCTGACTAACCTGTCATTTCTGCATCTGTCCAATTGTTATATTTTTCTTAAAAATCAACAGTCACCTTGATCACTCGTACCCTTCAAGGGACCAGATGTCATTATGAAGCAGCTCTTGGAGACTTGGCTTTATTTTGACAACAAGCTGAATCTTCTAAGTGAATGAAGCACCGAATGAGAGAGTAATCTGAAATGAGTAATTCTGACAGTGTTAACATGTCTTTTGAAAATCTAAACCATATTTTGCCATCGTCCTTGCTGAAAATTTACTCTTACGCTAAAACCTGTTATTTTCATCACAACTGAATTGTTGTATGTCTTCTTCTTTTAGCAATCCCAGAGTACAAATAACGTGAATCTTTGTCAATAAGGAGACACACACCAAGATGTGATTTGAGGTGAATTTTTCAGAAAAATAACTGGAGATTGCTGTTTTAACATGAACAGATCATTGGCAGCTGCAAATGATGGACAGTGGAACCCATTACTGTTAATTTTGCCAAATCAGATTTTTCTATGAATGTTCTGAAGATGCTGGCAGGGCTGTAAATAAGTCAGCTTTGTTAGGATTTGGAGTTGGAGCCAAGAAGTCTTGTATTTTCTGAATTCAACACTTTTTTAAGGAAGCCTGTGTATAAACATCAACAAGACGAGGATAGTTTCTCAAATAAGGATCTAAATTTAAGTAGCATCCTGTCAGTGGTATTCAATACTGTCACTTGTTCCAACACGGTGGATAACCTGTCCTCCAAGAACCACTCATGATCCCTAATTGATGTCTAGAACAAAGTAATTAAAATACTGATTAAAAATAAATTATGTAAATTGAACCAAATAAGTTCCCCCAGTAACACATTTTCCTAGTTGACTCTTATTCCACTGCTTCAATTTTCCGGCCTCTAAAGGTTACACTGCTGTATTATTTTACATATTTATTTTGTTGTAATTTCAGGAAACCATCACAATATTTTTCTAAATTCTGGGCAGACTAAATCTCCCTCATTCCTGACCAATGAACAATGTAGATGGAAATTTGATTTTCCATCAGATTCGATGCGGCCAGATAATTTGCATTTTGGAAAAAAAGATTGAATTGCAAATGATTTTGCCGACTGAGTAAAGAGAGCTGAACTTGTATAGTAGCCAGGCATTAAAATGACAATCAGCTCAAAATTTACATTTAAAACAGCATAGCTCAAATTATATGTCTACTCATATCATCGTCCTACCTGCAATCATGTCATCCACTGAGCTCATTTTGAGCAGCACCTGTTGGATGAGTCCCACTTCAGTGCTCGTCTGCAGATTTCGAACACTTTTTCGAAGAATGGCAGTGAACATGCTCCAGATCTCAGCCTGGCAGGTGACATCACAGTGTTCCAACAGCTCCACCATGCAGCCAATGCTCTCAGCATCCTGAATAATGAAGTTTGTCTCCAGGTCAAACTCTCCCCCCACCAACTACAAGAGAGAGAAACAGAAAATGTCCCAGTAGAAAGCATTTTTTTAGAAGCCACAAGCATGTTTTTGATTTATATTCTGTCACGCTTATGTAATGCTCGAAATGAATGCAATTGGAATTGTAATGAACTTAAGATATATTTTTGTTTGCTCCAGCTATAAGCCATCTTGACCTGGATCTTCCTAACGGAATATAATTAACTAATAGCATACTTCTGCCAAACATGTTTCAGATTACTGCTTTGCTGGTAAATAGCTCTCAAAAGATCCAAGTGAGGTTTATCTTCCTACACACTGATTATAATGAGAATTTAAGCATCCATGACAATAAAACTGTCTGATTTTTAATGAAAAGGCGGAAAATAGACACATTATTGCCTCTGCCCTCCACCACCACCACCAATTTAAATTACAAATGAAAATCACTTTAAAGAAAGTAGAAAACAACAATCAATATTGCTCTTCTTCAAGACCAAAAAGCATGAAATTAGCTCTCTAAAGAAGTGCACTGTGTACATGAAAGCATACTGAAAACAACTCGCTGGTGGGCATCAAAGCAAAGAGGCAGCAAATGGCCCTGGAACCACTGCACCCACTGCACATTACTGTGACTGACAGGTAATAGTAAGGTGAAGGCAAAGAGGAGAAAGAAATACTCAGAGGAGACAAGTCCACTGCAGGAAAAACTGTGCTTTGCCTCAACTTTGTCATGAGATCTTTACGTTGATGCCGTAGAGTGGAGATAGTCAAGCACTCAGTTTCGTTCATTGTCTCTTCTGCTCCTAAATCTACAGCTGTTGTTATTACAAGTCATCTTTCAATTTTTCAATGTCATCTAGTAAGACTATTTGCCATTAAGATCAATCTACTTCTGATACTGTGTATACAGATAACAGCAGCATTTTAATGACAAATATTTTAAATAAACAGACTTTGTTTTTCTAAAATTTTAAAAAGAAAGCTAAAATACATTGCAATTCTTGACACACCATTGGTTTCCATTTGCAAAGCAGTCAGTGTGGGACATTTGACATTGTTTGCATTTGAGGCTACAGCACGTCACCACTGATTGCACCACTGGGTTTGCTTTGTTAAAATTGCAATTTTGTTCCAAAAGAATGTTAGTGTGAGAACATTTTAAACTATTTTGAACAATTAATTAAATTTTATATGTGCATTCTGCATCTATATCATTTAATTTATCCAATTATCTCTAAAATCAGTGAACCCTGGGTTGATTAATGACTATGCCTTCGAGCATCTTCACAACATTTTCAGAAAAAAAGGCTTTTGTGGAACATTTATAGCTCCAGAAGCACAGGCCTAGAGTTCCATCCATTTACATCAGCTTTTAAATTGCATTGTTTGAAGCACATAATGACTCAATGCTACAAAAGGCTTTCTGTAAAGCAGAATTTTGGTGGTCTAATTGGAGGTGAAAGTATTAATATAAAGAAAAGCTTGCCTCACTGTCTACTCTCTGCATTGATTGAACATTGAGGCATGAATCAAGCTTAGGCGGTATTCTAATAGGGTTTTATTTTTCTTGTATTTGTGTTCATTGTTGATTAAACTGAAGGTGCTCTGCTGTGCTTAAATACGGTGGGATTCATTTTAGTATTACAACCACATTTAATTTGTAATCAATGCTTCATTTTTTCCTTTTTTGGTGCCTCAGCTGAAATGTTTTTGTTAAGAAAATGTCATAAAATGTCAGTCTTGATCTGATGGGATTCAAACAGAGTCCTAGTTCATTTTAAAATCAGAGGTGACACTAGCAAGTTGCTAGGCAGCCTTTCTGTATGGTTTCTTCAATATAATCAAGAAAACATGCAGTCAAAAAAGGGATAACGCTGTATTAAGTTGTAATCAAGTTAAGAATAAAAAAAGCATACTTGAGCTGGATTATGAATTTATGAAAAGTTTCCTCAAATTTGTCACAACTGCTCTATGGATTGCTAAGAAAGGATGCACGTAATTCATGACATAAGCTGAAAAATTTATAGATGAAATAATCCACTGATTTTCATCTGCCCTGACCCGTGACCAGTGTTTCACAAACGCAGTAATTTAATCTTTATTCAGATCAGTGAATGCATCATACTTACGCGTTAAAGGGCTGTACAAACCCTAACAACATTTAGTATGTCATTGTCAGTACTAGCGAGGAGTCTAAAAATTAAGTCTGAGAAAGATGCAAAAAAGGCACAATAAACCATTGTTTATTGCTTACATGCATGTATACCCTATACATGCATGTAAGCAGGTCATTCAGGCTGCTATGACAGAGGTAGATTTGGGAACGTGCTTTGCCAAATCTTACATCACCAAGTGCAATACAAAGCATCAGTGGTGTAAAGCATGCCACTGCTGGATTCTATAGCAGTGGAGAGGTGTTCTTATCCACCTCTGGGTTTTTATCAGATTCTGGGTCTGGCAGTTGTCAGGACAACAGCTCTTTTCCGACTCCATTGTGTCAAGTGTAACAATGGACAAAGGAGAATTATGATGTGGAGCCATTTTTCTTTCTTTCAGGAGGAAAAATAACCAATGCTTAGCCCCATAGTTCCAGGGAAAGATGCTCTAAAAGAGGAATTATTATGCAAAATTCATTTTGCACATTTTTGTATTTTCACTTAGGCCTCTCCTGCTTCTAGAAACAATCCAAATGCTTAAAAAAAAGAAAACATCCATTTACTGGAAATAAAACTTTTTGGTGTCTGGAAAACTACCCATCACAAAAATCTCCCCATTATTAAGCCGCCTCCTTACCCTTACAACCCAGCCAAGCAAAGCCTGTCAGTTTTACAACTGTGTGCACTGTGCAATGGCTGCTAGAATAAGCAAGTGTTTTGTTATTGACTTTTTCCGAAACCACTTACTACAACTTTAATGATTGAAGCAGAGATGCAATTCTTTCTGATTCTGACTCGGAGTCAAAGATGTATCATTGCACAATTACCCATCTGTTTCTAGCCATTTTCATGTGCATAAAGTATTGAGTCATGAGGGTATGGTCATTTGTATTTACAATGACGAGAAGCCCTGAAGCAAAAATAGCCAAACAGTGAGTGAGTAATGTCTCAGACACCTCTGCACCTCGTATAAACAATTAATGACCGCTCACAGCGAGAGCTTGAAAAATATATTTGAATATTAATTATCATTCATTATTTGCTAAAAATGGGCTACATTTGGTATCAGTAGAATAAATCTTTGATTTCTCACCGTCATTTCTCACATGATTAAACATTCCCAAGTATTTACAAAAAGGCTAAAGAAAACCTCTGAAAAGCTTCACACTATTAAAATGCTACAGAAAGTTTTGCTTATGCTAAAAGCAAAACTTAAAGTCTCCCTCCAAATGTCAGAAACAACATTTTTATCACTTCTTAATAGACAAGCTTCTTTCCATCTCCACAGCACCAAAGTGGCTTAATGTTCCATCAGAGCACTTATACCCCAGAATACAGGCTTAAATGTGATTTTCAGATTTTGCAGATGAACAAAAGCTTTGAACTCTCTCTCTTAAAGACCAAGTTTGCACTTTGGGCTTTGAGAAAGCAGATATCCATCTTCATGAGTAGTTAAGATAAAAAAGAATCCTTCACTGAAATATATTAAAATTTTGTCAGAGCCCATTATTCATCTCAGTCAATACCATTTTACTAGAGCAAGGTTATTAAGTCTCAGTTAAGTTTGTTTATTCCCCCCAAGAAAGAGCACAATTATGTGTTATTGCCATGGGATAGTGAATTAAGAGCAGTCAAAAATCCCCCAACCATCTACTGCTTCTGATTAAGCCAGCGCTGAAGTCCTGCTGTTGGCAGGGTGACCATGCATGGTGACGTAAAACAAAACTAGGCTTTAGTTTCTAACTTGAATGTGAATAAAAATGTTACATTCTCTTTATGATTCTGAATATGTTCTATAAACATTAGGAAAAGGAAAAACAAATCTCAACAGGACCAAAAATCTTTGGGAAGATGAGGCTGGTGGAGGAAAATTTTTAATTTCCACTCTTGCATCTTAAATTTTTTTTACCAGCCACTCAGACGTTTCACCAGCCACTGTTTTTTTTTTCTTTTGATTACAAACCCCACAAGTACAAGCAAATAATAGAAAATGTATGATTTATTCTTAACTCTATGAAAACCAATTTACCGACAATAAGTTTATATGTACATATACAGAATAATTTAACTTAAAGCATAGACACCTTAACAAGGTTGTAGTGCAATAAGTTAATTTGAAGTAATTACTAATGGCAAACTTTAACTACACAACCCTAACATTCTTGCAATCATATGTTGAACATTTCCAAATTGTGGCAACAACTCCCCGATAGTAATTATTAAGGGTGTCTAGTCATCTTAAAAATATTTTTAAATTGTGTCAATAGCTGTGTTCTAACTGTTTCATTTGTTTTCCCTTACTTATTATGTTTTCTATTGACAGTAAGAATTATTAGTGAAATATGTCAGAACATGTTTATTATTAATCCCATGGTATCATCATTGTTCTTGTGTAACTCCAGAGTTTTTCTGACCACCTGGAGCTCAGTGTTAGCTTCCCACTCACACACACCTACTTGCCTTCCTACCTGCATGAAACTTTTTCTTCCTGAACATTTTCATTCCTTCTTAACGGGCAGCAGCAGCTAATCTGAACTCTCCCTCAGTCTTCTCTCTCATCCTCCTCCGACGATAATCAAGCCCCTGAATCGCCAATTCCCTCTCGTTGTCCGCTACTGAATCTCCTCCAACCCCCAAAGTTAGTGGTTAGTTTGACATATTTTTCTGAATGGGCTTATGCTCTTTCGTCGTAGTTTTTCTGACCCGCCCCATCTCGTATCCGTTCGTTTTCTTGGACTGCGGTTAGCAGCAACTTTATACTTTTTTTACCCGCTTTTGGCCAGTGGTGGGAGCTAATTTCCACCCCTGGGAAGATGTCTATATAAGCTCAGTGTCTCATTCATGTGGACATTCATGTGGTCTGCT